AAAAAGAGGGCTGAGACAACTTCACACAATATTAAAAGTCCAAAAAAAGGCACATAGAATTGCTTTGCACAAGTTGTTCTGCTTACTATACTGCAACTTTAGAGGGAAAAGATTCAAACAAGATTAGAACTTACATTTGTGAAAACTGTACACGATGTGACATCAAAGAACACTTAACTTGCATTCAAACTGTTAAAACTTGTTTGTTTTGTGTGTGTATCTAGAGACACACACTTAAAACAGCACACATGGAATGAGGCGGCATAGAAGAGATTCATTTTCTACTATGAATTGTTCACTTTTAGACGTTTACTCCCTTGACCTTGGTCTATATTCGGTCATAGAAATAGGAATAACGTTACAAGCCTGAAATAGATTAAGTGTTGCTGGACAAATCTGATAGAAACTGGAAAGAAAAAATGAGGGCTCACATAGACGACTTGTAAGATTGTCAAAATAATCTATTTGTGGTTTCTGTCAACCATGAAATACAGTTGTAGAAGTAGATGAACATTTTAGCGTTTTGCACCATTAACTAATAACAATTATGATTCGTGGGTTATAATGTTCCGTTTCTTTAAAATATTCACGTGAAACATTTTTTGTTGGTTATTACAGAAATATACGTCTTATTTTGAAAGTATTTACAGGAAGCCCGGTGCAAGCTGTGTCACTTGACCGTCTTATGGGTCGTAACGACTAATGCTACTCTTTGTTAAGTAAATAGGTGAAAAATCTTAGTCTGCGGCGAGGATTACCCCAGTGAACTGTCGCTACCACCAGATTTACTGACACGTATCCTTGCGGGAAAAACCAGATTGTCAGAGGTCACTTTCGGGATTTGTTTCGACGTAGTTAGCTAACGCTAGCGTGTTAGCTGCTCAGACAACAGCCGCAGCTCGTGAGGATGTCGCTGCACGGCAAAAGAAAAGAAATCTACAAATACGAGGCGCCATGGACCGTTTACGCGATGAACTGGAGCGTGCGTCCGGACAAACGCTTTCGGCTAGCACTAGGAAGCTTTGTGGAGGAATACAACAACAAAGTGCGTAAATTTGTTTCGTCGTCGGCCACATAAAAAACGGCAATGCTAGCTAGTGCTGCTAAAGCTAACTGCCGTTTGTATCGGGGTTGAATCAGTACCTGATTAAGAAAAAAATCGACATTTATAATAAGTTGCAAGTGTTTTATCGAGATCTAACGGCATATTTGCCCGTATGTTTTTTTTTTTTCGCACTGATTTTTTTTTTTAAACATAGTCAACAATATTGTCATCGTCGGTTTTGATGCTAGCTGCTGTGTAAACAGACATTTGGCAACGTGTTTGTTCTCATCCAGGTTCAGCTGGTGGGTCTGGAAGAGGAGAGCTCGGAGTTTGTCTGCAGGAACACCTTTGACCACCCTTACCCCACCACCAAGATCATGTGGATCCCGGATACCAAGGGGGTCTACCCAGACCTGCTGGCCACCAGCGGGGACTATCTGCGCATCTGGAGGGTATGATAACTATTACGGATGTCATTTTGATGTTATTTTATGTAAAACAAATGAATGGGGAAGCTAAAAAACAGTAGGTATTAGTTAAAGTCTCCTTGAGGTCTCTTGAGTTTTATAATGTAAATATTTTTAAATATATAAATCACAAAAACAACCAAGTTTCTCTGGTCTTTAAAAAGAAAACTTTATTGTGTCTGTAAGCATAATACCAACACTGCTGGACTAGATACATCCACTGTGTTGCTTACCTGCTCTGTTGTGGTGGGTAAAATCAGTGTGTTTACTCCTTCATCTCAACTAGCTGACAGTTGTATAAGCTGGTTGAATACTGTTCCCTGACATTCACTCACAGCCTAATTCCTTTGCATTTAATAGGTCAGTGACACCGAAACGCGTCTCGAATGTTTGCTGAATAACAACAAGAACTCAGACTTTTGTGCTCCCCTCACTTCCTTCGACTGGAACGAAGTTGATCCCAACCTGCTGGGTAAGAAGTCACGATGGGAAGCGATCGCATGATTTTCAGCTTTTGCTTTCTTTTCCGACATTTACTATAAATTATTTTCTTATTTCAGGGACGTCCAGTATCGACACCACCTGCACCATCTGGGGACTGGAGACGGGTCAGGTGTTGGGGCGAGTTAACCTGGTGTCTGGACACGTGAAGACCCAGCTGATTGCCCACGACAAAGAGGTGTGTGTGTGTTGGTGTGTGCTTAGGAAGGGGCCCCCTGTGTGTGCCCGCAGTGAGGAGTAACGGCTGTGTGCGTGCAGGTGTACGACATCGCCTTCAGCCGCGCCGGGGGCGGCCGGGACATGTTTGCCTCGGTGGGAGCAGACGGATCCGTCCGCATGTTCGACCTCCGGCACCTGGAGCACAGCACCATCATCTACGAAGACCCCCAGCACCACCCGCTGCTCCGCCTCTGCTGGAACAAGCAGGACCCCAACTACCTGGCCACGATGGCCATGGATGGCATGGAGGTCAGTTTGGTGATAGATAAACTTCCACCCTGAAGCCGGTCGGTTACGGGGCCTCCTGACTCAGAAACTTTCTCCTGGGTGTTGTGTTTGGAAGGTGGTGATCCTGGATGTCCGCGTGCCGTGCACGCCTGTGGCCCGGCTCAACAACCACCGCGCCTGTGTCAACGGCATCGCCTGGGCGCCACACTCCTCCTGCCACATCTGCACCGCAGGTGAGTGGAGGGGGGTCTGAGAGAGGCTCTCTGTTGAAATCCCACAGACGCGGCCTGTGAGGCTCCGTGTCACCCGAGCCAAGGGCTCACGTTATGAGTGTCAGGATTTTTTTTCTTCCTTTTTACAGGCAACCATTCAGCCCTCAGAAAGGCTGCGGATAGTGTTTTCAGACTTCTCCCTCGTGGAGCTGCAGCTCCCATGTCTAGTGGGCAGGAGTGTGTGTTTACACGTATTTGGCTGCCCTTCTCTAATGGGGCTCCTCCTCTTGTACCTGCTCAGAGCAGCTCCACTCCATTTTTTCCTTTTGTTGTTGTTTTTTGCTTTTCCATTATGTGCTGCGCCTAACAGGTGGGATTTCAACACCGACATTTCAAGGTTTCTCATCTGAGTCGGTTCACAAGCCGGTTCCCAGGTACCAACGGAAGAGCTCTGTAAATGGCTGCACGGGGCTCCTCTGCATTAGGACGATTGACCATACTCCTTTGAATTTAGCGGCTAAAATAAGGCTGGTGGGCAGATTTTTATTTTCATCATGTCTCTAACGCGTGACCCGTCCTCCCCCAGCCGATGACCACCAGGCCCTGATCTGGGACATCCAGCAGATGCCCCGTGCCATCGAGGATCCCATCCTGGCCTACACCGCGGAGGGGGAGATCAACAACGTGCAGTGGGCCTCGACGCAGCCGGACTGGATCGCCATCTGCTACAACAACTGCCTGGAGATCCTGCGCGTCTGAAGGCCAGCGGCGCTCCTCTGGACTTTCGGGGGTCCTCCCCCCCGCGCTTTGGAAGGAGAAGGCCACGAGCGAACTCTCTGAACGTGTGGGGGGTATCACACACGATACTCCACAGTAACCTGGTTTACATTTCCTCCACACCTCTCTACTCCACCGCTCCCCTATGAAACATGATAGCTCTTATTTATTTTGCTCAGCAGGTAGCGTTCAGCAGCCGTAACACGCGCCGGCGCTCTGAACTCTGACTCTGTCTCTGTTTATGGACATCCAGACTTTTCTACTCGATGCGATTTCAGCCGGCCGTGAGATTACCACCAAGGATTTTGATGTTTTGAATTTCACCCGCTCGGTTTGTGGAGATTCTGGAGGTGGGGGGGGCAGAGGACGGCCTGTCTGACATATAGGGTTAAGTTGTAGCCTTGGTGTGGATGCGTACCATATTGGTGGGTCATGGATCAATATATTTCGTCTTGTTTACCTATGTGGCAGGCCGGCCGTCTAATCGCCTCCTCTGTGGGCGGTTCGTCTGGCCCGGGGCTCGTTATCCGTGCGGCTTCTTGTAAATAACCTGAGAGGGATTTGCGCCGTCTGTCACTCGTAGTTTGGCCGACGCTGTGAGACAGCTTTGTACGGCGGCACCCTGAACCTACCGGAGCAACGTCGTTCAGCCCTCTAGCTCCCCGACTAACCTCTCCTTCCTCTCTTTATTTGTAGATAAAGCTGCATTTTTTTTTGTTAGAGTGAGGTGTGAAATGAGTGGGGGCGTTCTCATCGTGTCTTTGCTTCTTTTTTTTGTGTTTAATAATCCAAGGTCCTTGTAGCATGCCATTACAAGGCAAAATGTACATACATATAAATATATCAACTTCAGATGTTGGTACGCCAAGTGTTCATGTCGTAGCTTTTTTCATAAAGTTTATTATTGAATTTGCTCTAATAAATTGTATTCGTTCATGTCTTAGAAACTAAATGCCTAGTGTCTTTATTTATTCCAGGATTTATTCCCATGCTTAGTTGGTCCTTCAGGTAAAAACTTTCAATTCTGTCAAGAAATAATTTTACTCTCCAGTCACTACAAAGTATTTAACTCTTATATCGAGGATCCCAAGATGGATTTTAATGGACTTTAGTTTGTGTTGTCCTTTTTATTGAATCCCCTGTCCGGGTTATTTGAATCAAAAAGGGGCCCGGTGTGCAGATCTTTGCGCTTTTAGCTAACAGGTGACTGGAACTATCAATCTTAGTGATTCTCCTTTGAGTTTCTTCAGCTTTTTACGTGGTTGATCATTCCCTCGTTTCCTTATTCTAAGTTCTTTTCCTCCTTTCTGTCGGGGCAGTGTTTCACTCCCCCATTGCTCGGCATCCTCAGCTGCCTCCGCCCACCAGTCTCTGTCCTCTGTTTAAATCTGGTTCTCTCCCTCTTTTGACAACTTTTGCTCTTTGCGTTCTCATTTCATTTAGCTCCCGCTTCCAGTATTTTTGAGTGACCAGAGTTCTTCATCTGTCAGGAATTGAGAACCCGAGATAACTGAGAGAAAGTAGTGGGATAATATTGAGCTTTTTTTAATAATAAAAAGATTGCAACCGTGCAGAACTTATTAACTTATTAACAACATAGAAATGGCAGAAATGGTCCTTAATCCTCCTCTGGGAAAAAAAAAGAATGAGCTTTAGCTTTTTTTAATATAACATTTTGGTGATTGCATATGTAATTATGCCTTAATAACAGTATGAGTCGTGGTAGTTATGTTTAATTAGCTTACTCTACATTATATGTAGTATAGGCATTTTGTGCTGAAGCGTGAAAATGAAATTAAACGGGGCTCCGACAGTAACTCGGTGTCATGTCTTTAATCTGAAAAGAGATACATAACAGGAATTAGTGTTTCTTGAAACACTGTACAGTCATGTAAATGCTTGAATACCGTTACATTCCCCTTGTGTTTGCAACAGTGAAGTAGTCTGTGGTCGACCGTCACTGTGAGTGTGCAGGGTCGCTGTGACACAACAAGCCCTCCGTTTTTGGCATTTTCAGACAAACACATCAGGTAGACTTTGTTAAAAACCGCGTGACTCTGCCACTCGGACAAGTAGTTGACACAGGTCTGGAAATGAACAGACACGGAAACGAGGTGAAACTAGCTGGAACGTCCAAACGGGAAGAAACACAAACGGTTAACTTAGATTGGGTACCGTGTAATACTTGGTCACGATCAAAGGCCGTGATTCATAAGCACTGCTGATTTATGTCAGAATGTTACCAGAAAATGAGATGAGATAACATTTTTTCCTAGCTATGCCTTGAATCCTTGTGTCACACAGCTATATTTTCAAATTCAACATAGACCACAGCAAAAATGGACCTAAAACACTCATAGTGGTTACATTTACTAGCTGGACAGTCGTTTACGTAACCATCTCACTTACTTTTTCTATACTACAGCTTAAATGTGCAACTCCTTTACAAAGTGAATGCAGATCATCTCAAAAACATGAACTGCCTTAGTTTTTTTTAGCCATTCCTCCTTATGAAAACCTGAGTCTGGGCTGCTGAGTCTGTGGCTTTCAGATCCAGTTTTTGCTCATATGTCGGTGTTCTTACTGTCCGTTTAGGTTTGACTGCTGCGCCCGCTGGGGCAGAAACCATCTCTTCTTTACGCTTCACCTGAGAGGAGGCAGAACTTCGGCTTCCTCCGAGGGCGCTGCTAAATAAGGGTGTAAGAAACGGGAGGCACTCTGAAGGCTCCGCAACGCAGAAAGTGAGGCGCCCCCCGCTCCACAGCAGCAACTGAGCAGGAGAAGGGCTTTTTTGGGGGGGATGGGGGTGAATGAATCAGTGCGGGGGACATAATGGCTGCGAGGGGCCGCTCTGTTCTAGCTGCCCGGTAAGAGCGGGTCGGAGACGTGCCTTTGGATCTCCTGCATTTCTGTGGAGTTCTCGAGGTGCTCGGGGAGGGAGGGGAAGCGCTGGCTTCCACAGAGCAGTCCGGGAGGCTGTTGGGCGTTGGAGCAGAGGGGGGGGGGCGAGGCCCACGGGGGGAAGGGGGGGGGGGTCGGCCTCCGGCGACAGGGACATGGTGTCGTCTGATGCCACGGTGAGATGGATCCCGCTGGAGAGGGAGTCTTTGGATTTGTGTCCCGGGTCAGAGTCTGGACTCTGGAAAGACCAACGAAGCATATTTAATCATCCACATTTTCTACACATATGTTATAAAAACAGTTGAGCAGACACTGAAAACCACAGGCTGAAAACCACAGGCTGCTGTAGCTACAAATAGCCCAGGATGTGCTGAGTCAGCACCTGTAGCAGGGAGACTGAGCTGTCTATCTGTGCTGGCGGGGCCGGGGGTACGGCGTGGATCGTGGGGGCTCCTGTCCGGAAGAGCGTGGTGGGGGGAGGCGGGTGAAGTGGGCGAGGGCCCGGGGAGAAGGCGCTGTAGGCGGGAGGGACCGGGGCCATCTGCCTCTGGAGGAGCTGGAGGATGACGTTGATATCTGCGGTCATTCGGGTCTCCAGCCTGCACACAGCGGAAAAAGAGGAATTAGCACAGACATGTGGAAGCCCACCCCTCTGGTAAACACACGGTTTGGCTTTTATTCTCACTAGAATCTTTCGCCTGCTTAGGAATGTCTTCTCGGCCTTCCTGCTATCTCATTTTGTATAAAGCAAACATGAGTTTTAAAAGGCAGCATGTGTGACTCCATAAATATCCGTGTATGCTCAGTGTTTTATCTGAGTTCTTCCTGCCTCCCTATTATGCAAATACAGGCCGTGTTGTCACAGTGGTTTGCTGAGAATATATTCAGAACAGCCAGAAGGGGGTATAGCTCAGTGGTAGAGCATTTGACTGCAGATCAAGAGGTCCCCGGTTCAAATCCGGGTGCCCCCTCTCTTTTTTTTTCGGGAAACAGATTAAACGGCTCACCGGTTCAGCTGGGACTGCAGCAGCTCCAGTCTGGACTCCAGCTCCCTGGGCCGCTCCTCCACACAGGCAGGGCGCTGGAACGCGGCCCTGACGGGGGAAGGCCGCCTCTGGCTCTCTGAGAGCTGGCTGGCCCTGCGCTCTGGCCAGTAGCCATACACGCCGGACACGCTGATAGGGGCTGCTGCTGAGCAGGGGACAGGCGGCGGACCAATGGTCATGCTCTGTTTTTCTCCATCCGCTAAAAAATGAAAGTTTTTCTTTGACTTTTTTTTTACTTAAAAAGTACATTTTTACTTAAGTTGCTGCAAAATATAATAAGTTTAATTTTCAAATTAACACATGATACATTTTTTTCTCTGCATTAAATCTGTTTTTAAAGAGGTGGAAAAGTGAACTATGATTGATTTGGTGCCTTTAAAATGCTGTGAGACTTCCCTGGTAATCAGGGAGGATAAAGGGACACTGTAAAAAGATTCTGAGTAACCCTAACCTGAGTACGGAGGCCCTCCGAGCTCTAAGGACTGTCCCATCCCAGCCTGAAGCCCACTGTGAGGCCGAAGGCTGACCACTGCGGGCGAATACTCCCTGGTGTCGCCCCCTTGGGGGTAAAGCTCCCCCTTTCGGTGTTGCACGGGCTTCACTTCCTCGTCACTGGACTGTGAACCGATACTGGCGCTGCTGCAGAGGTCTTCCCAGGGGGATCCGGCCGCCTTGCCCTGGTGGTGGTTGGCCATCGGACAGGACTGGTCCGGATAAGAGTCCTCCCGATCGGTGCCGTCTGTGCAGACAGAGTCAGAAAACGGCGTGAGAACAAACGGGAGCGGGCGCAGGAACCCGTGTAGGAGCCCGGGCCCTCACCCACCGGGCCTGTTCCGCCGACGCAGCGAGCCCCTCCGGTGCCTCGTCGGGCGGCAGCCGCATTCAGAGTCTCTGCTCGGGCTTGGAGGGTTTATTCTGTCTGCCTGATACATATCAGTGTCAGTGATTCAAAAACTCAGAGTGCTTTCTCTCAGACAAAGACACCACAGATGAACGTGTGTGTGTGTGTGTTTGGGGGGTCATAATCACTGTGAGAGGTGCTGTCCCTGTTTGTGTTTCACATCTGGTGGCACTCACATCTCTTAAGTTGAAAGTGATCTCCAGATTGTTCCAGAAAACGTCAGCAAAGTCGGGGTACATGTCCAGGACCTCCAGCAGGTCGTCCCTCTGGATCTTGTGCAGGTCGCAGTAGGTCAGAGCCCTGACGTCAGAGCTGGACTTCCCCGTCCTCCCGTACAGGCTGATGGGCTCACCGAAGATGTCGTTCTTTCCTACACACATCACAGCAAAAGAGGCGAGGGGCCACATCTCACCAAAAAAGGCTGGAACGCGTGTGCAAAACCGAGATACGGAGAACAGTTCACGGACAGAAGGCCGAGGGGATGAATCTGAGCAAAGCAGAGTGCTACAGCAGCTCGGAGCAAATTAATGGTCCTCACTGCTGAAAAGCCAATGACCTTTGCAGCCTGGATGTGAGTGCTGGCCCTATTGGTGATCAATGCCGCTGTGGAATGAAAGTGGAGCGGTGCCCAAACACCTCTGGCAACACAACACAAACGTGTGCGTGTCAGTTGGGTGTGAAAGCAGGTTTCAGCTTTGGGGGAAGAGACGAGCGGTGAAAAACAAACACAAACGAAGGGGGAGAAAAAAATCTCAATGAAAAACTATTAATCCAGAAAAAACTATTAAAAAAACAAATGTTACTCTTTTGATGTAGTCTGGTTAAAATGGTTTGATGACTTGAATATCTGAAATCTAAACGTCCCCCCCGCCTCACCCAGAATGGCCACCACCACGTCCTCCCTGAGGATCTCTATGGAGCCTCGAGAAATGAAGTAGATGGCGGTGAGAATGTCCCCACTGTGGACCAGCGTGTCCCCCGGTGGAGCGTGGGCGGTCTTGAAGCGCATGGCCAGAGCTCGTAGGCAGCCTTTGTTGGCACCTCGAAAAGCTTTGCAGTTCTGAAGCAAGCTGCGGTTCAGATGAAGGCAGATGTCAGCTTGCAGGCACTCAGGGAAACCTTTTAAAACCTGGAGGAAAACAAAAAGCAACAAATCCAGAGCTCAAACGGTGACCTATGGGCTCTTTCTCTCACTGTGTCTCTAAAAGGGGGACGGTGCAAGGTGGATTTGGAAATAGCATATGAAAAAGCACCTGAGGGGGGGAGAGAAGGAGAGAATGTGTCAGATTGATTCCGGCTGCGGATCGGATCCAAGTGATTATCTATTCTTACATTGAATTGGCAGGCTCTAATGCTTTTGCGTCACACTCTGCCTCAGTCCAAACAGCAATATGATGCACATCATCAGAAAAATGGGTCACCAACTAGAGCGGCCACAGTGAAACTGAATCTAAAACAAAAAGGGGGCACCCAGATTTGAACTGGAGACCTGTTGATCTGCAGTCAAACGCTCTACCACTGAGCTATGCCCCCCCCACACACAGCAACAACAACTACAGTCCCACAAAACGAAGGGATTCACAATTCTGTTCCACATTATCAACGTAAACTGCCATGCTAGAACATTATTTATAGTATAAAATTAAGACATTTTGGTCAGAGAATAGCTCAAAATGCAGCTATAAATAATGCACATATTTTTCTATTATGTTTAGCATATTACCAGGACATCTTCATCAAACAGCACAAATATCTGAGCTTCTTATGTGAGACAAGCTCCGTGTTATATCTGTAGCACACAGGGGGGGGGGGGACCCAGACTTGACCTGGGGACCCTTTGATCTGCTGTCATTCGCTCTACCACTATACCCCCCATGCCCTGGACAGATTGATGTAACATCAGCATCTGTTACACGCAATCTGCTACAGCAGAGAGGAGCTTTGTGTAGGTCACACGGTTCATTTCTGGCACAGGAAGATGCGAGGCACCCAAAAGGACTCACAGCGTTCATGTCGATGCCGTTGGTGTAGGACCAGGCGTGCTGGAAGTACTCCTCCAGCCTTTGCTTCAGGCCTCCCGGGATCTGGTGGAAACGGATGAACTCTTTGACCCGCAGCATCTGAGTGTGGTAGCGGGCCGTGCCCGAGTACAGCCTCTGAATGATGGCCGACACGTTCCCAAAGATACTGGCGTACATCAGAGCTGAAAGACACGAAGGGGCAGAAATAATTGGCGCCCTGAAGCCGGAGGAGCGAGCTGGGCCACGGTTCGAAAGCCAAAACTAGCCGAATCACGTGGAACAAAATGTAACACAGAATCCAAAGCGGATAAAGTCTTATGCTTCCATCCTTTTTTTGCTGCAAAATGGGTCTTAACACTCTACTCACAGCCGATAAGCATGACACAGATGGAGAAGATCTTTTCTGGGTTGGTGTTGGGCGACACGTTGCCAAAGCCCACACTGGTCAGGCTGCTGAAGGTGAAGTACAAGGCTGTAACATACTTGTCCTTGATGGAGGGCCCTGAGGCTATGTCACTGTCGTTGTAATGTTTACCAATCTGGTCAGCCAAGTTGTCCAGCCAACCAATCTTCATGCCACCGATGCGGGCAGAGCCCGTGCGCTCCACGTTGCCGATGGCATACCAGATACAAGCCAGCCAGTGGGCGATGAGGGCAAACGTGCACATGAGGAGGAAAAGGACAGCCGCTCCATACTCAGAGTAGCGGTCCAACTTTCGGGCCACTCGCACCAACCTCAGCAGCCTGGCTGTCTTCAGTAATCCGATCAGCGTAGTTTGAGTTTGAGGCTCTGTCTGATGAAAGAATGAATTTTGTCAGTAAAGCGATGTGCATCTGAATGAAAACAGTTTGCATGCTATTATTAGAATGGATTTGCTTGTATTTCTTTATGGAGAGCAGTTACAGTAGCTAATGAGAACTGCAGAAAAAAACAATTAATTTAATTTAAAACAGTACCTGTTAATCACGAAAATTAGGACTAGATTAAATGTATATTTCTGTGACCTTTTGCTTCAGCCTTTGGTTAAAACACTGTTTCAAGATAACTTTGTAAAATAGAAATGATAATTAAAAACATGAAGAAGATATTTATCTAATTCAATACTAAAAAATATATATTTTTTATTGGAATGTTTTTGGATTTTGTTAAAGAATCAAACAAATAGTTCTAATAAAAAACAAGAATTACAGGATTAAAACGTCTAGGTAAGTGAAAAGCAGATTAGACCAACAGCACTTGTGACACTGTTATGTGTCATTAAATAAAAAAAACATGTATATACTTCTCGAAAACATCATGAATCAGTTGTGTGTAACCACTGACATCCACTGTGTGCGGTTCTCTCTCACCTCCTGTGTCCCAGACCGAAATATGAGCAGATCAAAGGGGATGGCAGCCACTATGTCGATGAGAAACCAGCCCTTGAAGTAGTGCTGTGCGATGCGTCCCGGGTGGCTGACCACCTCGTCGTTCTGGTTCACGTACGTGGTCCTGAAGTTGATGAGGATGTCCACGATGAACATCACGTCCACCACCAGGTCCACCACGTTGAGCGGGTTGCAGGTGTAGCCGCAGGACCTCCTCTGCTCCTCCTCCACCTCGTTGAGAAGGAAGGCCGCTGAGTACGGAGTGAAGATGGCGGTGTAGATGACCAGCAGCAGGATGACCCAGTCCCAGACTGCTTTGAAGGGGCTGTAGTGGAGGATGGTCCATTTGTGGATCCGAGGGGCCTGGAGCTTATATTCCGGCAGCACGTCAGCGCCCAGCGATAACACCTAAGAAAATCCAGGACAGGACGGAGACATGGGAAGAAAAGCAAAACCACACAGAGGGACTCAGGATTGAGAAAGGTACTTAAAAGAAATAAAACGACTGAGATTAATTCTGACTTATCTTACTAAGCTTAAATGCCAGATAAGACGGGGGGAGGGGGGATTTGCCCGTTAGAATGCAAAAGGGCAAAATGCTCACGATTCAGAAATGTCTAGCAGGCAACCAGCATCATGCAGAAGAACAAAGAAAGAAAAGTAGGTTTAAGTATTTCCCCTGACTAGAGGGGACCTCTAAAAGGCATTTGGATTTAAGTGTAGTTAACATTAGCTGTCTGTAGCTGTTATGGACAGGATGAATATTTAAGTAGACTAACTTTTGCTTCAAATTTTTATCCTTAGCTGACATGTTATAATACTAACATATAGTACTAAATATAGATGTTTTTTTAAATCACCATTGGATTTTAAAGCAATTGTCAATGTACCAAAAGATTAGATTATTCATTTCTAAAATGGTTGTCACTCGTACAAAACCATATGTGAAGTTAGCTAAATGTGTTCATTGTGCCTTACACTCAGCTTATGCAAAAGTTTAATACGGAAGCTCTTTTTCCACTCATCAGGCCTCATTATCAGGTACGTGGGGTTCACATCCTGCTGCACTGAGTGCTTTTTCTGATGCTGTCAGGCTCTTTTAATGCTGTTGTCACAACTCTGGTTTAATGGTCTTCTTGCCTGATAAAGTGAAAGCCTCACACATTTCTGCAGAGGTGCTCCAAAGGGCAAATGTTGCAGCAAACTCACCAGTCAAAAATTACTAAACAATATAAAATGGAGTTCTTTAGGAGCAAACGAGTGAAAAGGCTCGTGTGTGTTTTGATGCATCCTCCAAGTAAAGCCCTGGTTTTGAAGTATATTGATGAACAAATAACCAAAGACAAGTCATACATTCCCCACAAAGAGCCTGATTTTAGCGACGACTGGACAAAACAAAGTCACGATGGCACTTTAATAATAGCCTCTGTGAGCTCACCTTGCTTGTTTGTGGGATACATTTCAACAAGGAAAGGGTTCAGAGACGATCACTGACTCATCTTTTTAAACTGGGGTGAAAAAGAGAGACTGGTCTGGTTTCTCATACCCTCACTACAGTGCCGTTAAAAAAGAAAACAAGTAATTCCACGGTTACAGAAAGAGGAGTCAGCCATCAGTAAGAACCTACGGACGAGAAAAACAAGGACAGCCGTGGAGTCCAGGCCCTACAGCCTGCTGTGCTGTGACCTCTAAGTTTTTCCTCTGACTTAAGAAAAAAAAACCCAACCCAGAATCCCTCGGCTCTTATAACTCCTCTTTTTTAAAACAGCTCTGTGCTGCTTCACCTGTCTCTGTGAGTCAATAGTCTGGACCAGAGTAAGTGCTGGCATCGACTGGGCGCCATGCAGAGAAGTGAGATGCAAACAGGCCCCCTCTGGGCTTCAATGCAACATTTCTGGCATTCCATCAGAAGTCAGGGTATTCCATCTTTCTTTAAAAGCTTCAGTAGGACCCCATTTGTACATATTAAAGCCACTATTTAGAAAAGACGCTGGACCCGAGGCGTACAGCAGCAGAGGATCCACAACCATCCTCCAGACTGAGTCAACAAAGAGTAAAAAGCAAAGTCTGGTCAAATCTGATCTCTTTGCCTTTATTAGAGGAAAAGAAAACACTTCACTCCCCCAGTTTCAAAACAGCCAGCAAAAATAGGAAAGTAAATAGTTTCACAAGGACAAAGTGCCTGTAAAAAGTGACTGAATGTGCACTTGCCCATATTAGGTGGACAAAAACAACCTCAGGGGAAAAAAATGTAGGTTTTGCCCTTACAAGGAATAAGCAGGGTTCAGTTGAATTATTACAAAGGGATGCTGGCTTGTGCTCTGGCTGTTTGTATATCTACTGGGAAAACACACAACGTTAATTGAGTCCCTCCAACCCAACAACTGCCTGTACTCCCACAGGGGCCACACAGATATGACAAGACCCCACAGTAATGATGATGCACGAGCAGGAGGAGGGTCCACTCACCCGGTCATTCATACATTACTGATTTTCATAATGACACTCTGTTGAGTCTAATTTGAAAGGTTCATTTTGAAGCATAAGGGAAATTTAAACTTGAACTATAGTCTCTATCAAACCTCCACAATGCAAAAGCAGCACGACACTGATAGGAAACACCAAAGCTATACGATTCAAAACACAACCTGCTCACAACCACAATGCAGAATGCAGAATCACTCAATTATTTAGGTGAAATGGAAATCACATCGATACAAATCTTTGTCAAACCCAATATCCAACTTTAGTTGTAGTGATTATGCTTATTCAGTCTTTAATACGCATCACATTTTCAGCCACTATTATACTTGTAACCCAAGTAAAGTTAAAACAGGACCAACATTTTGTCAAAGTGAACAAACTCCCGATTTTGTCACCAATTTTTGTGATCTCTGTCTGAGCTCTATCATGTAGCCAAGTTAAATGAAATCAGTTTCCTTTAAGTAAGCGGCTGCCGCTCACCTGGGGAGCAAAAGCCAGAAATCAAGGGGGCAAAGTGGGAAGGGGAATAAAGAGGAGGGGAGGAAGAGCTATAAATGGGGAAAGTGGCAGCAACCAACAGGCATATGAAGCTGAAGTAAAGGAGGGAGAGACGGAGGTGAACAGCAGGGAGCATGAAAAACCCAGTAAAGGCTGAAGTACTTACAGGCTGAAGTTTCTGCTTGATGCTCATGATGATGCACACCACGGGGTAAAAGCAGGAAAAAAGTAAGACTAAGATTAAGAAAGTGAGGCATACATCAACCTCTACCCATCGGTCTATCTTACTCCCCTGCGCTCCCTTGTTCTTCCTCCTTACCCACAGCCCTGCCCTCGGCCAGAGATCCTCCTTCAAACACATAAAAATCACACAGTGGCTCCGTGAAACTGCACACTCCTCCTCGCACATCTTTTATGGTCAGCCTGGGAAATAATTCTGTAAATATTTGCCGTGTTTCTTTATGTGTATCATGTTGCAATCGTGGTTATGTCAATAGTTACCTGTGTGCATTTAAAGAACCAAGAAACAACTTGAAATCAGGAATGATGACTGAGAACCGACCCGTTTTTCAGAATTTCACTAAACTCCTGATGAGAATGGAACCCATCTCATCGAAAGAGTACAGGAAAGACTATGTTAGCTGTATGATAAACACAAAAAAAGTCCAACTAATAAAGTTTGTGGACGCGAACCCCAGCACAGACACGTTTTTACTAACAAAGGAACATTTCAGACAGTTTTTCCTCCAAAGTAGACGCCAGGGGGCGCCACTTAAACACGCATGTCTTCTCCTAAAGCACACACACACACTCTCTGTTATTTGTCTTTAACAAGCAACAGCTGGGTTAATTACACTGTGTGCATTATGCAGACAAATCAATGCGAGCAAAGATCAATGACAACTTTCATTTCTCTTGCTGTAAAGTGACAAATCGAACTTCAATTAAAAAGGAGAGATGAAGAAACTTTTCCCATATGCCAGCCCCACAATCAACAGTTTAAATCAATTTAGATTTCTATCTTTTGGTAACAAGCAACGAAAAATGGATAACAGCAGAGCTTTGGAAAAATCATTCCTTGTCAATGATGGCTTTTAGCTATTTCTCACATGACTCAGATCTGAGCTGGAGCATTTCTAAAAGCTCATGACTGTCATACCCCGGCAAGCTAATTCAGCCCTTTGAACGGGAGAAAAACCTCAAACGGGCACCGGCATGAAGACGGCTCTGGGGGTTCTGCAATGTGATTTAGTGGGACAGATGCAGAGAGCGTTCACTCCCGCTGCCCTCCATTTCCATTAGTTGCAGAGGCCAAGGTCAGAGGCAGAATCAAGCCACCGAAAGCCGCTCGATAGGCTCACAGCGGCTGTTCTTTTTCTCTCGCTTTCATAACTGCATCTCACCAGGACCCCGGTCCACTCCCACAGACGGCTTCACAGACAGTCTGTGAGCGGCACACACCCACACGCTTCGCCACACGCAACCTCACACCCTCAGCACGCCGCCAACTTACCACGAACACCGACACCACACACAGTTGGCACAATGGCTTTTATCTCTGATCAAACAATATTCTCGGAGGCTTTCGGCAGTTTCTCCTAAATGACTAAAAACCCCTGTTTTATTCAGCCGTCAGTGGAGGGGAGGGTTTACATTCTGGTCAATCTGTGCAGCAAAAAGAGGGACAAATGTGCACACAGAAACTTGAAGCCACCCTCCGCTTGAAATGTGTCTGTTTTTCTGTGTTTGTGTGGAAGTTTGGTCCAAACATGTGATGTGGAGCTCATGGCTCCATTACTGTGTTATAATTCATGTCAATTTCTGTTAAAAATGAATGACTTACAATGTTATTAGCTCATTCCAAAGACTTAGAGTCTCTAATTTGATCTAATAAATAAAATCATGGGTAAAAATTAAGTTCAGTAAAAAAAATTCCATCAAAAACTGTTGGTTGTGAAAAACATTCAAATATTGCCAACAAATGCAAACTGTAAATAAGAACATTAAAAGATGTTGTTTTTACTAACTATTAATGACTAAATGAAAACCTGAACCCCTAAAATTATTTGGTGGGACCAGAATATTTTAAAGAAAGGAGAATGCCATGTGCCATCTGAGGTTATAATAATTTTACAATCTGGCAAAAATCTAGTTGTTTTTATTTAAGCTAGATCTAAAGAATACCTTTGGCACTAAGTGTTTGTAAGCCGAAGAAGACCTTTAAAAGACAGTGTGTGGTCTGTCAGCTAAACACACCACACACAGATCGCTATCGTTTCTGCCTTCTACCTTCCAGAAGAGAAACATAACACAAAGTAAAACAAACCACTCTGACAGGCTCGCGCTGATACAGAGGGAGGCTGGCTTTTTCATCCAGACTCGTTCGTGACGTCAGCGGAGTCACGATAACAAGTCCAGCGTGCCGCCAGGCCTTTAAGGGGAGCGTGTGTCGGTACAGTCAGTTTTTCCAGGGCCACGCTGCCTCAACGTCCTGCATTAAGTCCCAGCCAGCTGTCTATAATGCAGAGGCTCCCCGTGGGAAGAAGTGAGATCTCACTGCCATGACAGCAGCAGCCTTCAGCCTCATATAGTAAATGTGCCTGGCTAACCGGAGGGAAATGCAGCGTATTAAGGAAAGCACGGGCACTTTTTGAGACTACACCAGGGAAAATGCAGATTTGAGACGAGAAACAAGACTAAGGACATTCACAAGTGTATTTTGTTTTCCACATGTGGGTCTAGAAAAGCAGAAATATGGAACTCGGGTTAACTGAGCTGATTTTATTAAATTGTTCAGTGTTTTTAAATCTAAATTTAGCGGTGTTTGGATAGTCTGTTTAAATGTTGTGGCGGTTCCTGTCAGATGTACTTCACACCTACACGGATCGGCAACACACAGCAGAAAAGAAAAAGACAAACTGAGATATTTCTAAAGCTGATACTGCCACACAGAGAAGTAATTATGGGGAGGAGTGGGGAGTTTCTACTTTTAGATGAAGGTTAAACCAATACAGAAATACCTAATTCAGATATCTCTCCATATTTGAAGAAGTGCAATAAAAGAAAACAGCCACCTAAAAAGTCAAAATAAGCTTTATGCAAAATGCTCAAAAAAGTACTTCCTGGTAATATTTCCAAATGTCCACAAAGGTTATTATATTTACACACAAAAGGTATTCTTTCTGCTTTATAAGAAAAACTAACTGGTTAGCTTAAAGGAGTTTTAAACAGCATTAATGTTGGCCAACCATGTTCAACCAACAGCCTAAACGGGCCAAATCCTTTTGTCTCCATGCAGCTAAATAATTACAAGGTAATATCACAACATAATGTGTAATAACCCCAAAGCTGTAGTAGATCTGTGTGCCATCCTGACACAGCGGCACAGGTTTTCTTATACTGGCTGATCAAACTGATCATTTTTTGGTCGTTTTTTCACTGGCTTTAAAGTGTTTTCCCCTCAGGGCCTTCCTTAGCCGTCACACGGAGACACCGGGGTGTGATGGCAGGAGGCTGACGAGCTCTGCTCTGCCGAAAAACAGCAGAAGAAGTCACACCTCAGGTGAGATCATTCTTTCGCACCCTGACTGCACGTGGCTTTCTGGGCCGTTGCTGAGTGGGAGGAAAGTGCCATTTATAGACTCCTTTGTTTTGACCTTTTGCAAAGACAAAATGAACATATGCCTCAGTGTGAAAGCATCGAGAGCAATAGGGTCGACGTCAACTAAACGGAGTCAGGCAGGAGGCTCGGGCCTCCCGTGTGATCTGTCTCACGCTCTGCATGCCACTTATCAAACGCACCCCTCCAGTCCGAGCTGCAAAGCTCTCTGCTTCACACACCTGAAGGGAGCCCAAAATATACACATGAACATACTAAACATACAATGGGAATATTTCCTTAACTTTAAACTCAACATGTGAGCTGTCCGACAGACATTCAGTTCCTCAATGTAAAGCTCTCAAGTAATTGAATTTATTTAGCAGCAGCTGTAAATTAACGTCTTTTCCATCCACTTTGGTTAAATTCAATCAAACTAAAATGAATGTTTTTGTATGTTTTTAAAGGTTTACATGGGTGTGCCCTTTCTCTATCCACAGGCGTCTCAGGTCCTGTGAAATGCTGCTTTTAGCTCTCTTTGGGTGGGCTAATGAGACAGATCGTGCCTTTGCAGTGGCAGCTCTGTCTTTAATGTGTGCTCTCAGTGGACAGCTGAAGCCATGTTTGTTCTCTCTGGTCTTTAACCCTATTTAGGCATGTTAGCGCTCATTAACTGTTTTTATCTTCTGTTGTTTTACTTGCTGAAGCACTTTCATTTAGTCTCTGCTCCTATTTTTGATGATTCTTTTCTGATTTTTGTAAATCCCCATACACCAGCCACAAAGGCACAACAGTTTAAATCTGTTAAAAAGATGTTTAAACACATGAAAATCATTAAATGGCAACAAAAAGAGATCAAGTAAAAGTAAAAGCAACCTCATAGAAAAATTAGTCAGCTAGAAAACATATATGAGGTACTTAAAACTACAGGAAACAGCCTTTGAATCTGATTTTCAAACCCAATGGCATGTTATTTCAAAATGTGGGAATTACATTACAATAGTTTACTTAAGATTGCACATGTGACGAAAAAAGTCACTGATATGCAGCTTCCTATTTTTACTGGAGCAGTTCTCCTTCACAAGTCGCTTAAATCCTGAGAGCTGATTCCTTCTTCCAGGTACTCCAGTAAAATGCCACAATCCAAAGTTTCAAAGCCACGCTATAAACCATAAGACAGCGAAACGAGCCCAAGAGTCGGAGCTGACGCTTTAACAAAGGTCAGCACAGGCTTTGAGCAAAGACTCTGAGTATTTTAATATCCACAGAATATAACGTCAAAATATCAAGAGAAGCGAGAGACATTTCGGTGAGAAAGGACTGTTGATATTCGAGCTCCTGGCTCATCACACTAAACAGTTGTGTCATGGAGATGACGACAGCGTGGGCTCAGAAACACCTCCAGAAATCATTGTTTTATGAATGCAGATCACCCCGACAGCCCAAAGCTCGGGTTAAAGCTCTTTTATCAAAACAGCAAGCCACACGTGCAAATGACAGAGAAACACTACCCAGAAACACTGTAGATGAGTTTTACTGCAACACGCTCCCATTCAAATGAGGATTTTAGGAATACTGTATACAGCTTGTAAATTCCCTATCTATTCCAAAAGCATACAGATGTTTACAGCTACACAGTAGCTAACAGGGAATGTTGCTCTTATCAAATTTCAGATTTGATAAGATCGTAATTTCTCACTTTCAATATTTAATTTTTTCTGTTTCATTGTGAATGATTGTGTTGTTTTTTCAGTCTCTCTGTTTCCTGAGATCATAGAGGACATCTCACCTGTGTGACGTGGGTAACCTTCTCAGTGACGTTCTGGGTTCGGTCCTTCACCTTGCTGGGCGCAATGATTTCAATCTCGGTGGGTGACGGAGGTCTCATTCGGTCGGAGCCAAAAGTGAGCGTGACCTGAGGAATGCGGCCGATGGTTCTGTGTCTCATGAGGTCTGAGTCTGACGTGGAGTTCAGAGCGCTCGGCTTCAGATCTGCAAAATTCAAAGGCATTAAAAGTGCAATTTGAAACGTGAACAACGGCTAAACGACTTCAAATGATGGTTTAAAGCTGAAAGTAAAGCAACACTTCCTGGATTTATTCAGATAGATGTCACAGAGTTTGAATAATATGTAAATAAATTGGGAAAGGCCTCACAAACAACATGGATGGAACAGCAAAATGTGAAATTGCTATGGCTCAGCCTAAGACTAAAGGCTGTATCCTGTTCAGTTTAATTCTACACGGTATTTCCCCAGAGAGGGGACCGAGGCAGATGTGCAGCGATGAGCAAACACAAACGCACATCAATCTGCTCACACACACACACACACACACACAGACACACACACACACACACACACGCAGACACGCACACACAGGCTGAATATTGAGTCCCTTCCTGAATAAACACCACTGAGATGATCTGTGTTACAAACGCCAGAGCAGAGATCTGATGCTTCCTTTTTCTGTTTATTCTGCTGAGTCACGCTCGAGAGCCATCACAGAAAAGTGATTCAGTCAGACTCACACCCTCACACACACGGGCCCTCACACACTCACTGCTGTTGCAGCGGGCGTCTCCGGGCTGGACGCTCCACTCCGCCCTCATGCCGTCGATGTCGTCCAGCGAGGACGCCCGCCGGAGGCTGCGGATGCTGTCCCGGGAGCAGCTCCGGGGCAGCGCCCCCCGGGGGAAGGCCGCGCCCGGGTCCAGCCGCTCCGTCAGCAGGGAGCGGCGCTTGGCGGAGCACTGGGCCGGCGCCGGGGGGGGGTCCCGGTCCTGCTCTATCAGGGCCTCCGTCTCAGACAGCAGGCAGCTCTCCTTAGACGGGATCCGGAACTCTTTCAGGGGTACTTCCTCACTGTTGGGCTGTGGAGGACAGACAGTAACACAGGAAGAGGGCGTTGATGCCACCGTTATGTTGGTTAGGGTTGGGGTTAGGGTTAGGGTTAGGGTTAGGGTTAGGGGAGGCCACTTATGTGTAGTCAGCACGAGAACAGAGAGGAATGTCAGGTCCGTGCCAGCGAGTGAATTCCACCAGCCCCCAAAAAAGGACATTTTTCTGACCCATTAAGGCTCCGGTTTCAGGTATGGATATTGTCAGGAAGTGTGATCCATCCAAGCGGAGGAAGTCTAAACAAAAGTGAGGGAAGATTCAGGGAAGAAAAAGATCATCTGTGGAATGGCTGCTGTTCCCTTGAATCGTCTTCTTCCTGCTGGGAAAAGAGCTCTTACATTTCAACCGGCTTTCACTGACGTTTGGAGGAGCTTTAATGCCTGAAATTGCATTGAAACGCCGAAAATCAAACTCTAAAAGACCGGGTGCAGCTCGTTCGGTTGCAGAGCTACTTTTTTTTTGTGCTTTTCAAACATGACCAATAAAACATCTATGTGGAGGCGGGAGACTGCAGAGACGACATTGTACCTGAGACATTGCAGATAAATGTGGAATCATTTTCCTCCAGATGTTGGCTTCTGCCTGACTCACCTGGAGGTAATCCACCACCACTCCTTCAAACTGATCTTTGGAGAGTGACGGTCGGCGGATGGAGCGAAGCACCGGCAGCCTCATCTTCAGCCTGCGGTTCTGACCTGGGGAGGGGGGGGTTTGAAAATGTACATTAATCTTACCAATGTGCGTACAACTGGATTTGACAATTCAGACTATACGACTATTGTTAAAAAAAAGCAACAGCTGAACTTTCTGTTGGCGTGAAATGTTGGAGGATTTACAGTAAAGCCATCCTTGGGAGACCCTCTGCCTGAGGCCTGACTTCTTCATGGACGGGTCGATCAGCTCCTGGAAGTCAAGGATGTACATGATGACGAGTCCCTCCTCATTTTTGACGGGTACAATATCCACCCGGCAAGGTCGGCAGGTCCCTGCGGGAAAATGAAGGGACGGGTTTCAGCGAGAGAAAACAGGGGGCACCTGGATTTGAACCAGGGACCTCTTGATCTGCAGTCAAATGCTCTACCACTGAGCTATACCCCCTCACACTGAGCAGGGAGACTGATCGTGAATAGTCATTTTCAATCAGTTGCCTGCCTCTATTATACTTTCAGGATAATATTAGAGGGGAAAGAGGGGGGCTGAAAAAAGAGGGAATCAGCAACGTTTCTGTCAAATCTGACTCCGCTCTGCAATCACTGGGTCTAAAAATGGAAGCGGGACAGAGGGCAGATTGGACCACACACAGCCTGCATTCATCCCCGGTCCTCATCTCTCACACCGGTTTCATCTGAGCGAGCGGCAGACCGGGTCCGGATCGCCCCGCACTCGCACGGTTTCCCCGCTCGCTCAGCCTCGGAGCGCGGCGGGGAAGCGGGAGACAAAACAAATAGATACTCAGTGGATTTGAGCTGGCGCGCTGATTGCATTTCCATGACAACAGCACGGTAGACCGCCCCGCCTCACGCCCGAATGCCTAAAGTATGTCTGCGCGTGGATGTCAACACGGAGCGCGCCTGAGTTGATATCCGGTGGCAGTCCGGAGCTCCGTGTGCCGGCGTGCCTCCATCCTGAGCCAGCAGCAGATCCACGTGTGATCGTCCTCCTAAATGCACTTCCCTTTTTGTAGGTGAAGCAGATCAAAGAGGTGAAACACACCTCTGCAGCAGAGTTTCTGTCGCTGATAACAGCCAAAACTACGGCTGCTAATTCAGCTTTAGGAGCTTTAGGTGCACAGTTATAAGCATTCCTTTATGTTTTCCCATTATTTCTGTTTAAATAAGGAGTATAAAACTCTGACTAGACCTATTTTCATGCTCCTCATCACTCATGAGGAGGCTAAGATCTAATCTCATCATCAGGACCAATCTTTTGAGAAAGTCTTCTTAATATTTTCTGGATTAAAACACATAATTCATCCTCTTGTGGTTGCTGAAACTTGTCAGTTGTCAGAATAAATGCTTATGTGAGAAAAAGACCAAACTAAACCGATTGGACCACATTTTCTGTCATAATTTCTCATAATATGTGCTGTCGTATATACAGCACAATAGCATGAATCATGGACCATACGGAGGGTTTTGTCGGCAATGATTCCAAGTCAGCCAAGCTGTCCAGCAGGCTGGATTTAGCCACGGCCAGAAGGTTTATTTCCAGGGTTACGAGGCACGAAACAGTGTGGATTCTCGCGTCTTTGCCGCTCCGCCTTATCCTCGGCGCCTCACCTTCCTTAGAGTAGTAGAGGATCTCCACCTTGCGCTCCTCGGAGCCGAGCAGGGCCTGAGCCAGCTGGGACAGGGCGCTCTTCATGGTGCCGGGCCCCACCAGGAACTGGCAGGTGCAGGGCTGCTGCATGATCTCTGCCCTGGTGAAGCCGAACATCTGGCAAAAGCCCTCGTTGCAGTAGATGATGCCGCAGTTCTTCATCTGGGCGTTGGCGATCAGAAACTTGCGATCTGAAATTTGAGCGAAAAGATATTTGAGTGAAATGTCACGACATGTGACGACTGAAAAAGTGAAAGAAAATGCTTTCTGACATTCAGATCTCAGCTTTTTTGTGTGGTGTTTTTTTTTAAAGAACAAGGGTTGGTTTTTCCAGATTTTGGAATTATCTAATTACAGTTCTGAATAAATCCATACACAGTCTACAGTTAATCAAATCGGCCTGAAGTACAGTGTGTTCCAAGTGTCCCGCATGGCTTTGTATCTGATGAGGTCTGCCCTTTAACGAACGACTCCTCTTCCTCTTTACTTGGAAATAAGCTGAAGTGGAACTAATTAAATCCAGCTTTCCATGGTACTAATGTTATTAGCCTCACAGTTTCTCTCAAGGGGATCAAGGAGCAGGTGGGCCATTATAAAAGCCTCGGCATAAACCATCTCAGGTAACGTGAGAATGTGAAGCTTGCCGATGTCTGTCAGGTTGGCCTTTTTCGCATGACATTTTAAAATGGTCCACAGGATGGTAATAAAATGGTCTTGTTATTTGCTCATGCTTTCATTTTCATTTTGAATTGTGTGTCCATGATTTTTGGACAAATTTCAGCTTTTAGTTGGTGATCTACATGTTAAAGTACGGTAACTGTTTTATCATTTTTTAATTCAATTGAATGTGTTTTTTCCTCATATTCATACACAATGTAAGGCCCAGCATAGGTTCATGTGCTATTTTCAAAATAACATTAAGCTTGAAAACATTTCAAATTTAGCCTCATTTATAATATTTCATATCAGAAAACTACTTTAATATAGCTTTATTACCATAATTTAGTTCTTTGGAGACCACATAGAATAATTAAAGATTTAAGGTCGGTAACATAAGCACACATAAGACACACAGATAGATTTTAAATGTTACATATCTTCTCTGAGGTACAATGAAAATGGCAAACATGAGAAAATTACTTTTTTTTCCAAGCAGATTGTAATCTCTGCATAACAGCCTGATTTGAATCGCTGGCTGAGTGGAAACTCTGTTATTCTCTCATTGGATGGCAGAGCGTGGATGTCTTCTCACCAGCAAATGGCCTCCCTCAGGGGGTCAAACAGCTTTATTGACGCTCTTTCACACAGTGATAACACGGCAGCATCAAGTGCAACAATTGCGTTTCGTTTTGTTTTTCTAGGCTGTCAGATTTTTGATGCTGAGTGTCGTCTGCTCTCATCACCACCCCCCACAGTTATATTCCGTGCTGATGTGAAGTATCTGCAGCCCTCAGAGCCGTGATGCCCCAAATGCAGGATGACAGTGATTTGGGAGAATTCCTGTTCCAAGGCTGCTAATGGAGGAGCCTAATGAGCTGAAGGAGAAGTAAAAACACAACCTCTGTGGCCCCAACTGTCCCTCTTTGTTATGCTCTCGTGGAGGCGGGTGCCACAGCTGTTGGCTGCCCGCTCCGATCGGAGCAGGGGACTCTTCTCTTTTTGAAGTAAATGCCTGAGCTACTCTGGTGGAAAGCACATCCTGTCCAGAGTCATTATCTGGGGCTCAAAGCAGAGACGCTGATCGTCACACGGTTGCTTAGCAGCGACACTGTGGCACGTGCACTCACCTGGTCACGCATCTGGCTCCATGTGCACGTGCACACACATCTAGGTACGCCATTACGTAATAGATCCTTTCCCAAAGTCTCTTGAAAGAATCATCCACCAGTGCCTCCAGATTTGACAGAACTAATACTTAGTAAGTCAACAAACAACTATTTCTCCACGTTTGGTCAGTTATCAGGGTTACCCTTACCCTAACCCTAACCCTAACCCTAACCCCTAACCCCTAACCCGAGCCCTAAAACACTGGTGATTAATCAGAGTACAACTTGTGATTTTTGGGGGGTATGTGGGGAAGGAAAAGTGAGCCGAGGATAAAAGCAGAGATGCTATGCAACATCTGCGTTTTTCTCATGTTTCAGGGGAACATTTTTTTCTTTCTGGATGCGTGAGGTGGTCCTGCCTCTGCAGCCCGTGGAACATGTGAGCTAATGGAACATAAGCCATTAGGTGAGCGCCCACAATTATGTGCACACACGCAGGTGGAATAACCCTAAAGCATTACAGCAGCAACAGGGGTCTGTTTGCATCACTAAACAGAAAAGATAAGACTTTTTTAATGGTAGCAGAGCTTATAAACAACCTGACAATCTGATCAACAATATGCAACAAACAGATTGAAAATGAAAGTTTTAAAAAGGCAAAATAACTTCTTTTTGCATAGATTAGCCATTCCTGAGGGATTAATATCGTTAACTTAATGTTATCAAGTTCTTATTTTAATAAAAGAGATAATCTAATTCAATCCAGGGGACAATTTCCTTTCTCAGATCAGATTAGTAGAGTCCACAGTCCAGACAGAGACTCAATTCATTATGCAGGATGTTTAAAACTTTAAAAAGACACATTATGCCTGATGACAGTATTCATAACAGCAACGTGTTCAGAGTCAACTCGTATTTTTAAAAAGCACTTACTTTGTTCGTCGAATTTCCTGATGATAGTGTCCAAGTATGTGTTCTGGAGAGCCACATGACCGCGTCTCACCGGCATTTTGGAGCTGAAAGTCTGCGCCTCCCCGACACATGAACCTCACCGGTCCCAAATAATCAGCCAAACGAGCAAAACGACGCACGACGATCTGCTGTCCCCGGTCTACGGTCCACTTGGAGGTGGACTGTCAGAAGCTGAGTGTGTGTGTGTGTGTGTGTGTGTGGTCCCCGTGGTGCCGCTGCTGGTGGGGGGACTGATGTGATGGAGAGGAGGACCGGTTGGTTGCCGGGGCGATGGCAGATGCAGGATGTTGCACGCGGATAACGCGGGATGAAAAAGTGGACTAAAAATAAAATAATGCCAGAGCCGTCGGTCCAGAGGTGAGAACCTGTTGTGGGGAAAAGTTGCGCACAGAAGCCGGAGCGCGCGCGTCCCTGGGTTTGTCTTATGAGCGCAGCATTCTCCCTCAAGTTTGGACACCGAGCGATAAGGCCGACAGGGAAGAACCCCCTATTTCCCCCACCCCCAATTCCCCCCCCCCCCCCCCCCCCCCCCCCCCCCCCCCGGCTCTAAAAGTGACTGTCAGCAGACTTTAGTCACCAAACCACAGCGGAAAACCACCAACTCTTTCTTTCAAAATAAACTATTTTCTTTCGCTTTGAGGGAAAAATGGAAGTCAACAAGGTTTCCTGACCTGAGTTTTGCGTTTATTTGTCCACGTGAAACAGCTCACTGGCTCATGAATGTGTGGTAACTCTGATAGTTTATTCCTTTATCTCTGCAATCATCAGTCCAAATACCGTAGAAAACAGGAGAAAAATAGGAAAACATTTATATGACTAATAACTGGACCACTGTTTATGATTATCAGTGTTTTATTTGTAAAATAATCTGTTGTTTGATTGTCTCTTTTAATGTGAACTGATTACCCTGCAGAAATGTTTAGTTTACTGTAGATAACTTGACAGCGCTCTGAGACTGACAGAGTGCAGAGTCTCTCATCTGTGAACCCTCTTTCACTCCTCATCTGTGCCCAAAAATAGCAGCATCCGCCTTCTGTGTGGGTGCCATCACACTTCTGAAGTCTGTGGTAAGGTGAGGGCGTGCCACTCTGCATGGCTGCTTTGGAAGACGTGCTTTTTCAAGCTAATATCCGTGGGGGGGAGATTTTGCAAACGAGAGTGGGCCGGTATTGTGAATCACACCATGACAATGAGCTGGAGAGATGCCACTGATGCGGGGAGGGAGCTGTCAAAACAAAAAAGGAGAAGAAACGAAAACCAAACGAGCTCTTAGAGGCTGGTGACAGGACAAGACGCACTGCTCTCAGTCAGGGATCCAAACCAAACCCGGCCCGGAGGCTGCCATCCGTCATCTTGAAATTGAATCAGTCACATGTGCGATTGGTTCTGAATCGACTCTATCAGAAAGATCTGCGTTTCGAGGTTTGACAGCTGGACCCCGGTCGTATAAATAAAGGCCTCGGCCCTCTGCTCTTACTCAAGGCGCTGACATTTACCTGGCAACGGCAGGGAACTGAGAGGAAGAACAGACACTCAGGCGTACACAAAGTTCACCTGTGGAAGTGGCTGCTCGACGCAAACACACTGCACACCGTTTACACACCGGTGGCTTTGTTTAGGGAAAGCTGCCCCCGCCGCGGTCTCATTGACCAACCCGGCTGAGTAATGTTCCCAGCCGAGAGGCGGTCCACAGCCGGGGCCGTCCTCTCTTCATCACCACTGGAAGTATGGAGACAATGCTCCCATCCATCATGCGAATCTAATAATATTTCACGTAATATTTCTCAGTGACGTTAATGTGGTCCATTCGTTACGAGCAAATATGGTGTGATGATCAGGAGACATCAAAAGTGGGTGATATTAAAAGATCCCTCTCAGTCTGCCTGAGCTGGCATTTCGGTCACCTGCACTTGCAAGAAGTGATCGTTCCACTTTGTAGGGAGAAAAATAGCCGTTGAGGGGCATGTGTTCGGCGATATGGAGGCTCAGACCCCTCGGGGGTGTGTGGAGATCTGAGAGAGTGTGGCCTCGCTGTGGCTCTGTGTTTTGTCTCAATCGTCTTGGTGAAATGAGGGCTAAAATTAACCAAAGAGCACACATGCCTTTTTGTGACCCTCTGGTGTGAGAGCAAAGTGAGACGGGAATGTGAGGGCAGTGAAAGATGGATTCATGGCTGCAGAGCTGGAGGATCCACGTGAGCCCCAGACAGAAGCAGCATCACAGATTTCATCATCTGGACTGGAAAGCAGATATTTTTGTACGTTTTAATGACCCCCTACAAAACGCATGAAAACAAGACTTAGTTCTGTCTTGTTTTCTTTAAATGCGTTCTTAGACGTCTGGAGTATTCTGCAGTAAAACAGAAGAAAGTAACTTATGTTACCGGCCGTTTTAACTTCCAAAGGATGCTTTTTCTGCTTAAATTTCAAAGTTCAGAGTCAGCCAAAATCAACTAAAACAGGTTAACTAAGGACAGAACATTAGCTCATGATATCAGCTGTGAGTTTTGTCATTCATGGGTCAGTCTAAAAGTCGTGAGCATCAATTTGCATACATGACAGCTGTTGTCACCTCACACCCACTTTGAGAAGATAACCGGCTTTAAATGTGCACCATTTCAACCTTCAGACCCTTCTCGCTCACGTGGAAAAGGCCTGGTCGGGAAAGAGCCAGACCTAAAAGCTCCAGCCCTCGACCGCCTGAGAGTTTTATCTGCCTGGAATTCCTCTGGCTCAGGGTCGCCCCGGGCGCAGACCTGAGACCCTCCATACCGCCGATAAGAGCCGAGCAAAACAGAAACAAAATGTACTCTGGGCTCATCCTCTGAGCTGCAATTTAAAAACCCCATTACAGTCTCCAGCCGCAGCTTTTATAACTCTGGAAATCCCGCTCGATTTTCAGAGGTTCTCTCAAAGTTCTGCTTGAAAAACTAAACAAATCTGTCTAAACCCAAAGCTTATGTAGAAATACCGAGTAAATGTGGTAATAGTGCTCAATCCTTCATGTCCATGTTGGGTCTTAGAAAGCGGTGCACAAACAATTACACAAATATTTAGCTTGGCCAGTAGTGAGCAGATGCATGTCTGAGGCATTTCTTGACCGTACAGTCGGGATTGTGGATATCGTCACACGTACGCTGCTGCCTAATGTAGGACTTTTAGCTCCTGTTAGGTGACAGCTGCTGTTTGTCTTCTGTCCTTCGCTGCAGCTTTCTCCTTTATATTGCAGCCTGACCTACATTTGGGGTTGTTTTCACACAGTTTCGCAGCGCTCGGAGCCCCGTAGACAGAGCAGCCATGCTTCTGGTCCTTGACTCCAGCTGGAAACACCTGCTGGGTGTTGTCGGTGACCTCAATCAGCAGCCTAATTTTTGTAGTCCGAGCAGCCACTGTGATGACAGTTTATCTTTCAGTGACACTCACATTCCCGCGATACAGTAAAATGTTAAATAAGTTATCAACTGCTGCTGTAATCATCCCTTTTATTATAGATAATGATGAATTGGCTCACTCAGATGAATGATTTATCTGCAAAACTAAGTAAACATTTATTAGAAATCAAAAGCAGGTTTCTGGAGTTTGAGTAAATCAAGCTTTAAGTCCCTGGACAGTGTTTGGGCTGCTGCCACTTAAATTGTTTAAACTCAGGATGCTCGCCCTGGCTTTTTTATTCAAGAATGTACCAGTATTTGTACATATATATATCATTTTTTCACCTTTTCCCTCATTATCATTGCTGGTATGACCAAAAGTGATGCTCTGAGCCAGCAAAAGCATCTCAACAGCAACACTGCTAGAACCTTACAGACAAATTGAGTTTTGAACTGTGAATTAGAGCATAGTTCTGAGCTTTAACTAACAGCTCTTCAGATTTGATCACTGTCAATGCATTGGAGGTGTTTATCTGCATCTCGAGCTAAACTCAAGCAGATACAGTCATAATGAGCGCAGCTGCTTGGTGCTGGAACCGGCCCGAAGGACAGGAACTGTCACATTTGGAGTTGTGCCTGTCGGCCACTGACAGCCGACCAATGCCCCACAAGTTATCTGGATCTGTCAGCGTCTGTAACCCTCATCTTACAGAAATTAGACCTGAAATATGTGCCTGCATGCGTGGTTTTGAACCGTGATAAATGATTCTAAATCTGTAACGCGGGAGTTTTGCTTGAAAAAAAGGAGACGAAATGTACATCAGACGGCCGTTTATTATCGTTCCATTACATCATTGGCTTTAGCACCAGTCAAACTACTGTTAGTAAAGAGTGAGAGGAGTAAGAAGAGATGGGTTTGGGAGTCAGGGGGATGGGATGCATGACTCACGAGGTGTCCTTGATGGTGAGCGCACACAGCCACCTTGTCACTCTGGTTAGTGGCACTGGCTCCCAGCATGCTTCAGTCAAAGCTTCCAACAAAGTCAGGAGCTGGACGAGCGCTTCCGCTGTCACATGTGTCCATCCCCGCAGCCCCCTTTTCCAACTGTCCTCCCCTTTAATTAAATAAAAACAGCTCTCCCCTGGCTTTGGCCTCTCTTTGTGACATCAAGATGGCTGACACTTCTGGACCAGAGCGGCTGGACGGACAAAGGTGGCAACAGATCTCACCTCCTCACGCTGACCCCGTCTGTGCTCATTATCTCTGCCCGGGAAGTGGACCTGCGCCGATACAGGAGCCAGAAATCAGGAGGATTTGATGGAGAATGCTGGCAGTGACAGCATCCAGACAGGTGGGAATGTGAGGGGGAACTTTTAAGGGTTTAAGCAGGGATTGACTTCTTTGTTTTGGCTGGTTTTAAACCTGACCTCCCTCTGCTCACCACGTTCAGGTATTAGCGGGATCACAGAAGACTTAGTCACGACCTACAGACGTTAGAGATGAGGAAAATTAATATGCTCAGGCTCAAGTGTCAGAAAGCAGACTGTCTGCGTAACTCTGGGCTTCTTCGGTGGTACAGACACATTTATAAACAGGAAGCACACAAAGCTCCCACAAAAGAAGAGGGAAATAAAAGCACCAGACAAAGAGTTTATCGGTCATTCTGCAGAAAGCTGCTGTGACATACACATATCTCTCATTTCTTTCCTAAATCCAATGTTGACCTAAACCCAGATCCTCTCCTGCCCTTCTTTTTCCACACGTCACATACACATAACATTTCATCAACCTCCACAATGCTACAAATTTAGACGGACTCGATCGCTACTTTTCAAGGCTTCTTCTCTACGGCAGCTAGTTGAAATCAACGCTACAAATCTGATCGGCCTACTAAAGTCAAAATGAAAAACAGAAAAAGTCATTCACAGTTTATTTTTCCTCTCAGTGGAACAGGCTACAGTTCATTTAGACTGGAGAGCAACTCCAAGGTGTGTGTCTTTAGTTATTAAGGACTTTTGATGGTTATGCAATGTCTGAAAGGCAGTTAAAATGATAAAAAGGACAGAAGATGAGGAACAATGATGAAACAGTCAATTATGTGATTATGAAATGAATAATGACAGTACTGGGATTTTGAAAGAAACAAAAAAAACAAACAGGAACAGAAGTCAATATTGAGCATTAACAGTCTGCAGAATGGAAAGGAAAGCTGCGCCTGAAATTTCAGGGGAGATCTTTGTGCTCGGTAGTCGATTCCTTAATGATCTGAAAAGAAAGAGATCAGAAATAAATATGAGAAACACAGCGCTTCCCCTTCGGAGTGGGAGCTCTAAATGATGAGCGTATCTGTGACCACGTGCAACAGGGTCTAACATTGCCATCAAGAGGGCGAATGTGAGAGGTGCAGTAGGCCGGTGGCTCACCTCCCCGTCTCTGGTCTCCACTGTCCGCACCAGGATGCTCCTCTTCACGTGGGCCTCGGGGGGTTTAGTGTCCAAATTAGTTTCTAAGCAACAGATGTGAAATGAAATTCAAAATGATCCATATTTGTTTCATGGATATGACACAGTTAGGGTTCTGTTTGAGCTCTTATTCAGGGGGAAATGTGTGATGCTGACCTCTGAACTGCAGGTTGGAAAAGCTCTGAACTGGAATGGTGATCCTGGAAGAAGACAAAAGCATGGCAGTCATTTCAAGATCTGTGCGAAAGGGACAAACCAAAAAAGTGTGCGGTGTGCCGGCCCACCTGCTCTCCTCTCCCTCCAGCAGCTTCCTGTAGGTGGCTATCTCGATATCCAGAGCCAGTTTGACATTGAGCAGGTCCTGGTACTCCTGCAGATGCCTGGCCATCTCCTCTTTCAGGGCCTGGATCTCTTCCTCCAGGCGGCCCACCGTATCTTGGTAACCGGCTGTTTCCATGGCACAGCGGTCCTCCAGCTCCCGCAGTTGGCGTTCGAGGGACTCGTTCTTACGGAGGGATGAAAAGATCACACAGTGATGCGCCCCAAATCACTCAGAAGTACACAGATGAGCAGTTTTAACTGTTTAAATAGATGCTGGAGTGAGGATGTGAACAGCAGGGACAAAAGCCCAGCTTCTCGGCGAGTTCCCCCCCGGCCCGGTGTGACTCACGGTGCCTCGGAGAGCATCCAGGTCACAGTTCAACACTTGGATCTGCCGGCGGTATTCGTTGGCCTCCTGCTTGGCCTGGCGCAGGGCTTCAGCGTTCCTGTTGGCTGCATCAGTCAGATCAGCAAACTGTGAAAAAACACACAATGTCAGATCCCGTTTGCATGGTAAATGTAAAATTTCTCTCACATTTCCCTCTAGAAACATAAAAACTGTAAGTAAAAATGACATAAAAGGCCTTTTAGCCGTAGAGAATTCTCCCTGGGCTCCTAATATCTTTAAGACCAGCAAGAACTGGAGGTTTCTGACCTTGGATCTGTACCAGTCCTCGGTCTCCTGCATGTTTGAACTGGCCATGGTTTCATACTGAACCCTGATATCTCTCAGAGCTGCAGTTAAGTCCGGTTTGGACACGTCCAAATCCACATGGACCTGCTGGGCCATGAGCTGCTCGTGGAACTCACGCAGTTCCTGAAAGGCAGAAACCAAGACGGTTGATATTTAGCAAAAATCCCATAAATTACAAATTAATGTTTGTTGCCTTTTTCCCTCCCATCTCATCTGCAACCTTACCTCTTCATGAATCTTTTTCAGGAAGTTGATCTCATCCTGCAAAGCTTCAATCTTCCTTTCCAGTTGGACCCGGTTTAGAGATGCTTCATCCACATCCTATTTAAAGAACGAAAATGGTCCGTAGATGAAAATGGAGTCTCGGTGAATGTGTAAATAATTCAGAATGTGATTCAGGGAAAAGGGATTACCTGTCTGTAGGTGTTTAGGCTGCCCTCGGCGTCTTGGCGGAGGCCCATCTCCTCCTGCAATCTAAATCATATGAAGGCACAATGATTATCTAACTGAAAACCAATAAAAAACTATGCAAAATTGCTGTTGTTTAGGAAATATTTAAAGAATGTTGTCTTTTTCCTTTAAAAGATGAGTAAATAACTTCTTATCCAGTCAAATCTGCAACATTTTTTAAAGGGAGAAATTGCTGGAGTATTCCAGTGAGAAATTCAAATGGGACTGTGTCCCCGAGCTGAGCGGCTGAAAACATATCTGGAGCGTTTCATTAGGCTTTGGCTGTGTGTTACAGGGGAGCAGCGGGGCTCAGCTGAAAGGGCAGCTCACGCATCATTACACATTCACTCCAGTCTAGCAGCCAGAGGCCTTTCCCACGGGACGGACCGCGGATCCATAAGAGCAGCCCTGAACGCAGACAGACCACAGAATCCATCTAATGCACACACACAACCATAAAACCCGTACAGGAGCAGAGTCAGAGCCAGATCCGTACGGTTCCCGGCGTTGGTCGCTCAGACTGAATCCCAAACCTGACCTGTGACCCTCTCTTTGAGGGGACCAGCAGCTGCTCGGTCAAAGGGTGGATGGGGCTCTGAAGCAGACCTTTCCACCCTCCGCCTTTCAATCAGCCCGTCCAAAGAGAATATTAAATAGCAGATTCGAGCCTCTCGTGTATCTTAAAAGCCGGGCTCTGTGACGTCAGTGAATTAATGTTTCGGAGTAAAAAAAGGGGACCAGAGAACATCTGCCCGGCTGCTTTGTGGAGGGCTGCCATTGTGTTCGCCTCATTCCTCCACACTCACTGAGTGGAGATCAGGGCTTTAGTCAGGATCAGGTTTGTAAAGGGGGATCCAGGAGTAATTCCAGTCTGCATTCCAGCAAAACACAAACAAAAGCAAATCTCCATATAAATTCGCTTCTAATTAAAAGAAAAAAAAAGCCCTCCAAGACATCTGAGACAAATCTATTTGTGCCAAAATACATAAAATCCTGTCAGTTTCTTTGGGTTTCCTGGCAGTTGAATCCTAAATGAGAATAAAAGGCATCAGCAACAAACCAAAGAAGACCAGAAGCTGTTGTCTCAGCTCTGTGAGAAATCCACGGGGTGCAAACTGAGCTTTAAAGGACCAACAAGACTACTGAGACAAACCTTTACTCACTCATTGAAGAACAAAACTAAACTAAACTGTATAACAGAACAGAACATAAAAGAGGGAGGCAGCACAGAGCTGTTTGTCTCTGAGTAACCATCCTTATTAGTTTTGTTACTAAAATAACAATTTAGGCAGAAATTTCCCTAGCTGTTTACTTCTTTGAAGGAAATGTTCTGTCCGACTCACTTCTCTTTGGATTTAACAAAAGCAGAATGGATGTTTTTTCTTTACTTATGTCAAACATTCCTCCTATAAGTATATTTTAAAAAATCCCACAACAGACTGAGAGCAGAAAAGAGGCACATGAACGTGGTCCTCCGCCCTCCGAGGCCCCTCCCCCTGTTTTTACCTCTGCCTGAGGGTGGCCACGTCTGCGGCCAGGTTGTCCCTCTCCATCTCCAGCCGCGCCTTGCCGGAGGTGAGCCCGTCCACCTGCCTCCGGAGCTCCCGGAGCTCCTCCTGGTAGACGTCCCCCAGGCGGCTGGGCTCCTTCCCCCTCAGCTGGTTGAGCTCCGCCACCAGCAGCTTGTTCTGCTGCTCCAGCAGCCGCACCTTCTCGATGTAGCTGGCGAAGCGGTCGTTCAGGCCCATCATCTCCATCTTCTCGTTGGTGCGCGTCTCCTTGAACTGGGCCTTCATCAGGGAGTCGGCCGAGAAGTCCAGGCGGTCCACGGGGCTGCCCAGCAGCAGGGCCGAGCCGGCCGAGCCCAGGGAGAGCCGGGACATGGGGCTGGAGTGGGGGATGTTTCGGGGGGTGCCGTGCCAGGAGAGGCGGCTGGACGACAAACTGCCCATCCGGGCTGCGGAGCCGCCGGAGCCCTGAGGCCCGAAGCGCTTCCTGTACGAGGACTGGGCTCTCTGGGTCTCCATGGCGGGGAATAAGCTCACCCCGGGCACAAACAGGCCTTTTATAGGAGAGGAACCCCCCCTTCCTACACCCCACAAGTCCAACGCAGAGGGGCCACAGGGTGGGGCAGGGAGAAGGGAGGGTGGCAGGCGATGAATGGGACAAAAAGGGAGAGTGAAGGGGTGGTTTACATGACACTCAGAGAGCTGTGTGCCAGGGATTGTCTGTGCTCGTCCACTCAACTACAAATGTCTCCTGGCTTTCTCCCCCCTCTCGCCCCCTTCTGCTCGGCTTCTGACTCACTCTTTCTTTCACTCTTACGTTCACCCCCTTTTTTTGTGTTTTTTTTGTCTTACTCTCTTTCTTTCTGTTCCAGCTGAATGAAAAGGAATTTGTGTGACAGGGTCTGGCCACAAATTCAACCTGGCCTCCCAAAAGCAGAATCAGAAGTTGATCAAACCAAAGCCCGAAGGGACACAAGCAGCTCCTCTCACACCAGAAAACACGACAGGGACAGAAAATGTATTAGTGACTGTGGGCGATTCTCCCTTTTTCTTTTTCCAAGACAAAGTTAAGACTGTGGAAGAAATTTGCTCACATTCTTTACACAAATGTAAACATTTCCTATAGAAATGTTAGATCCTGATTTCATTCTACATTCATTCAACTTTCTTATCTTGTCGTGTGCAATGAATAGTTTAATAATATAACTACTTAGAAGTATTTCTAAACTCAAATTTTGCCCAAATGGTAGAGATATATATAAATCTGACTCAAAAAATGCATAGGAACACTCACATTTTTTACTTTAAATGGAGTAAGATTGTGAGATTCAGAGGTGCTCGCTGTGTTTGGGTTATTGGAGGTCCTGCTGGGTCCAAGACAGATGGATGGTCGAGATGAGGGGGAGTGGGTTTGGAGGAGGAGGGGTCGAGGAGTGCAAACTCAATCTGAACTTCAGGATGACTAACAGAGGCAGCATTACAAAACGCTTTTCATCCATTACCTTGACAACCGCATAGCTGACCACATCAGAGCACTTAAGTACGTCTTCTTCTCGAGTTCTTTTTCCAGTAGATGTCGTGGAGATGAGATTTCAACCAGCTGCCGGGTTCCCCTCTGCATAGCAGTTTCATTTTGTCGAGAAAAATAAAAGGCAGAAGGGTCCTCCTGCACAGGTTCCTAGAAAATGACTTTTTTAACACAAAAATGACAAAGGTTGCCAATGTAAGACCAGTAAACGGCCAAAAAAAAGTCTCTTTAATGCGGTTTAATTAGCTTTGTTCAGTAAATCTTTTGGAATACAAAACATCTTGCACTGTTTTTTTTGTTTTTTTCTAAAAAAACAATGTCAATTTAAAGCTTTTTTCATCAATTGTCACATCAGCTCCCTAGTAATCTCTACTCTTTTAAACTTATTAATTATTTTGTGTCTCTGTCTACATAAATGTCCCTAATGAGAACAAGTTGAGCAGATGTGACATGTACTGTGATTAATTACAAAAATAGAAAGCGAGTTTCGGTGCATTTTAGAAAGGGCAGAAAAAGCATTGGAGGGACATCAAACAGAATTAAGAAACTATCCAGCATCTGTCTGATAACTCTTTATAAATACATAAAGTTAACTGTTATTTGCACTGTTTAGGATCAAACTTTCTCCAACTGGAGAATGTATAAGTGCTATTTTCCCCCCCCGGTAGTAAAACCACAACAACAGAGGTACATAAAGGATTTCTTTGGGTCATAAAGTTGCAGAGAGTGGAAACTAGAGGGACTGGGAGACAGTGAATAAAGCCCCTTTGACTTTACTATCTGGCCCCTGTGTGTTGTTTCTGTGAAAGCAGAAAAAACATCAACACAGTGTCTTGAATCCCAATTGGGTGTCTGTTAATAGAGGTTAAACGAGATGGCACGCTAAGTCTGGCAGAGATTTGTTGGTTTAAAAGGCTCCATCTCTTAGGAGTAATAGCATGGTTGCATCATTACGGTGACACTAATTGTTTTGGCCCGCTGGATTTTTCAGACAGTCACTGCCGTTGCCTTAGATCTGGTCACTGAGGTAATATGTCCTCATGATTAAGCATCCACAAGCGGGGAGTGTGAAAAACAGGGTTGTAGACCTCTGCTTCTCCTCCCTCCCTGCTGACGGAGACACCGAGGGGCCAAGTCAAACATCTGACTGATGGTTTCGACGTGAAGGGAGCAGCTCATCCGCAGGAAGTGGAAGGAAAGGGGTCGGGAATCTGACTGGTCAAGTCATCATGGCCGCCAGATCTGTTGGAGTCTGGGGCATTTTGTGTCCCTCCCGAGTGCCACACTTCACCTCCAGCGCGGCCTGAATGTGCACGAGCGCATACCAGCTTCTGCCCGGCCTGTGAGTGGAGTAAATGAAATTAGAAGCGGGACCAGATCTAGTGTCTCCTTTAAATAAAGAAAGACGAACTCCACACAAAATATTACTGATCATTAGTCCAAGGATTGATGCATCACTGTAACATGGAAACGTCCCAAAAACCTTTGGATACCAAGCAGCAGAGTGCTCCTTTGTTTGTTTCCTCGCTGGCTGTGTGGAAAGCAGCGCGTTTGGAAACCACTGCCCTGGCTCTTTTGCTTTTTTCTGGCCTCTGCCGGCTTTCCTCCGGCAGGACTTAGCGGCCAGCTGGATGAGAGTCTCTCTCACTTTGTCCCTTTGACATAAACAACAGAATTAAAAATGCATTTGATAGAGAAAAAGTTTGTGTTATACAAGTAATTGGTTCTCACCTGTCATTCCATAACAAGAGGCCTGGCCTCTTCCCGTTGCCGTTGTTTTTATGTCTCAATCCCCCCTCCTGCCAAGGGTCAGATGTATTTAGCCAACATCTGTCTGACCCTCTTTAGTGTCTCTGAAAATCTGATGGTCTCTAACCTGATTCAAAACAAGTAAAACTCAGCCAAAGCTCAAACTGTGCAGAGGTTATGGGGAGAAAAAGAGAGGAACCTGACCTCCAATGATCTCTTGACATGCTTACTGAATTTCCTGGGTGCCTTTGATAGTGAAGGCCTCAAAGAGAAGGGCATTGAAAATTGGAGTGGAGAGAGAGGTGGGGGGTTGGGGGTGGGGGGGGGGCTTAACTGGGACAGACCGGCCAGCGATATGACTCAGCACCACCAGGTCCAAACAGAGCAGAGCCACAAAGAGGACTGGGCAGGTTGAGGCCTGCGGCTCCAGCCTGCCTGTCAGCAGTAATGCTGGACACAGCGCTCAGTCCAAAACCTTCAGCCCTGTTCAGACTATAAGGACACATGCAGGTTTCTACTATCTGGCATTTCAAACAGTTCTTAAATCTGACTGAAGATCAGAAAATATTCAGACCTTTGGTCTCTGATCTGGGAACATTACAGGGTAATAAATGTTTATTAGCTTCTTCAAGTATTGAAAGGAAAGTTTTTGCTGTTTTAAAATGACAAAGATGTTACCGGATAAGATATGTGAGCATTATGAGGGCATGAATAACTTATCATTGTGTTTCTTTGGTCACAGACAAAAGGAAAATGATGGCATAAGTGATGAGCTGTAACTATCTTATCAGCTTGAATCATCTTTGTGTAGGAAAAAAAGGACAATGTTGAGAGTCAGTTCATCAAGGCAATAAAAAAACAAGCCCGGAGAAAGAGTCAGTGAATCTCAGCAGCTGAAGAAAAAGGCCCTTTGTCTGAGGCGGTCTGATTTCCCCCCTCGCAGGCAGACACGGCTCGAAAAAGCTGTTCTTCCTGTGACTGCCTCCTGTTTTTCCTCATTTGGAGAGTGAAAGAGTAAAGAGAGGATGAGACTAAATGAGGGAGTGGGAGAAAGGAGAGAAAAAAGGCTACATTAATCAAATAGCTTCTTATTGCCAATAGTGAGCTCAGTCTTCTGTTTTCCTTCATTTGCAGAGTCTGGACGAGCCCCCCGTTGCCCTCCAGGTCATCCAACAGAAGAACACCATTTAGATTTAAAAACAGTTTATTTGATTGGACGACATGAAATATACATATATATTTATTTATAACATACTATTCTTTTCTTGCTGTAAAATAAATTCGATACATTAGACTTTGCACTGCAAGTCATGTCGTGATACGTGTTGTGAAATAACATGTATAAACTACAACAAGCTAACGTCTAGCTTGAGCTCATCTGCTTATCCCAGGGTCCCTTTTTCTTCTTTTAATAACTGCAGATGTTCGAGGTGAACACTGTCTAGCTGCCTTCAGCGTGTAGCAGCCACATTGAAACATTCTTGGATTAGTTTTATAAGGCAACAGCGAGCCCTCTGTCCAGGAGCCCGTTTTAATACCGGGCAGGCCGTCTGAACCCTGGGATGAACAGAGTCGTCGTCTGGGTGGAGCAGAAAACTCTGACATGTGGCGCTGGCTCCGATTCGGCCTGTGTTTCAGCTCTAATCATAATGGGATAACGCCCCCCCCACCTCAGTTTTATTATTAATAAGTCTTTATAGATGTGGTGAGGTTGCCATAGCCTGTGAGGCTGAACAGGACATGTGAGCCAGGCAGTCAGAGTTTGTTTGCCACCCATTTTCTAATATAAACCTCATTTATGTCTGCAAAACCAGCTGCTTCCATTGATTTCCTTTTATTAACACTATGTCTTGAATGTATCATTTAATTTGACACTGTCTGAATATAAAAAATATATTTATACACATTTATATCTCCGTATAATTTCTATTCGGAATGGCATGGGGATATAAATAAAAGTGGAAGAATCTCACCATTAGAAGAAGGAAAATCTCATTTAAAAAGATCCCCATGACATTCACTCAACAGAAAAGTGCATCTGATTTGAAAATGATCTAAACCTTTCAGTCAGGGAAGCTTGGGCCATACGCATGTTAAAATGCAAAGGAAACCGGAGTAGTTTCTCTGTTTAAAGCCTTAGTTTGCACAAAATATGACTATAAGCCTCATTTGCTAAACTGTCATAAGTAAGTGATGACAGGAGTCCACAGGACAGCGTCCCGTCTGTCCCCTTTTTGGCCCGTTTTGGCCCTTTTACAGCTGAGACGAGGAGGAAATTCCTCCTCTTCTTAATTCAGACTTTGTAGGATCATTTGATCGATACTGCTTTGAAATCCAATAATAAACAGAAGTAGCTTACATAAAGACTTATGGTTTGAAAGCACTTTTTTTGTTAAAAAAAAGACTTTTGGCACATTGAGCTTTGGGTTTGTTGCAGCTTTTTCTAAAAACTGAGCGTTGCTGGTGTTTCTGATAACTGCAGGAGGAGTGAATGTAAACACGGGAGAGTCCAAAACTGAAGCACCAGAGACGCTTTGACACGGCTGCTTTTGGAGTCTTTTTGCCCGTCAGAAGCTTAAGCGAGGTTTCCCCCTTGTGGACACTGATAAAAGCACATACTGCCATCGGCTTCTGAGGTTACGTGGACACAGAATCTCCTTCGGAGCTTCCGAATAAGGCCGACATCCGCACCGCTCCCACCTCAGCGTCTCAGCGTCTATGGAGGCTACGCAGTCCCCAGAGTCCCCTCCTGTGCTGTGGGGGGGGGGGTCTCAGCACAGAATCTGTGAGAAGGGATGTCTGAGCAGCTCCTCGGCGCTGGGCCTGTGTTTGGCCTCCACGAAAATGCAGCGGATGAAGTCCCGGGCCTGGTCCGAGGTGTGTGGGGGGAGCAGCGGGTTGGTGGGCTGGGTGGCGATCTTGAATATGGCGGCCATCGCCTCGTATTCGGCCCACGGGGGCTTTTCTGTGAGCATCTCCACCACCGTGCAGCCCAGGCTCCTGCAAACCAAAACGGGACTGCGGTTACTTCAGGGGAGTCTCAAGACAAGCTGAGACCAATGCTGCATTTTTCCCTTTAAATTCCAAAACAGCAACGCTATGAAGGAATGTTTTGCCATCGCTGTTTTCAGACTCCCCCCTGAAGGAGGTACAAGCCCTGTGTGGTGCTCCGCTCCCCATCCAGCCTGGGCTGAGAGCTGGACGCGACACCTATCAGTCAAAACCCGACCTGCTGGCTTTTAGCCACATCATTTATCTGGACAGATGGACGAGGCGGTGTCGTCCCACCTGTGAGGGAAGAGAGCTACAAACAGCTCAGGGTTCTGGCCATTTAAAGAGTGAGACACACACTGGTGTTTTCCCTCCTTTCCACTCAGGTCTCAACACGCCACCCCTCGCTTGTGTACATGAACAGTCCTTTAAAAAAAAAAAAAAAAGTGCATTGTTTTTAACATTGAGCCCTTTCATTCGAGTCGCTTCTGGCACTTTAGATGTGAAAAAGCTGGACTACGTGTTTGCATGCCTGAGCCTGTTTGACAGTAATAGCAGACATATTTGTTCTCTGTAACAGTGTAGCTACAGTGCAGCTTATTGTGGGGCGCACCGATGCTTCATGAGCTCCAAAACAACACTAACCCACGTTCAAAATTATGAAAAGACTTCTATTAAAACTAAACCGAAACACGAGACTACACAGATAGTCACCGTCTTTGAATCAGATTTAAAGAGGGCCAGCCCACACAAAAGATATTTGAATGGCTGAGACGTAAATGGCACATGGAGAGGAACCGTGCTTTTGTTGGTTTGGACATTTCTGCCATGCGTTTCTGGAGACCTCAGCATCAGGCTGGAAGTGAACCCCCTCCTCTTACCAGACGTCGGCCTTCCTGCCGTAGCCCTCTCCGCTGATCACCTCCGGGCTCATCCAGTAGGGGGTGCCGGTCACAGAGCGGATGCCGGTGCCAGACATGCAGATGGTCTGCAGCCTTTTGCTGGCACCGAAGTCTCCCAGCTTCACGTTGCCCGCTGAGTCCCGCAGGATGTTGGCCCCTGAGTCACCGGAGAGGAGAACGTTAGAACGTTAGATCTCACCAAAAGTCAAACAGCCACCCCCCCCAAAAAAAAAAAACTTGACAGTGTTACCTTTGATGTCTCTGTGCACGATCATGTTGCTGTGCAGGTAGGACATGCCCTCCAGGATCTGCCTGGTGTACTTCCGGGTCACGTTTTCGGTCAGGGCCCCGTAGGCCTTCAGCTGGTCTTTGACTGAACCCTGACGGGAGGAAAGCTTTACTGAGTGAAACTTAGGTTAAAGGAATACAAAATGTGCATAAGAAAAACAAAAAAACAAAACCAATGATTTTAGTCTTAATTTTTTTTTTTAAAGCTGTTTTCCAAAAAGGGTGTTTTTAAACCTCGGTTTTCAGTGTATATGTGACCAACTGAAGTTTTGGGCATCTCAGACAACTGTTGCTTTGGGTAGTGAGTGTCCACCCTGTGTACTGAAGCTTCAATTTGAGCAACAGCTGCATTTCACCGTCTTTCCACACATACAAATTGCGCCTTTTTGGTTTCACAATGACTCAATCTGCAGCCTCAGTTCTGAAGCTTTCACTAAAGGAAACTTCAGGCAAACTTTTGCCTCCTCAACACAGGATGAACCTGAGCACTGACAGTGCTTTGTGGGACCGTCTCCCACAGTTAGACGTGCTAAAACAAGCAGCGGCCCAGGTGAAATGGGGCTCTCACCCCCGGCATGTACTCCATGAAAATGGTGAGGGTCTTCTCGTTGTGGTCCCTCAAACAGCCGTAGTACTGAACGATGCGCTCGTGATGCAGATTTTTCAACAGCTGGATTTCGCACTCCAAGGCGCTGACCTCCTGTTGGGGGGAGATGGAGAGCAGAGAAATAGACACAAAAGATTTAAAAACACAACTACAAGAAGGATATTAAAATAAAATAAAAAGGTTTGTTTGTAAATCCGAATTAAATCCTGATTCGTTTGCACAAATAAAGGTATTTTTTGGCTGCGGCTCGTCCACCTAATCGTTATCACTGAGCCAATCAGAAACAAATGTGAGCATGAACACGAGGAGGACAAAGAGTGAACTCTGCCTGCATGCAGACCGACTCCACCAAAAGCAAAAGCTCAGGCAGAGCAAATGAAAGCTGATAGCTGCTTCCCAAAAGTGGTTCCTGTGTTTACCTCAGAGAATGAGGCCACAACACACACGCAGGAGAGAAAGGGAAGTCAGAGAGACAGAAAGTAATCCCCGAGTCCCAAAGCGGGACGGCTGCGGGGTGGGAGAGGGGGTGTGAGGGAGGGTGACTGGAGGTCAAGGCCCCCCCCCCCCCCCCGTCAGCACTACCACACTCAGCACCTCCAGAATACAGGAAGTGACAGAGCATGTTTTCTGTACCACAAACAGGAAAAGACATGAAATTAGGGAAGATGGGGGTTGAGGGAGGAAAGAAACCCTCTGCGATAGTCTCCGCTTCTTCGATTACTTCGGTGTCTCTCTGCCGTTTTTATTTCAGTGAGGTTGATCAAATCAAACGCGAGGCTGTGAGCGGGATAGCTAACTCTTTACTCCACCTCTCAGCCAGAGATCTGCTTTCCAGCAGAACAGCAACAAACAGGCAAACATATGAGGTCATTCGTCCAGGAATTACAGCTGGACGTTAGTTATTCATCAATGAATAACATCATCATCAACGTTATCGTTCATCAATCCATTTTATGCTCGGCAAAAAACAAAACAGGAAGGCAATCAGTCAACGTCAGCTGACGCCTCTTTTCTGAGCAAAAAAGGGAACAAACATTTTGTAAAGTTGCAACAAGAAAGACGGGGGAGGCGGAGCCAGAGTGAAGTCGTTAAAGACACGCGCAGGCGTCTGCGTTTGTCCACACAGCCGGAATCTCACCTTGCTGGTCTCTGGGCTGTCGGGATCGAACTGGACTTGTTTGGCTGCCAGCTCTCTCCCCGTGTCCACGTCGTAGCACAGGTACACCTGCCCAAAGGCGCCCTGGCCGAGCAGCTTCCCCCGCCGCCACGTCACCGGTGCACTGGGAGCTGCAGGGCGGCACAACATCTGCTTTACAACACGCAGCTTTAACCACTTCTACGACACAAATCCACACATTTGTCTTTCAGGATCAACTCTTTAACTCTTTTGGGTGTTGACATGATGCCAGTTATTGCTCCTGTAGTTTAGGATGCTGTTCACCAACAGTGTGACAGCGGCTTTATTAACTCATTGACTGCCAGCCATTTTCAGAACAGAGAGTCCCATACTGCCAGAGTTTTTTTTAGCATTTTGACTGATTTTTCAAGAGCCACAGAATAGTTTGTGCTATGACTATGTAAACACCGAACACACCAAAAGAAAGAGTAGACTCTCTTCTTTCATCAGGAAAAAAAATTGTTTCTACCTTATTCCGTTCTTCCTCGACTTGCGTCTCATTTCTCTCATAGCGAACCATTACGTTTTTCTTATTTGCCTACAGTCTATGCTCATCTCCCATCAAAAGTGGCACTGCCACCTAGAGGGTCAATTTGTCACTACATACTCTGTCTAGAAGCTGATATTTACAGACAAGCTTTAGCAGATCGTCCCCAAGCCACTCGCGTTGAAAAACATAAAAGACGTCTATAGACGTCTTAGGCAGCCAATGAGTTAATTCAAACCCATCCGTGACCAAAACTGCTGCTTGTTTGATGCCATTCTCTCAAAGTGACATCCTCTGAGCTGGCTTTGTGGGGGTTCTCTGGCACTCACACTTGTGGGCGACGGAGCGGTCCTGGGGACGCAGCCGGCCCTGCGTGTCCACCAGCTGCCAGCTGCCCACACTCTCCTCGCTGCCGTTGAGCGAGCGCCTGGAGGGCACCAGCGTGAACAGGTTCCCCTGAGGGCGGCGGATGCGAGGAAACGTCCGGCGGCCTGTGGACAGAAGGGCTGGGATCAATATGCGACCATGACGGCGACGTCAGGACGTTGGTGAACGCGTAGAGAAAGCGTCTCCCTCACCTTCACTGTGGTCTTTGTAATGCAGGGAAACGTGGTACCGACGCGGATAGGTGCCCCCCTTTCCTGCCACCCTGTCATAGACATGATTCTCCCTGTCTGGAAGCAGGTGAAGGGTCACAGGTCAGCACCTCTACTCTGACAGTCAGCGGTTAGCTCACCTCACCGCTGATGACAGGAAGCGTTCATGCTGCTTTAGTCTCACCTGAGCACTCCTGACGATTATCCGGGACACTTTTAGCTCTGTGCATGCGAGACTTCCTCAATGAGGGGCTTTGTGAGGGGAGAAACCAGGAAGAGGGAAAAAAAGGTCAAATCCCTGTAAAAGTGCTTTTAAAAAAAAGGCACTTACATTGTACAGGGATAGGTTTGGGGGGGGGGGGGGGTTGGCCTCACCTGTCTGAGTTGCTGTCCAGAGACTGACAGCTTCCAGAGACTGAGTTCTCTGCACTGCTCCAGGGATCCAGCACCTGTTCAGAGCCCAGAGGAGATCAGAGATGTACACAAACACTTCAGAAAGCCCCCTCCCTTGATTCACAGACATGGTGGATTCTTGTTCAGGTTGTTTTATTCAAATTCCCAAATTTAGATTAAAAAATAAAAAGTCCTCTATGTAACTCACAAACCCAAGACATGATTTAAGCTTTAAGATGATTTTTTAGGAAGCGGCTCACGCATTGATCGCTGGTCTCGGGGATGAACTCCCCCTCGCTGTTGATGCTGGTGTATGAACCCTGGCGGGCGATTCTCTGCTGGCGTTCAGGTACGTAACCAGGGGGCGGCGAACTCCGGCCCGTGTTCTGGGAACCTGGGAAACAATCAGAAATGATAAGCGTCAGAGCAAAAAAGCAGACACGAGAACACATTGTGGTAATTCAAACTCCAAAAAAGATGAAAAGTGAGTATTTGCTGCACTAAAAATGAAGAATGGAAGAATGGTATGAAGCACAGAAGCAAAATAAAAAAGATGAGGCTGCAAATATAAAGGACACATCCAAAAAATAAAATCTGTGAATTAGCAGTTGATGAATGAAGAAAACCACAAATTAAACCGTTTGATAGCAGACATTTCGTCTTAGAGGAGTGACAACATGAGCTTTGATCTGCCATTCAGCCAAGATCTGAAGTCGTGCTCCTATGAGCAAAAAACATCCAAAACCAGACCACTTGTCTAGCACGCTAATAGCATTTTGTAATCTGATTGGATGCGGTCCAGCAGGCATCGTCTAGTAATAGCCAACAGGAAAAGGAAGAGGACCTGTTGCATGAAAGGGAATCAAAATAGAGCTGCAAGGGCAGCGATTTGCAACAGAGAGGGGAATCGAAATAGTTCAGCAAAAATAAACAAAAACAACATAGGAGATGTATAAAAAAAAGACAGGATGGTTAAATACAGGTACCAGTTGACAGGTGGCGCCCCCTGGGCTCGGGGGCTTGGTACGCTGTGCTCACGTCCCCGGTGGACTGGGAGGACTTGATCCTCACCTGCTTGCAGGGTGGATGATGGGAGGGAGAGGGGGCCTGCAGTCAGTGGGGAAAAGAGAAGAAGAAGCGTTTCGAACGGGCTTCACGTCACGACTTTAGAAAATTGCTTCACGACAGCAGGTCAGTTAAAGCTCTGCATGTCAATCGGGAACTTGGACTTTTCACAATCTGGCGGCGTGTTGAAGAAAGCGCTGTGGCGCAACGCCATGAAGCAAACGCTCACAGTGCGGCGCTCCTGCGTGAGGAGAAGAATCCGGATGCTCTTCATGTTGGCGCTTCTGTCCAGCAGGTCCACCGCCTTGTCCAGGTCGTCCTGACTTCGCAGAGGGATGGACATCTGCAGCACACACACACACAGACACACACACACGCGCAAGATCGATTACACAGAGAAACAAATGAATGCAAACATTAGGAAGCTTGCAAAGCAGTTCGACCCATTTTAAACTGGAATGATGTTAAACAAACAAGATAACAGGGACAAATACAAAGAGGGATAAACGGCTATTGAGATAAAGGAGACAGACACACGGAAATGCAGAAATCCGTCATGGCTGACAAAATCAGCCTGACATCATTTAAAAACTTTATAAAAACACAGGGTGCTGCATCCCTCCTGTCTGCAGACGCATTAGAGTCGAACCACAATGATGTGGAATCTCTCAGCAGAACAAAGAGACCCCTGACTGTTCCCCGAAAATATCAGCTCTCCTTGGATCTACTGGACACAAAATATTGCTTGAGCCCTTACCTCATTGTTTATATAATGCAGGTCCAGCTGCTGGCCAAAGACACTCGTGACTTTCTGCTGAATTTCCTCAAACTGAACAGGCCTCCCAAACATCAAGATCCTCCGCACAAAAAGGAAGAAATCAAACAGACGGATTAGAGGAGTTTTGCACCCTCTGGTAGGAAGCAGTGTTTGAGTTACACACTGGTGTGCAAACCAAATACACACGCGCAGCTCTTCTTTTTGCGCGTGCAGATTCCTCCGAGCACACCTTGCATATTTGTGGTTTGCGCTGGCGGCCGGGCGCTAACCGCCGTCCTTTCCCTCTCATTCCGCAGCGCACATACCAGGCAGAGTTAAGAGCCGGAGCGTGCGCTCTTTCTCATGAACTGAAGCATGTGACTCACACACAGCATGCCTAAGTGAGCGTGTTTATGTCTCCAGTGTAAATTTCTGCTTTTTCTCCCCCTCAAGCACACGAACATGTGCTTCTGTTTACGAGTGTACGACGGCCACACACACACACACACACTCACACACAGACACAGACACACACACACATACACACACACACACTCACTTACACACATACACACACACACATCATAGATGAACAGGGTTACTAAACTAAACTCACCTCCTCTCTCCTGAGTACTCAAACTTTATCCTGACATCGTCCTAAGAGAAAGAAAACAGAGAAAAGGTGGTTTAAAACCGAGGTGCACGTCTCATGTTTTAAGTTGACATGGTCTCTTTCGCTCCTTTGTCAGTCATGAGAACTCCTTTTCCTCAGAACAGTGAGGCCAGCTGAGGTTACATGGATGGCAGAGAAGATCGTTGGCTTCAGGGGGAAAATATTTGGTTTTAAAGAAACTAGTGTTCACCTCAAGTCATACCCTTATTTGCCTTTTTGGAGAGTAAGATGAGAAGATTGGCTCATGACTAATAACAAGCAAATACGAAGCAAGAGCCAGCATCCGCTTGGCTTAACCTGGACTGGAAACAGAGGGATCATCTAGCTGCGCTCTGTCCAAAGGTAACAAACTTTACTTACGAGCACCTCTCACACTCACCAATTAAGATATTTCCCACTAGTTAAACCATCAGAGAGGCAGCTGAAAAAACTGAAAACTAGGAAAGCCTTCATTGCTTTTCATCTCACCATCCGATCGGCCAACTGTGCATTTCAGGGAAAGGAGTTGAAGCACAGCCATGAAAGGGAGCATGTCTCCTCACATGGACCTACATTTAGGGTCGCTCATGCTTCAGTTCTCTTAGAGGGTGTCAGATTGAATTTGACCCCAGTTATTTAGGACATTCAGAAACTTGTAAGATTTAATACTCGATATATTAACAGCTGCCTTTGTGAGTTAGTGGGAGGATAATGTGTAGACTGCGCGTACCTGTCTGTTTGCCTGGGTGGGGGTCTTTGGTTTGCCGTTGTCATAAGACACCGAAGGCTGCCGCCGCGTCATCTGGAGGGCGACTAAGTCCTTCATTATGGAGTGGAGAGCCTGCCTTTCATCTGGTGAGCACATTCAGGTGTCAAAAACACTGACTGAGCAGACTGAGCACCAATTACGTGTGTGTGTGTGTGTGTGTGTGTGTGTGTGTGTGTGTGTGTGTTGTGGGCCACCTTCACCTGCAGACACACTGACACTGATGGGGGAACAGAAGTAGGAAAAAAGTGGGGGGGGGTTTCGATATGTCTGTTCCCATGTTTGATCTCAGGACAAGATCTGCTTGTCTGAGCTAACTCCAAAAGAGAAAACATTCCCCTTGTGTAGCTTGGACAGACATCACAAAGCCCCGGGGCAGCTGTGGGAACCAGAGCGTCTTAAGAATGCCAAACACCGAGCCTCCACCTGACACTGTCTGGACCACCAGCCTGAACTGGGCTCGTCCTGGTGGATGCTGACTGGTGTGAATGTGTGCGTCCGCCTTAACCTGCGGGGTAAATCTCTGGTCAGCTTACTCATTGTGGCGATGTGTCGGCATACGAGGCCCCCGGTCCGGTCTGTAGACTCCTGTCCCTGCTGTGCCTGAGCTGAAAAAAAAACACAGAAAACCAATGACTTTAGCCTTTTGGGGGAAAGAGCAGAAACATGCGAGTCGTTGAGTCACACAGGATGTGACAGCTTGACAAAGCACATCTTACAGAAACCTCCTCAGTGAATCGCCACTTCTCTGGTAAAAGTGACAACAAAAGGGAGTCCAGAGTAAGAAATTCCCTCTGAAAGCTGAGGGCTTACATGACAGAGTGGCTGTGCGGGGCTGCTCCTGCATGCCAGTAATCAGACCCACAGCTCTTGATCCAGAGCGACTAAAGGGACCTGTTCTCATGCTCGGGGTTCTTGCAGGCATGAAAACAGACCTTCAGTCTTCCTCTGACTGAAGGCTCCCGTGAATGAGAATGCGCGTTTGCCCATGAGAAAGAATGACAATTGGAAACGGCTGAAACTCAAGCTGCCCTGGCAGCCATCTCCTCTGGCTCACTTCGTATGGGAGGAATGCTCTTTATGAGGAGGTTTCGGCCATTTTGAATATCTACAAGCCTTAAACAACTCTGGCTCCACCAGTTAAAGACGGGTTGAGATAGTCAGCCCTGTTCAATGCGCCCAGGCCTTCCCTCTGATGCTCACCACTAAAGCCCAAAGCCCCAGAAGGCTAACTTTGTCTCCCGGATTCACTTTTAGAACACAGAGCTTTTTTTTAAATTTTTATTTATTTGTTTATTTGACAGGGACAGTACAATTAAACATTGCAACCAAACAGGCGGCCGATGTCCAACTACATAAGGCTTGTAGCCATGGGCTAATTTGCAGCCTTCGTCCCTGAGCCTTAGATGACTCTCAGTCCTTGCACACCTGGTTTTTCTTTACGCGGAGCACCTGGAGGCCACAGGTCGGGCTGAGGCCGGTGGGCAGGAAGCTCTACAGAGCGGGGGCCGCTCAGACCCGAGGGCCGAGGTCACAGAGGGGCGAGCAGAGCCTGCAAATGAGGCTCTTTGTCCCGGTCAGGGGGCCGTCTCAGAGAAAAACCGGGGACGCGCTGAACCTCTGAGCACAGAGCGAGCAGCGTCGGCACCTGAGGCAGTTCACTGACTCTGTGGATTTCTGGGTAATAATCACCCACAGGAATGCCGGGCATGTCCGTCTGCGGTCGGCAGAGCGTGGCCGCGCTGCTTTAAAGCTTCCGCCGCTCTCATGCTTCCACAGCCGCGGCCAAAGACTTTGGACTGCATACTTCTGGTATCCTACACACTCCGTGAGACGCACACTTTCCTCTGTGTTCAGTCCCACGGCTCCACTATCCGGCCCAGAGCCACAAACTGTTCCCCAAAGACGTCGGCAGGGGGGCGCGCCATCCCGCCAAACGGCAGTCAATGAGGCGAGCCTCCAACATCCCAAACAGAAAAAGTGGGAGTTCAATCGGGAACAAGGTCGCTCTCAGCCGATGGAGTCAGCTGGCCGGCTTTATTTTCCTTGTATCGCATTTCTGGGACCGGCAGGATTTACATGGATTTTCCTCCGCCCTCACTCCTCTGTCTGCTCTGAGAGCTGTTTAGTCTGAGGCTGTTTTTCCCAGCCACACACCTCTCTGCTCCCGACCAGCGATGGGTCTGGGCTCCCAGAGAACGCCGCCTCCCTGATATCTCCCCGGTTTCAGGTGCACATGTGCTTCTGGTTTGGGCCGGCCCGGCACATTTGAATACTGCGATCTCAACACAGAGCCGGTGCTTGCTTTGGCTACGTGAGGCTCAAAAATGCCCTTTGTAGTATTTTCCCCACCTGAAACAACACTGAAATATACATCTAAACGTGTCTCAGAGTCTTGCAGATGGCTAGAATAAAAACAGCGTGCAGAAATATGAGAAAAGAATAAAAGATTTCCAGCTTTTTGTGCTGCATGTCAGCATGGAGAGACAGCTGTTTCAGGCACTTTTTTCTGTTAATTCCTACTCAGGGAACACACCGGGTGCTGAGTCTGAACTTTTAAACAAAAGAGATCAAATTAGCAGCCTGTTCTTTGCAGCTGGGATCAAATCTGAGAGTGATCTGGTGGAATCTGGATGGAGTTTAGTCCGATAGGCTGAAACAGAAGTACATCTTCATCCCCTGTCGTCTGTCTCCTCTCAATACATCTTTCTAAATTAAGCACAAGCAACTGCTCTGGCTCCCATCTAGCATCATTCTCCATCAATCCAGAGCCAGGACGGCTGAGTGGGAGGGAGGATTTGCACCGACGTGTTTCAGTAACCTATTAGGAGTCTGATAATGAGGTATGGTCGTGAGAACATGAGGCACCGGCATGGGAAAGAGCTCAGAGCTGTCAGTGACCCCATCCTAACTCAGCTGATGCCTCAGATAAAGGCTGAGTGTTATCATGTGCTAAAGCGTGCATCAGTGTTTGTTGGTCACTAATTACTGATTCCTTTTAGTTGGATTTTTTTGTAGTTATTTCAAGTTTATTTACAAAAAAAGCAAAGCTTATGTCTTTTTCTAATTTTTATTGTTTAAAGATCACATTCCTGTGATTTGGCATTATGCCAGTAAAACAAAGTCAATTCAAATTCAATCAAATCTGCTTTAAAAAAAATAAAAGAGTTAAATCAAGAGTTTTTATGCACACGTTAGCACCACCTGCGCTAATATGGGGGCAAAACTAAGCATTGTTCCAAACTTACATGTGGTTACATAATCAGATCACTGACTGTCTTATTCCAGTAAAGGGACCAGCAGCAACCGCTTTCATCATCCTTAAGAAATCCAACCATCACTTTAAAAACACCATTTCCGCCCCCCCAAAAAAGACAGTTCTGACCAAATATCTGTGCTTATTTATCATTCCCTTCACTTTGTAACTTATTTCCTTTGTATTCGTGGGTGGTTTCTTCTGCGAAACACGGAGAAAAACAATAAATATCATGGACCGAGTTTTACATTTTTCTCAACAGATAAGAAGGCACTTTCAAACAGGAAAGGTTTGAAAGTTTAAGGACTCATCTATATGGAATGTAATTAACTTCAATATTTTAATAATCAAAGCGGAGATGCCTCCTGCCTGAATCCCCCTCCTGGGTCCAGCCTGCTCTCACTGAAATGGTCCTGTACAAGAAAACTGTTCCTCCTTTGAATGAGTTGTGCCAAACTAGCCACCTGGATGAAATTATGCAAATATGTTGTCATGGTGATGTGGTCAAGAAAGGAAAGTCTGGAATGCAGCGATGGCGCCTCAGACAGACCAGGTGTGGAGACCCACTCCTTTCAAAGTCTTTTAAAAGCACAGAAAGCCATTTAGAGGGACACACAAAAGACAAATTGACCATCTAAATGTCATTATTTCCAGGTCAGAAAAAAAAACAAACGGTGGGAAATACGAGCTATTTTGCATTCGTGAATGCAACACAATTTACGCCTGTCAAGCAGGTCACGTGCACCGGCCCCCCCACGAGCCTCACCTCACCTGTCCCGTCAGGTGTGGGCGGGACCGACTCCGGTCACCGGCGTCTCGCGGCAGCTGTGACGCAGGAGGTCCGGGGGGCGTTCACGTCCATCGGCGTCTCCGGTCACTCCGACACTCCGGCGACAGGGGAAGCCTGGCGGGGCGCCATGGCGGGGCTGACCCCCCCAGAATACCGGCGGCTCGTCTCCTCTCAGAAAATGAATAGCACGGACAGAAAAAAAAACAAAAAAAAAAACGGTTCGCTTGGGCGATAGAAGCGAAAAGCTTTAAAGGGGAAAGCCTACATCTGACTCCCCCAGCTGTGGCCCGGAGTCAGGCCCGGTGTGGGCTCATTGGAAAACTTAGATTTCCCACACATGACCAGAAGTCTCTCCGGGGTGTTTTGCGTTTTCAGGCGCAGAAAAACCACTATCCGACCAGGTGCCACAGCAGCCGTGTGGCCCGTATGAAATCCATTTGGTTTCCGTGAACTGGACGGCCTCTCTTCCTGCTAACTTTGCAGATTTTCCCCGTCCCTGTCGCCAGCCCGGGCTCCAGAGCGGGAGGAGTATTTTGGTTTTCACGGTACTGCACACAAACGCATCGCATTACTACTTAGATGTGGAGGCGAACCGGAATTTGGCAGGGACACCGTAAAGGCCTGCTTTATGGCAAAGGTGGACTCATTTAATTCACGAGAGCAGTCCGGTACGACCGCGAAGGACACAAAACACACCGAAACTATAAAAGCAGGGAAATAAATTATACTCTTACACGAAGTTACAATCGTAAACTCCGCTTGTTTCAGACGCTGTGATTGTGTCAAGTGAAACCGAGCTGGATAAAGTCCATCGATGTTCTGGCTGCAAACTCTCAAGTTTTGAATCCAAGATTTTAAAACGTAAATCAAATCTACGTATGTTGCAAAGCTTCTATCTTTGGTCCGCGAAAAAGAACAAACCAAAACATCTGGACCGACGGCCGTCCGCGACTTTTCACAACCAAAACAAAGTAACAAACAGTCTCCAGCTGAATACGTCAAACTTCCTGACAGAACAAATATCGTCACCGGAACCCGCTTCCCCGCGTCCAACAAGTCGTAAAACGCCTTCTCCAGAGCCCGTACGCCGTCTCTTCCAAATGCTTAACTTTCCCTACGCCAGAAATATTTAACAACGCGGATTTTCTTCCCCCTCCGGGGAGTTTCGGATTGCTAACTATCTAAATTAGCGCCGTGCAGCCGCGGGGACGCGCTGTTACTTGGTTGAGGTTTTTCTCGGTGGAGCGCGCACACGATTTTATTAAGGGGGCGGGGCCGTTGTGACGTCAGTGAAACGTTCACAGCCTTCAAAACAATTGTAAAAAGCTCATGAGCATCACAAGATCATTTTTACTGAAAGGAAAAGTCATTGGTTTATTTTTCGTTATCCAAGTATTTTGCATCGATTTTATTATATTTGGCCTATGCATCTGTGCATTTCATTGTGTCCATTGAAACTTGCTGTTTCTTCCTATTTACTTTATGAATTTAAGTAGTTATGTTTTAAACCTCATTTTAAGTCTAAAAAACAAAATGAACAAAGGGCATTTTGTCAAATAACTCCTATTTTTTCTTGCCTACAGTGAGGCTTTTTAAATTGTACATATAAATAATAATTACACAATTAGTTAGTGTTTTTTAATGCCAAATAACTTTCTAAATAAATAAGATCTCTCTATTTCAACATCAAACACAAAAAAACGAGGTATTAAATCAACACCAGCATTTTATTTTTCAAAAAGCATGTAAAAAACAGAAATAAAAACAAGAGTATGCACAAAATGATTGCGTACACGTTGGTGTAGAAAGGGGGCGCTTACGTTTGACATTTTTCTGACTAACCGACAGAGAGAAGGGAGAACAGAGGAGAAAGACTGTGAGCACAGTCCAAGCGTCCTTTTGCTGTAAGGCCACCTCATTCTACATGCCAAGTCTGTTATAAAGAATACACTTTCAAAGATGCATACATTTATAATGTCTCGGTGACAATAGCAATGAAAAGTCCACATTAAACGACTCACAGATTGAACAATGAAAGATTTACACTGCAATCATTCACCTGAGCCTCTTGGAACCAATATAAAGTGTACCTTTTCTGTTATTTTACACTTAGAAGATGCAATTCACAGGTTTTGCTGTTGTACCTTGGCAAACTGCTAACAGAGAATGACAAAGACAGCATTTTTAGATACAATTCTCTTGATTTAAAGCATTCACTAAGATCCAGGGGACCATTTTAAAATGACATAAAAAAGAACGTACATCATAACACACAGAATTGGTATTATTTTACATGTGGATAAAATGATTACGAATGGGGGGGGGTGGCTGCTGGTTGGGTGAATTAATCCTAAACTAAAAACTGTTACTCTGGAGTCAGGAGGTCGGTTCTGGGAAAGGCATGAACAGATAATTTCTTAATGAACATCTGCTCCCTCAAAGATCTTGTGGAAAACAAAGTAAGGTTTGTTTATTTATTCATTTTATAAGGCTTCTCTTTAAAAAAGTAACTGTTTAAGTTTAGATTTCTCTTCTGCGCAGCATGCTCAAATTCACAGTAAACCTTCAGTCACAAAGAAGAACTTTGTGTCATTCAAGTGTCAGCGGTAATCAGAGATTTTCTTAAATGAGATAGTCCAATGGCTTTACATGGATGAAAAGTAAAAATGGAGAGTTTGTTAAACTTGATTCTCCATGTTGCAGTTGAATAGAATGAAAATAATCTGGTGAGCAACAGCTGCACCGCAGACTGAGGCAACATGTTAGAAGAAATCGAGTCAAAGGCTATGTTGAGTTTTGGGCAAATTAATTTTAGTCCTCTCACAGTAACACTACTGTCACACTTTCCCCAACAGGGGGTGCTCTTCCCTGGGGTTTGCATGCAGCATGCAGGCACACATCAGGGGACCAATGCAGCAACACACTTTCTGTCCGCCAGGATCAATAGGTCCAGTTGCTAAGCAGTCATTAGCTAATAAGACAGGAGAAATGATAGGAAGGCATGAATCTAAACAGGGGAACCTGTGCACCCTGATGAGATGGAGCTGAGGGGCCGACGGACACAGTGACGGGACGCGTTTCTATTCCTGTCATTCAGTCGCATGAACAGACATTTGAGATAAATCAACACAGGACTTCAAACATGCATGGGACTGCCTCTAATATTCAGTCTGAGCATCAACATCATTCATGACAGCGACGCATCTGTAACCATCACTTGGACCACACGTGTGTCGTCCCTCTTACGGAACACATTAAGGGACCTTTGTGGACTGGTCCCCGACTTGATTTTGAATATCTTGACTGGTGATCGTGTGCAAGACGAGGTGACACCACAGAGGGGAATGTTCACTAGTCACTAACTACAGCTCTATGTACAAATAGTATACAAACACAAACTGAGAATTCCATCTAAAATGTCAACAACAAAAGCACAGAGTTTCAATTTATGAGCTTCTCTTGGAGAAATTGTTTGCTATGTATAACTGAAACGAAACCATTCACAGCACAAGAGATCATTACAGTAATAAGATAAGGCTGTTAAGACCCAGTCACACTAGATGCAAGGATAAAACTCAAAGCGATCCTCAACATAAGAGCCGTGGGATGAAGTGTGCATTATTAAAACTAAAATGAAAACACGAGGTGAGCTGTTGCCGACGTGCAGTTATACAGTACTCTGTACCCTGTTTGTTCCTTAAACATATGAAACCAGACTAACTCGTCTGACAGCATCATGATACCACTGAAGAATTTGTGTTTTGTTACAATGGGTCAAACTATGAAATCTATATATTTGTTTGATCCTTGGGCAAGAATTGACCTGAGGACATGCTCTACTGCAAGACTTGTGTCGTGTTTGAGTAAGCATGCAACAAAAGAAAAAAAACATCCCTAAAAGAAAGCGGGTACAAATGATTAAAAAGGAGACCAAAAAAATAAAAGAAATTAAGTGGATTTGTTACACTCTCCACACCAGAGAAGGCTTTTGGTCACGATCAACAAACCAATTCCTAACAAGGAACTGGAAAATAAATTCATCATCTAAATTTGGCTCCAAATATTTAAGTGGCCTGTCATTTCCAGGCAGTTTGGGCATGTGTCTGTTCTGGTGGCAATTTTAAAAAGCATGTGAGAGCGTGAGTTATTTAACTGTGCCCCCACCGCACGAGGCCTGGGTTCGCCATAATATGTTGGAGGTGTCGGGGTGAAGAAAAGAGAAAAAGGCAGATCTGAGTCAGGACACGGGAAGACATGACTAGGGGGTCTTTGTTATAGTATCTGTCTCCTTGGAGGCCCAGAGCTCCTTGTGCTGCTTGCGTCCGAATCCCTCGTCGTAGTTGCCTTTGCTTTTGAAAAGCTGCTGGAAGTGCGGTTTGCAGTAGAACTCGCCCTGAAGGGCTGCGAAGGTCCCGAGGCTGCCGGGGGGGGAGAGGAGTCCCACAGTTACGCACAACCCAAAGGTGTTTTTAGGACAGAGACAAGTGATGGGCGCTTCCTCACCTGAGTTTGGCGTTGCAGTGTTTGCAACAGAAACATGTGGAGTGGAAGACCAGGTTGTTGGCAACCAGTCTCTCCATCGGGTAGACCGTCTTCTCACATGATGAGCACACCTCCTTCTGGGTCTTAAAGCTAAAGGACTGAGGCCAAAAACACAAGTTACCACCTCACACAAACTGACAGCAGTACATCTGACAACACGTTTACACACACTACCGATTACACACACACACACACAAAAAGACACTGAATGCCTCTTTCGCTCGGTAGTGAGATTTCAAAGTCTGATAAACAGCCACAGATTAACAGACGATCTTAAATATAGTAGGATTAACTTTTAAAAAAAGGATCAAAGCGCGGGGGTTACCTTGGATCTCTGGACAGGTTTTTCTTCTGTGGCGTTTCTGGTGTCCTGGAAAGGAAAAAAAAAATCACATGTTAACAAATTTATTGAAACACCACCAGCTTTTATGCTGCAAACCTTAAAGATAAGTTATGAGTAAGATTGGATCAGCCTATTAAACTGAACTACTTGTCCTCCTTATTTGGACACTAAGTAATACCGTAAGAAAAAAAGAAAAAGAAAGAACTAAGACTTCATGCTTGAGGCAAAACGACTTCTTTCTGACATTTCCTCATTGTTGTCGTTCTAACCAGCAGCAAACACACCATAAACTGAATAACCTCAGTTTCATTTTACAGTGTCCCCTTTTTACCTTTACCATTATCTTTTTATTGTAAATCTGATCTCTTTCTGCCCCCCCTTCCATTAGCTCCATCTGCCTGTTTGCCCCCCCAGGGAGAGGATCAGGTGCCTTCTGTCTGGTCATGTGAGCCGATCTGTGGGTCGCTCTGCGTGGAGCCGCCCTCAGCATAGCCCGACAACCCAGAACCAGCTCTCCAGCAAAGTCATTTGAGAAGGTTTCATCTCGTGGAATCCCTGAGAAACGGCACATTTCAGACTGCCGAGCTTTACCCCTCTGGTCGTCCTTCAACCCTGCAATTAGCGCAGACGTTTAGTGCAGCTCAGCACAGTCTGTGGCTCTGAGCAGGAAGTGTTGATGCTGTAACACGTGGCCGGTTTTTGACAGCACTAACTGAAATGTTGCCAAAGCACTAAGGCGGTTAAAAAGGACACGATCCAGCTGGATTAAGCGACAGAAACAGTAGTTAGGACTGGGCTTCAGCTGTAGGCCTACAGCAGCCACGAGTAGAAATGCATCTTTATGAAGGGCTAATAGGGTATTTGTGAGGATAATAAACAGAAATATTCATCAGCGTTCACAGAAGCTGCCCCAGAAAAGGCTTGGTGCAGTGAAAAAGGGAAGCCTCTGTTAGAGAGGTTGGGGAAAGTCCACTGCAGACTTTGCTACAAGCCTGTTATGTAAGGCACTTTGGCTGGAGCGGCGGGACAGGCTGGAGTGAGGACGGAGGGGAGAGCGGGGCTGCTTACGGAGCTGCAGAGAAAGGGCGTCTGACAGCATCCGAGACACCTGCGATCTATTTTTGAGATTTCTATTTCTGAACTGAAAACAAAACGACAACATGGTCCAGGACTCGCTCGAAAAACAGACCTATGAACCTAATCTGCTTCAATGAAAAGAAACACAAACCTCTGATGGAATGAATGAAATAATGAAGTCTGAATTCAGGCTCCTTCTCTTTAAAACGGTGACCTACTATCACGAGTTGGACCAAAAGTACCCCATAAATAATTAAAACGCGATGGAAGGTTTGAAGTTGTAACTTTCCATCGTGGACACAAAATCCCACCCAGATGGTGTGTGTGTATATTACATTCAGTACGTGTCAGAATTTTTTTTTATTTTGCTTTAACAAAATTCATGCTCACAAATGAGACCTGGTTGATGTGCAACATTTCCAGCAGCCTGACCTTTGTGCGTGTATCAGTATCATCACAACGATCCTGGTCTGCCATCTTTACCTTTATTCGTAAAAGCAGCACTTTAGAGCGAGCAGGGGGAACAACATGGCAGCACACAAAACGAGCAGATGGTTTGGTTCCCTGACAGCGAGCACACGTGGCGTCCTGTAGACGCATCGCGTCCTGACAGCCGGCTGTCTCCGCCTCACCTCGACTCCCTCTGAAAATATTTGACAAGTTGCTGCTAGCTGCCACAGAGCTCAAAGCTTTCTGGTTTTTTAGCGGCTTGCGTGCAGCCCTTCCTGTTGCCGCACAACTGCTGAGCCAAAGGTACTTTGATCTTCGCCCCAAGACATTTTTAAAAACGGGAACTGTGTACATTTCTTACAAGACATTCATAGAATATTTACTTATGTGACATCTTGATGTAAAAAAAAGAAGGAAACCTGTTTAGAGTTAAGGCGTCAACGCTGTGACGTTTTCCTGGTAAAATGAGTCCCCGTGGGGTCCGTAAACACATACATCCTCTTCAGATTAGCTGGTGCCATGGTTTCTCCTTCTTGCCTTATATGTACACAAGTTTAAGTTGCCACCATGCAGCTTGATTGTGGCAGGAAGTTATGACACATCTGGTTTCCCCTGTCTTGCAGAGTCTCCTCAGAGACAGCATTAACTCCACAGCTACTCTCATTTCTTCCCAGTGAATGTTTTTAAACACAAAAATCAAATCTGTCCTCTAAATAAATGTGTCCAGACGGTGTTGTTTGGGGATTGGGGGTGAGGAGGCTTTAGGACATGATTCATGAGCTCTGGCCTGATTTGACTGGAAATCAGGCGGACACACAGGTGTGTAAGCCACAGCTGGAGAGAGGATTTGAAATCCAACAAAGGGAGCTTTCACTCAACGTTTAAAGGGACTTGCGACATAGCACCAACTCTTAGCTCACAGCATCAGTTTCTCACACCGAGCCCTCATTTCGGCTTTAATCTCACCCTCACACGTGTTGCTGTGAACACCCGGAACTTTCTGCCTGATTGAGACAGATTACTCTGTTCCTTTTCACAATGTTTAAACTCGCATTTTGACACGTATCTGCCCTCTTCTGAGAACTAGGAGGATACCTCTCTTCTGATATCTGCTGAAAAGGGGGCTTCTGCAAGCCCAGTCTTGTTTTTTCCAAAGAGAAACAAGACAGGTGCTTTTTTTTTAAGTTTATCTGAGCCACTGCAACTACTGACTCTAGTTGTTTTTGTAAAAATTATCCATAACTGTGAGACAGACCCCTTAGTGTCTTTGTGTTTACCAAGAAAACAATCTGATCTTTGTGCTCTACAAGTTCAAAAGGTTAACTCTTAAACTTTAACTGGGAACAGAGCAGGAATTGAACTCCACAGCTCAGCATCTGATCAGGATTCACTCCAGCAGGCCCTTTCAAGGAAAGCCGGCACTATGCTGACAAATGTCCTCTGTCAAATCTCCAAACTAAGGCCTCCGAGCTCTCTTATTTATTTTTAGAAACAACTTCATTGTTTAATGGTTTGCTAAGCAGTGAGAGGCATGAAGCGAAGCCCCTCAACCCTCAAAAACAAGCCGTGGCAGCAAACCATAACTATTACGCTCTGGGATTTTAACCCGGCCGTGACTCCACATACTTTGCTGCCAGCATCTAACCAAGAGTCTGTAGTTGTCTTTTATCAGATTAGGTTTTGATCTTCGGTTCTTTTTTCTCCGATCGAAGTCCTAAGGTTGCTGCCACAGAAGACAAAGCTCCTGTTTTTGACAGTAATGTGAGTTTAATCAATAACAAGATGTTTGTTCCCATAATACTTGGAAAGGGAAACCCTTGAGAGTTATTGTGCTTAGAAAGGTTTTCTGTGATGGAAAAGAAAAGCTGGGCATGGAATTAGACCTGTATGTGATCTGATCGTAGAGAAGAGCGTAGCAGGTGCTTCACCAGGACAGGCCCACATCTGGAAGTCTGTTAAAGTGTTTGGACAGCTACTTCTCTTTCTTTTCTACACTTCCTGTAATAAGAAGACAGTGACGAGGCATTTCTGTGTGTCTGGAGGCACCGGACATCCATCGTAGGCCTACGTGTCTCCATTGTCAAGCTGACAGACGCTTGTTCTTTCACTTCCTGTCTGTCTAATCTCTAGATGAAGCTCTTTCACTTTGGGACGAGAAACACTGCAAAACAAGAGTACATTCTGCTTTTCCTCAGAAGACTTATCCATAAATTCCCTTTAAATTGGTGGTAAATTAGTCAAGTTATTCTTCTGAATCTAGGTGGCAGGCCAAAGTTCAACTTAATCCATTAATGAAAGTAAAATGTGTTTACAAATAGTTGGGCTTCTGTAAATAACTTCAGAGTAGGGTCTGACCTGCTCTGTTTGGAAAGCGCTGCGAGATAACTGTTGTTGTGATGTGGCGCTATATAGATAAAATTGAATTGATCAGAAACTGATGTAGAGGGATTACATGATCAATAGTTCAAATCGGTCTCAGTTACATCGCTGACAGTTTCTTACATCAAACACTACTGGTGAGGTCAGACAGCCAGCGCTCACATCAGGGTTTGTAAAAATCTAATCTAATCTTTGCCTTTTGTCCCGTGAACCAAACAGCTCCTATAAATGATGGTTGGCGCTGGAATGCCGGCGCAGCTGGTCTCTGCGTGTTTGGTTCTTGAAAACAGCGAAACCAGTGAAGACCTGTGTAAAAATGTACGAGATGTGGAGCCTGTGTTGACTTGAGAGGCAGCTGCCGTTCGCCACCCCTCTGAAGGTGGTTTGGACACGGCCCGATCCGATGTTATCGTGGACTGGAGATGAACCACTATTTCACAATCCAACTCTGGAATCCAAGAAAACAAGCCCCATCCAGTCTTTGGTTTAAAAAAAAAAAAAAGGGAAAAGAATGAAAACTAACATGCAAATTTCTCCTCCAGGATCACGGCTGAATTTCCATGACTGGGACATAGAGAGCAGAGCCAAGGAACGAGGGATTCACCTCTAACACTTTCACCCAATAAGGCTCCTTAAATAGTCGCATGTTTAAATGAGATCATCCAAGTTACAGCGAGCTGTTGGCAGATTACACACAGAGCTCTGCAGACTTAAAAATGTAATCTTAGACATTTGCTGCTTACTGAGTATACTGTGTCTCCACACAGTCTTTCTGGGGACTTTAGTCGGTCAGTACTGACAGCCTGTTTGGATACAAGTTATTAACTGTGAGTCACTCAGAGCTCAAATCGCATTCTGACTGAACTGATAGAGAAACTGGACTCATTAAAAGAAAAAGAGAGCGAGAGAAGATTAAAACATTATGTTTCAGAGTTTCACAACCTTTCATCCTAATCGGGAAGCTGGTTTGTTGTTGTATGGGTTGAGCAGCCAAATCACTATTTACAACTTAAGAAATCTGTCCAGAATTTGTTTTATGACTGAACCTTGTCAGGAAAACGAAATAAATGGGGCTAAAATAAGTCAAAGGAATGTGCTTTACAGCAGTGTGGGAGCCATGATACTCCCCTTTTTTAGAAGCATGAAGTCAGATTGTGTTGCTTAGAGGACGAAGAAGAGGAGACTTTTTTCCTCCCAGAAAGGGGTGCATGCCTGCTCTCAGCGGAAGATTAGGCTGGAAAAAGATGACCTCTTCTTAACACAGCCGATTTGGCTTCCAAAAACGAGATGTTCAAGTAGAACAAATGCCTACAAAAGTTAAACGAACCTCTTAAACTCTTAAAAGCACCCTGGCCGTTGCTTCACTTAACTCATTTAAACGACATCCTCTTTTTTCTTTTCCAAAGGGAAAAAGGGATGAGGAAAAAAAGGAACTGGTTAACTTTATGACCCCATTTAGTTCTGTTCTGAGCATCTGACGTCGAGCAAACACCCCCCTCAAACATATGGTGCTTGCAAATAATCAGGTTTTTGAGCCGTTATTGATGACTGTCAGACAGGGGAGCATATGGCGCCAAAAAAAACCCCCAAAAAGAGGCAATAACAGCCATAATTGGAGCTTTGTGCAATGCCTTTCTATATTTGTCCACTGTGAAACAATAGTCATCCAAATTTTTCAGGATAGTGACATTTGTGGGCCAGTGGAGCAGGGTGTCAATCTGTGTTGTCAACTCTTACAGTAAGCCAAGCGTTTAGACATAAAGACAGCTCACTGGCAGGAAATGAAAACAACCATGCACTTGCTTAAGCCTGGTGGCCATATGCTGGTGCAATAATTACAGGCTGCTACGGCTGTGGTGGCACGAACCGAAGTGAAAAAGTGGTTTTACCAGACCACAAAGCTGTCAAAAACTACTTGGCAACACAAACATGGGAGCCAAATGGGTTTTATTCCATCTCGGATAAACTGAAAATGTGGTTGGTAGTTTAGAAGCTTCATTAGCTGCAGTTGATGTAAACAAGCTCAAGATTTTTTGATGGTTTGCCTTGGGCACATATCTTCCTCCAGAATCAAAAACTGGATCCAACCTTTTAAGGAATTAAAAGGAAACTTGTTTGTGTGGCTTGTAAACCCCTTAGGCAGATTTCTATCTAGCCCTGGTCCAGGAACAAAAGCTGAACGTTTCCAATCTAAGAGACTTATGGGGCTCCGGCCACCTAGAGTAAACAGGAACATGAAACCTAGATCCTGATTGTCATTGAATTAAAGATAAACCAATATATCCAGCTACACACCGTGCATGCTCCACCTATTGTTGTTTTCATTGTGCAATTTGCTTTGTTTAGTTCCTAGTTTGCATGCATTCGACCAGGAGCATCTGCTGGGACTCAACAGCCTGTGTATCACTCCTTATCTGTACAAAGGCTAGCTGGATTCATCTGCTCTGTCTGGCTGCAGAACCCTGAACAAAACAAAACATTATCAAATGCTACATTAGGTAGAAAAACAAGCCAGTTCACGAAGAAACGAGTCAAACTGAGGGAAATGAAAGCACCATTCATCCCAAAGGGCTTCGTTGGGTGAGAAAGCGTAGTATAAAAATCTATTCAACCGCCAGAAATAATCAAATGATTGGTATTAATTAGCTGTCGTGCTAGCTAACAGACGGACATCAGAGGAGTCGGCGAACCGTTAGCACCGTTTTAACGGACGCGGCAGCGGGTATTTAAATTCTCCCAAAGCCAAAAAAAGAGGGCAAAACCTCCTTCTTTTGAGGTACAGACGGAGACAGAGAACAAACCCTTCGCCCAGATAGCTAAATCTGCCCGAATCGACGGATATCATCCCCGCACCTCATCTGTTCTCACATAAAAAAAAAACCGACCCAGAGGGGAGAGCAGCGGAGGGAGGAGAGGCTGCACACGGTGGGAACCAACGGCCGAGAGGAGAAAAGAAACACTCACCATCTGCGCTTCTTGTCTGAGATACGCTGACTGGTGGCTACAAAGTCTGTTCAATCTGAATCTGGAGGCTGAAACCCGCCGTCGCTTTCTCTTCTCGCGGCGCCTTTGTGGCTGAAGCTGATGCCGGTGAGTCTGAACGCTGCGCTCCTCTGCTCGCCTCGGCTTTCAACAGAGCAGTTTTCTTCATCGGCAGGATGTCGCACGCTATTGGTTATCATCTGGTCCTGATGCATTCATGGCCCGTCGGATAAGTCGAAACTCGACGGGGGCAGCTAGCGTTTATGGCAGTTTATCGATGTCGTAATTTTAAGACTGAAGTATTTACATGTCTTTTGCAACTTATGCATCTGTTTTTATGTACTGTAGTCAATAAAATTACTCTTGCAAAGGAGACGATGACTGAAGCCAAAATCAGCGATGTATTAGATAGGGTTACAATTTCAGAGGCTAATTGAAGTGCTCACACATGCTATGAAATGATAATGGTTCGGCAGTTGTATGAATGTCTAACCTCCATCTTTAAAACAAGCTACAATATGTTTTGTTATTAGATATTAAACCAAAAGTTAACTTCAGTTTTATATTATTATAATGAATGAGACATTTGCAGGTAACAAAAAGACAGCAAAAACCTTTATGCATGGATCTATGTTGCATACTGAGACTTAAATATTGTTGATGGCTTACTGTTTGGACACTTTGTTTTTGCAGATTTTTAGATAATTATCATCTATGTGTACATCTGTCTTGATTATTAGCTGTTTTTGTCTAACAAAGGCCTTGTAATGGCCTGGGGACCAGTCCTGAGTGCACCCCGCCTCTCGCTGGATGACAGCTGGGCTCCATCCCCCCTGTGACCCTGCAATAGGATTAAGAGTGTAAAAAAACAAAACAAGGATGGATGTTGAACAAAAACTCAAGAATAAAACCATTTTTTCTGAAAATATTTGAATAAATTAAATAGTCAAACTACAAAGCAAACACCATCTTGTGATAAATGAAGATCAAGATATTTTCATTTTAACAAAAAAATCCAAAAGTAAAAAAGAGAAACTTTTTACTGATCAAACTTAACAATAATCGCATTCAGTTGTTTATCATGCTTTTATTTGTTTGTAGATATAACTATAATAAAGAATATGAGTACATTTACATACTCAAGACAAAATTAATCTCCAGATGGCTCCTCTGTTCTCAACACCTTTAGGATCAAAATCAAATACAAGGCATTGTGCTGTTTTATTGTGATCTGAGCTCCTTATCTTGGCTTCCACCTGCAGTAACTCAGCATGCTGGGAGTTTCTTCATTAAATGCACTTAGACAGTTGAAAGAAAAATCCATATTGACAACAATAATCAGTTTTTTTTAAATAGCAGAACAAATGCAAGATAAAATGTCAAATTGCCATTTTTAATCAAAACTTGTTTTTCATGTGTTTGTGAGCAACTGAAATTCCAGTCAAACGTTTTGTGAAAAACACCTCTGAGCTTAAGACAAACTACATGCCATGGAAAGGCACTTCACTAAACTTCGATACAAGACACAAGAAAATTATACGTTTGTTTTTTTTTTTACATGTAAAACTAGATCACAACAGGTTGCCTTAACCCAAAAAAAAAAGAGAAGCTTTATAGATAAACAAAATACAAACAGACAATCACACTTGGCAAAATCCATGGGGAAAAACGTGGAGTCGGCTTTGCTAGCACGGGTCATGTTAGTTCAGTGAGAATAAACAACAACACATCTTAGATTGCATCTTTTACGGACAGGAGGATTTATTACAGCTCTATTGCTGGACTTCACTTACAGTAACATCAGTCGTGATGATCTATGTACAATGGCTGTCTTTGAACTGTCTGTGCTGAACAAACATCATGAGATCCAAACCAACCCGGGGGGCACCATCAGAACACTTTCTGCTGATTTGAGATAAACAACATCCCCCTAAAGGCCTGTGCTTGTGTCAGCCTCTGATATGCACTCTATCTGCCAAAGAGACGGGCTCAACATTGAGCTGTAGGTCGGTGTTTTTGGGATGTTTTTACATTCTCTTTAGTTGTCCCATCTGCTCTTCCTACGTTTTGGTGGGTCTGGGACAGCAAAGCTATCATCCCCCCGGTCCCTCCCCTCTCCGCCCCCCCTGTCTCCCCCGTCTCTCTCACTCCTCCGCTCTTCTCTGTCCCTCTTGTTTCCCTCCCCGTTGCGGCCATCGCTGTGGCGGCTGCTGCTGTGGCGCTCCCGCTCCCCGTGGCGCTCCCGCTCTCGGTCTCCGTGGCGATCTTGGCGTTCCCGGCGATCGTCGCCACCGTGCCGTTCGGCCCGGTCGCTGTGGCGGTGGTGACTGTCCTCGTAGCGCGCCCGCTCTTCTCCGTGTCTGTCTCGGGGGCTTTCTCTGGGCGCGGGGGGCGCCGGTGGGGGGGCGGCGAGCGGAGAGCTGCTGGGACTGGCGGGCACTGAGCTCAGGGAGCCGGCACTGGTGAAGCCCGCCATCGGAAAAGCTGCCATGTGAGGCCGCTCGGAACCGTTGGCAGACTCTGTTGGCACCGAATTCAGGCTGCCAGCGCTGGTCCAGCAAGAGGAGCTGTTGGACTTGGTGCTGAGCTTTGGCGAGCCGCTGGTCGCAGCCACAAAGTGGCTCTTATACTGACTCTGAAAGAAAACAAGGAATTGGAAATTGGAAAGTGATTGGGAAGCAGAAGAAGAGGCAACCACACCTCACAGAGAAGAGTTCACTAAGCATAAAACAACCAAACATTACTGGGTGTTTGGAGCTTTTCTGTGGTAGAGCAGTATAATGTGTTTTTTGGTAGAGAAACAGGAAATTAAAGGAAAAGCTGGAGTTACCTGGAACGCCTGTTTCAACGCAGACATCCGATCTCCCATTGCCCCCGAAGTCGGCTTACTGAAGCCTTCAAAGCTACTAGTGGAAGACAACAAGCTGCTACTGCTACTGCTGCTGCTGCTGCGCTCCTGCAGAGGGAAGGAAGAGCGAACCACCTCCATCAGAATCTGGCGTGGAGGCCGAATATCCGTTTCTACGAATATTCTATCATTTTTCATAGTTATAACAGGCTAATGAAAATATTTCTGTTGTACTAATCAGTAACTTACAGAGCTGTTAGACCCCAGGCCTGGTCTCTCTTTGTAACCAAGACCACCTCCACCGATGTTCAGCTTTTTCCCTTTACCACCCTTGAATCGTGATTTCCTGAACCATGGATTCTGAGGAAAACAAAACAAAACAAGAATTAAAATTACTCTCTCCAAAAGGCAGATTCAGTCCCATCACAACATGGTCTTGTGTACCTTTAACTTCTTTGTCCTACCTGCATGGCTAAATCCATCAGCTCTTTGGAAACAGCCTGATTAGCTCCCTCCAAATTTCGCACCAGGTCCCCAGCGAATGTGGTGTCCTTATTGGTGAGGAGGGTATAGGCCACGCCCTTTTCTCCAGCACGACCAGTTCGGCCGATCCTGTGAGTGTGTGTGTCGATGTCCCGTGCCACGTCGTAGTTTACCACCGTGCGAATGGACGGGATATCAAGACCGCGGGCTGGGGGGAGGTACACAAAACACTTGTGACTTAAAAAAACAGCGTTTAAAAGGTTACAAAACATTTTAACAGCGAAACCCTCCTGTACACACCAGCTACGTCGGTGGCCACCAGTACTGGCAGGTTCTTCTTCTTGAAGTCACTGATGACCTTGTTCCTCTCACTCTGATCCATGTCTCCGTGCAGGAGGCCCAGGCTGTAACCCTCCTGTGTCAGGTTGGTGGCCAGCTCCTCACAGTTTAGCTTCTTGGTGACGAAAATGAGGACCGAGCCGGAGGAGGTGAACTCCACCAGCCGCCGCGTCAGCCAGCCCCATTTGTCCGACCCACCGTGCAGCATCTCTACCACCTGGGTCACATCCTCATTGGCCTTTTTAATAGCAGGAAGAGATGCACACAATTAGTTCTCTTCCATTTTCAGGACAGTTTTAATGTAGTTGAAAACACGAGATTCTTTCTTCCATGCTCCAACAAGTTAGCGCACATTTCAAAGTAGAAAAGCTGTACAAATCTGTAAAATAATATCTCAAAGGGGACAAACTTTATTTCAAATCATGCCAACATAGTCAAGAACCCTTTTGAAACAGTGCAGTACCTCTCCAATGTCTCCCTGCACCACGCGGATAGGATCCACCAAAATGTCCCTTGCCAATCTCTCAATCTTCTTTCGGAAAGTAGCGCTGAACAAGAGAGCTGTTAAAAAGCAAAAATTAAACACATGCTCTCTTTAACCGAGAATAAAAACAGTGATCTAAGAAAATCACTTACTCTGCCTGTCTGGACGCACATGGCTGGCAACAGATCTAACTTGATACTCTAAAAATAAGAAGAGAACACTTAGTAGCAGCAGACTGTGAAACACTTATCAAGCACAAAGGATTTCCTCTAAATATTTCTACAGTACTGATAATGCAAACCCACCAAAACCCATGTCAAACATGCGGTCAGCCTCATCAAACACGAGATATGTCACTCTCTGCAGGGAGGTGGCCTTCTTTTTCACGTGGTCAATCAGACGACCCTGGACAAACAGACACGACGAGTTAACCTCCACTTTTTGTGCTTCGGTCGAGATCGTTTTGTTGAATAATTAAGTTAAATCGCTTACTGGAGTGCACACAACAATCTCTGCTCCCTCCTGCAGAGCCTTGGCCTGCTCCCACATGCTGCCTCCTCCGTAAACGGCCACAGAACGCAACGAGTAGGCTTTTCCAAAACGCTTACATTCTGCATGGATCTAGAAAATGATACAAGTCACTTGCATTGATGAACTAACTCTCCTGGAATGTTTTAAAATGTTGGCTTAAAATGACTGAAAAGAGTGCATGTGATTTGACGAAACAGCCTCAGACTCCTTACCTGCTGACACAGCTCTCTGGTGGGACACACGATGACTGCAATGGGGCCCTCTCCAGCTTCCAGCTCCTTCTGATCCATGATGTGGACCAGCATCGGCCAGATAAAAGCTGCAGTCTTGCCGCTGCCAGTTTTTGCGATGCCAATCATGTCACGTCCAGACAGAGCAATGGGGACGCCCTACAAGCCAGATCAGAACCAGGACAGCTCAGGGTATAATTCACATTTTCATCCTGATCCTCCTTATAACGATTCGCACCATACCTGGCACTGGATGGGAGTGGGCTGCGTGTACTCTGACTTCCGAATTTGATGCATCAACTGCTCATCGAAGCCAAAGTGTGCAAAGCTTGTACAAGGTTTTGGAGGAGCAGCACCAGATACCTAATAAAAACAGGAGTAGAGGGCAATAAATCAGATAGATACACTGACAATGAAGAGCAAACTGCAAACATGATGAAGGCCAAGTGCTTCAAAGATGTTTATTTCAGAGGTGAACTGGCTCACAAACTTGAGCATTACCTCATTCCTATTTCAACTCTACTTAAAAATGTTCAGAAAAGAAATGGTGAACTTACTCGCAGGTTTAGTTTATGCCTCAGCTCCAGCATTTGTGTTCCAGTGAGGCTACTAAGCTCTTCGTGTTCATTGTAAAAGTTTTTCTCAAATGGTGGATAGTCGATCTACGAAAGAATAAAACAATTTTTTTTTAAATGGTTTTACGACAAAATCTGTTTACAAAATGCACAAAATATATTGTCTGTTATCAAAGTTCACCTCTGAGTGGTCAATAGGAGGAAGCGGCAGAATGATTTTCTTGGTGGTGGATGGAATTGGGTTCCCATCACTGTCATAGTCAATGTTGTCCTCCTCTTCCTCTTGGGTTAGCCCGGCTGTGGGATTCTCTGCCATGTAGCGGAAGTAGGCTTCCTGCAGAGAGTACAGCGCTTCATGTGAAAACTGAGCCAGCGTGATGCTCCCTGTGCTCTCAGCCATTCAGATGACAGATGGAAAGTTACTGCTCACATGACGCATACTGTTTACATCTGAAAGCAATGAGTATGTCCCCTGCTAGCAGACTTCGTGTTTTTAGAAAAGACCAGAAGAATCGGCATGAGAAAAGTACTAATAATGCTCCTAAATGCAGTCTGCGTGGGCAGATAGAGGGAGGCCCTCTCTGAGTTACACGGCGGTGGATTAAAAACATTGATTAAAAACTCACTTGCTCATCTTCTTCTTCAATGTCATCACGAATACCCCTGAAATGAAAAGCGGAGAAAAAAAACTTCCCTGCGGCTTGTTCATACACCAAAGAAAGCCCACACCCCACAATGACTTGGTTCAGTCTGCTCACCTGATAAATACTCAGCCAGCAAAGGCTTTTAATGGACAACTGATTTTTTATGCCAATATTAGCTGAAACTTAGAACTACAAAATTATTTGCCAGAGTTTAATGTACAGAGTGAAAATGAAATGCAGTGTTAGTAACCTGTCAGGATTTCTTCAAAATATACAATAAATTGTGGGCAGCCTTTCTTTTCTGGTAAAATATCTTTAAAAGAATCAATTGAGAACTAAAAAAAGAAAAAAATACACTCAAAAATATGCACACGCAGAGACTTACTTGGCTGACTTTTTCTCTTTTTCCTTCTCCTCTAGTTTCCTCATGTCTTTAGCTGCTTGGTTCTAAGAGAGATCATTTTAAAAAATTAGGTTAATTGCATAAATAAAGTTTTAATGATGTGTTTATCTCAAAATGAGCTCAAAGCTGGTAGATGGATGCAGAGCCTACAGCAGCACTTATGTAAGTGACCAAAATCCTATTTATACCACTGCTTAAGTGGGCCTCCGCATTGTTTGGCAGTCAGAGCCCGAAAGCTCCATTTGGTGGCAGAATTTCTTTCTGTGTTGCTTCTTCAAACAGTGTTGTCTAAGAGCAAAAGCTACTGGATGTAGATCCAGCTCCCAACAGTCTGGAAACTATAATGCATGGTACAAAGCTAAGCTGCTGGCTCTGCATCAATCTTACATTTGAGCTTGAATTGCTTTAACTGCAACTCTCCCCTCACCTCAACCTCTGCCATGAAGGCATCTAATGGGTCATCCTCACTATCAGAGCCACCGCCTGACTGCATCTGCTGCCTTGTGGGTGAGTTCTCAGCTGGAATATATGGCAAATCTACATTGCTGCTGGACTCCTCTTCGTCATCTTCAAAATATCTAATGATATAAACAACAAGACAAAATTTTACATGCACCAAATACAATGCAGGGTTCATGATATGTAATAATAGTAAGAGTTGATGTGCTGTAGTTTGCACTCACGCATTTTCCTCATCAAAATTTGCCCTTTTAGTCCCTATTTTATAGAATGATGGGAGCTGTTGGTTTTTTCCATATCCCCCACTTGATCCTGGTGCTCCAAACGTTGTGTGGGAATTCGGAGCCGCAGGCGGCTCCTCTTTTTTCCCCGCAAGGGAAAACCCTCCAAATCCAAACCCTCGCTTCACACCCGGACCGCCTTTGTTCCAGTTCATGGTTATGCTGTGCAATCGACAAAAGAAAAATAAAGTCTTAGAATTACTGTGTCATTAAATGTTTGAATTGGTCATCTATGGCCATTGATGACTTGATTGATGACTCTTAGAAGAGAAAATTATGATTATTAGATGTACATAATCAGTAGCCCTCTCATCATTAGTCTTTAAATGTGACATCTAATTTATGTCTCCTGGCTTTTTAATCCAACTTCTTCCACATAAATAGTCATCGCTGGAGGACAGAGGACCTAAGTTTAACACTCACATATCTATAAATATGTGTGCATTAATCATGTGAAGACTATTAATTAAATAATCTCAACAACTAAAATGTAATCATGAACTTTCAAGACATCAGAGCCCAAGACAAGCGGTGTGTTTAGTCTTACTAGCATCTGCTAGCGACATCACTTTCGGACTGACAAACAGACGTCACGTTGAGGTAGTTAGCCAGTAGCTAAATAAGGATTATGTTAAATGATACCCCAGTTAGCGTATAGTCAGCTGCTTGCATTACCGAAATTTTACAAAAACATTTATCCCAGATTTCCTCGGCCCACAAGAACTGTTAGCATTAGCTCTAGGCCGCACAGAGGCCGATATGGAGGTGTGCGGTTCAGCCTCGACAATTTGTCGTGAAAGTGGTCCAAATATGGTGCTTTCGTCAAGGACACTACATCGTAATGCTTTTAAATTAATCAATGCATCTGCAAATATAAGGAACTGGTAAAAGTGCACATGTATTTACCTGTTTATGACAGTTGTGAACGCTTCTGTTTGTCAATCAGACGCAGCAGAGTTGCGTCATCTATGCGCGCAAAGCTTCTCTATGCTCCTGTCGTCATCGCCGAGCGACACTGTAGTCAACCAAGAAATTGAACAAGGGATGACCAAAACATCAAGGCTGACAGGATGGTTGGATAAACTAAATCGTCTGAAATATAGTATTACGACCATTAGGAATACAGTTTCTTCCAGATAAATTGGTAAGTCATCAAATAATTGTAGGCAATCTTATAATTAAACGTTGAAATAACTCACCGTAGCTACTTCAGCTAACGAAAATTTACTGAAGCTAGCTGACGTTCTCTATCATAACAAGAGCGAGTTACTTTGTAGTTATAAATTAACAAAACGTCGTGTTGCTAAAAGTTAAAATAGTCACGTTTTAAGGCTGTACAGCACAAGTGCACAAACTAAAGCAATGAAATAACTTCAATTTGCCGTGGAGCATCCTGCAGATAACAGGCTCATCTTCACCTGTTTCACAGTTTAATGTGGGCTTCATCACACGGTGCAGACTACTCAGAAATCTCACCACATTTGCCATTTGCATCATTCATTTTAACTGAGTTGCAATTTACTGATGATGTGACAAAATAGTAATATTTTTAATATTTTAAAATTGAACAGAGGTCTCAACCCCCTTGCTGAAGTCTAGATTTGTACCCCATGATAACGTACAGCTTCGTTGAAACACGATTTTAAAACATTATTTTCATTATTATTTTTCTTTCCTTTAAAAATGCTGACAGTTTGGCTTGTCATGTCTTTATTCTGTCTTCATTCTGGTGGATAACCAGTCCAAGCCTGATGTAAAATCTCCTAAATTAAAGCTTACAGCAAGAGTCCAAACAGGACATCCTCTTAATCCAAAGTTTTTCTTAATTATTTCCACAGATAATCTCCCTGTACTTGTTTTTGGCGTCTTATATAACAAACCCAAGAGGACTCATGTCTTTTCTTGTAAGTGACCCATCTTTAATGTTTGACTTTAAAAGGCTGGTTTCCTGTGTAAATATTTAAACTCTATACCTATGAATGGGAGTTGAATAGGAATAGTTCTGATATTGTTTCCATTGAATTTTAACAGACCTGAGTATTTTCCAGAACTGCTCATAGATAGAAAAGTCATATCTTTATTTTTCATAATACTTTCCATGACTTCTTCCTAACTTTACAGCAGCAGATTTAAATTTCTCCTCATTAACCAGTGTAGCATTGAAACCTTTATGTATCTATTCTCCTGTAAGCTTTTCTTATTCTTGCTCGCATTTTTCTCTTTCTTCCATGCCTGCTTTTAATCCTCTGTTTCTGTCAGCGTTGGGTATCTGAGAAATTAAGTGTGGAGAGCCTGCGGGATTTGGAGTTATTTGGAGGTGAGGCTCAAGTCGAAGCAGCTTCTCCTTCCCAAAACACTGGTAACACATTATGCTGCTCCCAAGCTCAAAGAGAAAACCAGCATTGAGCTCTCACGCAAAAGCCCTGCTCTGAGTACTTGCTTCGCGGTGCTTCTCAGGTTTCTTCCTGAATGAATTAGTCATCGGTCCCGTCCAACCCATTGAAAGCTTTACTGCCTCATCGTTTCTCTTTGTGTAGACGAACAAAATAGCTTGCTAATGAATTCCTATGTCGGCCTAAAAAAAAACGTCCCTTTTATTTTATCCCTTTAAAACATTATTGTCTTCGCTTGTGGCTGTTTCACATATATTTTATGTGCTATTTCCTTTTAAATAGATGTTAATCTTGTAATGTAGTATCTCCTCTACCACCACAGGAACTACTAATAAATCCATGTTGGTGGTAGTTGGATAGTAGTTTAAATTGAGACGCCTGAACATAAACATTTACTAGAACAAGCTGCCGTAAGACTGAATTGTATTTTGGGACATTTTCACAGTTTATTTGTTCATGATATGTAGTCATCCCACATTATCCCAGTTTTTAATATAGCCACACAATGTGGGAAAATGGAGTGTGAGATAACACAGATCCAGTGGGACCATATGGTATGTGACCCAAACTTTACACGCTTCATGGTCCATTATCATAGTTTTCCTGTGTTTTTTGAAAAATTCTGATGTAAAAGCCCTTCTCTGGGTGGAGGCTTCCCTTCATTTGCACTGTTCTGCTTGCAGGTCATGGTAGAGCGTTGCATGTCTGAGGAGGTCTACCCTTTCTGTTTTTGGCTGTGCTCAGCTCCCATTGCCCCCCACCATTTGCTAAACGGAGGGGGGGGGGGTCTGTGCTCCCTTCGGGCCCACAGCTACAGTTAGATCCTACATCCGGCTTCAAACGTTGCCCCTCGTGGCGAACATCCCGTCCGGAGGGCTGCGCCTGCTAGTGTCCGAGCGTCTCTGACCACAGAACCGTTCTCGTTTTCCTCTGTGTACGTGTGTTTCTGTCATTGACATGCTTTTTCTACCCCAGAGCAAGCTCAGGGACTCGCACACAGGAAAGTAAGTGTGGCACTCCTGTCACTGCACCATCTCCGCCCACCTGCCTTGTGTCTGTGCAAGCATGCAGGTGTATGTGTGCGCACAAACACACACCCACCCACACACACACACACACACACACACAGTTGTTTTCAGAGGAGTCCACAGAGCTCCCAGGCTGTGCACATCTGCGTATGCATGAGCGCCCCCACTTCACGACGCGCTGCACACGCTGGCCTCACTCACCAGAGCTTCTGTTCCCCCAGAGGGAGCCTCTGGCTCTCCCACACGGCCCGTCCTAACCGTTCTGCCGAGTGCTGTGCATGTATTAACATGCCCCGCCCGGGCAGCCACAGGGTCAGCTGCCCTTTTGCCCCCCCCCCCCCCCCCCCCTTAAACACTGCGGCTCAACGTGTCAGGAGGTTTTGTGATGTGCAGGCGGCCACACGGGGCTGTCGATGGAAGCTTTCAGCTGCAGCAGCTCGGGGCAGTAAATCCAAAGTTGGATGACGCGATTAACTGACCTTTGCGGATGCTCCTTTAAGGGCTTTTATACAACAAGCCAACAGCTGGCTGCTGTGCTCCAGCGCCCAGCAGGAACTACGATGTAGAATAAAAGCCTAACTCTTTATTACCCTCCTAAAACATTACTCTGTTCACCTTTTTTTAATCTTTTTTTTATAGTTAGTTGGGAGGTTATGCAGTTGGTTTAGATGTGGCCGGTTGTGTTGGTGCACAGCAGGTGGCGCTCCGACGTGAGCTCTGCTTGTGGGTTTGCTGTATGAGAGCCCAAAGCCAGCGGTGCCAAAGCATGTCCAGCTTTGCGGTTTGATTAGGGTTAGGGTCAGTGCTTCTGGCCGATTCCGTCTGGTCCGGGAGGACGTTTTTCCTGCCTGTGCGCTGCTGAACTCAAAGTCCTCTGTGACTCACGGGAGAAGCTCGGAGCACACAGGCTCACAGGCTGAATGCGGGGCTTCACGCTGGTCGCCATGGAAACAGTCCAAATAATGATCCGGTTTGCTTTCATTTGCCTCCACAGCTTGCTGCTGCAATCTGCCCATTTCCATGATTTCTACGGCCCTAAATCGATGGAACTCAGAGTACATTTATCTGTATTTACGATGTGAAAGTCCCACATTTTTTTACCGACTGAGGAAAGTCTGGACTCTGCAGAGTTTTTTTCTGTAGGTGAAACGGTTAAACAGTGACTCATAGGTGCTGCTTAGGGGGGGCTGAAAGACCCTGAACCCCATGGTGGATGCCAGTGTGTGCCGTTCCAGTGGGGTCACGCTAACAGCCCGGTTCTCACGGCAGCCCGCTCCCTCTTGTCCCCGTTTTAACAGCCGCCACTCATGCGCCCGACCTCTGGCAGTCAGTCACGAGCTCCCGGGTCAGAACCGGCCCTCATTCGTTTTCCGTCTGTCTCCTCCACCCCCAGGACCATGAGGCCAGTCGGGAGAGCCTGACTTCACTCCCCCGGCGAGACACCATGGGGAGCTTCCTCCCCGACAGCAGCTGCTACGAGCTCCTCACCGTGATCGGTACGTAGAGGGAAAGCAAGACGGATTTAACGACAAAAAACTGCTCTGTGTCCATCCCAAGATGGAAAATGTGGTCTCATCTTAGTGTTTGGTTTGTACATAGATTTGAAGGCCGCTGGAGATGGTGTGTTTGACACAGAATGTGGATGTGAAGTTGGGTTTGTGTTCCAGGGAGGGGCTTGGACGAGCTGATGACGGTGAACCTGGCTCGGTACAGACCCACGGGGGAGCACGTGGCCATCCGGCGAATCGACCTGGAGTCCTGCACCAACGACATGGTGACCTACCTGCAGGTCTGCTTCACCCCGTCACCCCCACCTTCCCCTTCTCCCCCCTCTCTTATGTCCTTAACCTCCAGCCACATCGGCCTAAACTTTCAGCCTCCTCTCCCCATCAGGGCGAGCTCCATGTGTCCAAGTTGTTCCACCACTCCAGCATTCTCCCATACAAGAGCATCTTCATAGCCGAAAACGAGCTCTGGGTCATCACGCCGTTCATGGCTTATGGTGAGTCAGCGTTGCAGTGAATCGCTTCCTTGTGAAGTAGATCTGCTCCACTCCAGGGATGTCCCGATCCAGATTTTTGCTCTTGCGATCCGAGACCGGCCGATCAGAGCATGTATAAAAGTTTAAAGTGATTTAGCCTACTTACTTAGTTGTCAGACTCATGTTGAACAGGGATTTACTCTGATAGCAACTTAATGGTTAGGACAGTGTTTTTCAACCACTGTGCCTCCGTACACTAGTGTGCCGCGAGTAATGGTCAGGTGTGCCGTAGAAAATCATCCTATTTCACCTAATTGGTCTAAAAAGATTTTTTGATAAGGAATTAATTTTCTGCAAATAATATGCCATTTTTTAGTGTCTGTGCTGTATTAGTGACTCGTGGCGTAATCATGTAATAATTCCTTATGGCTAGATTTTGTTTTTAATTTTGTATATTGAAGTGGACATGTTAAGTGCAATTTGAAAGAAGAAATATAAAATCTGATAAAAATACATTTTTGTGTTTAATCGATTCCTATTCAAGACACTTAAGATAAGATAAGAATGAGATAAGAATAACTACAGTGTTACTATAGGCGGCTACAGATTTGTTTAACAATTTTGGATGGTGGTGTGCCTCGTGATTTTTTTCTATGAAAAAATTTACCTTGGCTCAAAAAAGGTTAAAAAGACTGGGTTAGGACACAGACCTGTGGGCTAGCAGATGCTAATGCTCATGTGGGATTGGACTAACATAAACTGGATCGGGAGTCTGGATCGGCATCGGGGTTGACTTTATGCTGATGTTTTCTTCTTGCAGGTTCGGCAAGAGATCTCATCTGCACACATTTCGCCGACGGCATGAGCGAGCTGACCATCGCCTACATTCTGCTGGGCATGCTCAAAGCTCTGGAGTACATCCACCACATGGGATACGTGCACCGCTATGCTTCACACTTAACGCGCGCCGCCGGCGTTTTTTTTTTTTTTTTCCGACCGGCGATGCATTCACTGCCCTCGCTGTTCAGAAGCGTGAAGGCCAGCCACGTCCTGATATCTGCGGACGGGCAGGTGTGCATGTCGGGCCTGAGAAGCATCTTCAGCCTGATCCGCCACGGCCAGCGGGCCAGGGTGGTCCACGACTTCCCCCAGTACGGCGTGAAGGTGCTGCCCTGGCTGAGCCCGGAGGTGCTGCAGCAGGTGAGCCTCTCCGCCCCCCCCCCCCCCCCCCCCCCACCCGGCCCCAAACCCAGAGCAAACCAAAACAGCTAATCGGCTTTTGGGGTTTCTGCCTCAGAATCTGCAGGGCTACGACTCCCGGTCGGACATCTACAGCCTGGGCATCACAGCCTGCGAGCTGGCCAACGGACACGTGCCCTTTAAGGATATGCCGGCCACACAGGTCACCAGAGACTTATTATATATTATATTATTATTAACTCATTGACTGGCAGCCATTTTCAGAACAGAGAGTCCCATACTGCCAGAGTTTTTCGAGCATTTTTTTCAAGAGCCACAGAATAGTTTGTGCTATGACTATGTAAACACCGAACACACCAAAAGAAAGAGTAGACTCTCTTCTATCATCAGGAAAAAAAAAATTGTTTCTACCTTATTCCGTTCTTCCTCGACGTGCGTCTCACCGGCGCCATTTCTCGCATAGCGAAGCATTGCGTTTTTTTTAATTTGCCAACAGTCTATGCTCATCTCCCATCAAAAGTGGCACAGCTACCTAGAGGGTAAATTTGTTAGTACATACTCTGTCTAGAAGCCGATAATTACGGAAAAACTTTAGCCGATCGTCCCCCAAGCCACTCACGTTGAAAAACATAAAAGAGGTCTATAGACGTCTTTGGCAGCGAATGAATTAAGGTCAAATTTTGGACTCTAATCTGCGAATAAAAGCGTGCAAAACCACAAAAATCATTTTATTTTGACCGTTGCACACAGGAATTAAGACAAAGTCTGGGTTTGTGTTTTTTAAAAACCTTATATAGAACCTTTTATAGAAACCGGGCAGAACTGTTGGGTGCTCCTCCACAGATGCTGCTGGAGAAGCTGAATGGCACCGTGCCCTGCCTGCTGGACACCACCACCATCCCCCCGGAGGAGCTGTCCCTGAAGCCGTCCCGGTCCGGGGCCGACTCCGGCATCTGCGAGGGCCCCGGGGCGGGCGGGGTGCGCCACTCCAACGGGGAGCCCTCCTCCTCCTCGTCGGGGGGACACCCCTACAACCGGACCTTCTCCGCGCAGTTCCACGGCTTTGTGGAGCTGTGTCTGCAGCGGGAGCCCGAAAACAGGTCGGTCCCGTTCGCCATCACGTCCCAGTGAGCCTGGAAGGCCTCGTCGGGGGGGCGGCAGTAACCTTTTCTTTGCATTGTTCCTCCTCAGACCATCTGCCAGCACCCTGATCGGCCATCCCTTCTTCAAACAGGTGGGTAAAGTCCTGTCGCTTTAACTGCTTCCGGTTGCTTTACCGGCACCCAGCACAACGATCAAGAAGCCCTTAAGCCCCGCCCATTTCTGGCCATGAGTTGACATGGGAATGACCCCCCGCATTTGCTCCCTCAGATCAAACGCCGGCCTTCGGAGGCGCTGCCCGAGCTGCTCCGGCCCGTGTCGCCCATCTCGTGCTCCCAGGCCCAGAACTCCCCCTCCGGACTGGCCAGCCTGGAGTCCGGCCTCAGCCACCTGGACGTGGACGACTGGGACTTCTGACAGCTGGGGGGGCTCGACGGGGAGACGAGCGCAGGATTGTAACGGAGGCTCTATGAACAGACGTGAATGTTTTTGTTACGGTCTCCTGGTGAATGCTAACGTCAGGTTGAAAGGGTTCGCCGTTCGCAGACAGAGCTTGAAACCCAGTAGCTGTCTCGCTTGTTTTCGATGTCTCATTCATGTTTTTTGCTCTGTAGATACGCACTCACTGTCGTGCTCGCTCGCACACGGCAGCACGCCTGTTTACAGACGGCACACCGCCACCTCACTGGAGCCCGAACCCGTTTCCGAGCAGGATCTGAATCTAAACTCACGAGAACGATCAAAGGGAAGCTGCTACTGAATATCCAGAGGGGACAGTCTACCTCTTACGGGATGCTGGGCAGTTCTCAGCCGACTCGGGTCGCCTTCCAGGCCAAATGGAAGGCTTTTGTCGGCTTAAAGAGCAGCACCTTTCTCAGCTCTCTGCCGGGGCTGCTTTACAGACCACATCCCACGCTTCAGGCTTCCTCTGTTAGAGGCTGAAATGGTTCCACTTTATGTTCCTGAACGGGCTCTGGGGGTTGCTCATGTCAAAGCGAATGTTCTTATCGGTGCTTGTTTTTTGTCTGCATGTATATTTGAAACCAAGGGCAAAGCAGAGTGTTGCAAGAATAAAAAAACTTTACAATAAACCGGACTGGAGGCCAACGAAACTTGTAGAAAAGTTTACTAAAAATGCACAGACAGACACACGAGCAGGGGGTGGAAACGGCCCGGGCGCTAATCGTCCTCTTCAGACGGAGGCTGGTCCAGGGCAGCGTTGTGTTTCTCGATCTTGGCCATCAGCTCTGGAATTAAAAGGGACGAGTCGGAAAAAAGTCGTTTCAGTTTCTGGTCGTTTCCGTTCGCTCCTGGAGGTTTTTTCGGACGGGCCTCGCTCACCTTTGGCCGGGTTGAAGACGCCGTTGGTCTGAGTGTTGCACACGTAGCAGCGCTTGGACTTCCGGTAGTGCTGCAGGGCGCAGGCCTCACAGAAGTAATGCTTGCACCTGGGGCAGATTTCACACCGCTGTTAGTCATGAAGGTGGCCAGAAAGGGAAACCTTTCGGGGGCAGGGGGGGGACTCACTTTGTGACGATGGGGCTCTTGTAAGATTCCCTGCAGATGAAGCACTTGAAGGGGATGTCCTCGTCGTCGCTGCTCACCTCGTAGTTCTCCTCGTCTGGAGGCAAACGCAGCCCGTGTTAACCTAATGCCCACCCGCTCCGGACAAACCGATCCACAAAACCGTCCCACCCACGCACCGTTCGCTCCGTATCTGCCCTCCTCCAGCTCCCGCTCGATCTGCCAGCCGTGTTTGTAGTCGGATCGGTCGTGCAGGAACTTGCAGCTGTCTGACGGCGGGAGAGAGAAAACACGGAGAGGTGAGAGAAAGCCGGGAGGGGTCAATCATCCGATGGAGGACGGATTTGTTTTTTGCTCACCTCCAAAGCCGCAGAAGCCAGTCTCTTTGTAGTCTTTGCAGATATCCGGCTGGTAGTCCCACCTCACAGTGGCTCTCAGGTGATCAGGGGCTCGGATTGGCCCCTTTCTGTCAAATAAACCTGATTTCAGCGCATGCGGCTGAGGGCTAACGGCTGCTGGACCGCGCCGGACTCGCCTCACCTGACCATGCCGGAGGAGGCGTTGCCCATGGTGGTGTCTTTAGGCTTTATGAACTTCTGGTAGTTGTTGATGCCACGATAAATTTTATCATCTTCTTTACCCATCAGCTCCTATTAACAGATTGAAGAATGAACAAAAGGAACTAAGAATTGTCTAATTTTGTCCAGCAGATGGTTTCCAGATTAAGTTTAACCAAGTAAATAATACATCTTGGGTTGGTTTGATTCAAGGGGGATTTCTGCCTCCAAAAGGGGGTTAGAGGAACACATTTCCTACCTCTTGGATCTTCTGGCTCCTCTCAAAAATGGCTTGAGCATCGTTGTCTTTCTCTGTGTCCAGCTGATACGTAGCAGTAGCTCCCATGTCCTCTGGTCCCTCTGGTTTCTGTTTTAGGGACAAAATGAGAAAGCGATTCCCGCATTTCAGAAAACAGGGAAGCGTGGATGCAGAGAAAGAGGCGAATCTCTTTACAACTGCACAGCCAGAACAAAAACAAAAATACTTAATCAGATTTAAACCTCCAGAGCCTGGCGTTGGAGCATCATCATTACAAACAAAATGAGAAAACTCACCGCTGAACGTTTAGATTTATAAGAGACCGTGACTTTTTTGTCCTCTTTTTCATCTTCACTTTCGCTGGAAGACACGTCATCTTTCTCCACCTTTTTCGTCTGAGGAAAGAAGGACAAAAATGTGGGGTTTTATTCGTGTCTAGCTTCAGGCAGCCGTGAGACTGCGGCTGGTTGGGGCACCTTTTGAATCATGGGGTTGACTCGGCCATCTTTTTTGTCCCTTCTGACCACAGCACTCTGGTCCTCGTCGCTGTTGGCATCTGAAACGAGAAGAAATTCAGCCTAACATAATCAAAAGGTGAATACGGGGACACACGAGCTCTTTCCTGTTTTGTTTTTGACGTCGCAGGTATCACAGGTGAGGTCGTCAAAGACGTACCGGGACTTTAATCTAGGTCTAAAAACACACACCAGCCCCTGTGAATGAGCGGGAACTACCTTTGTCGCTGTCGCTTGCTTTTCTCTTCCGTCCGCTGAATTTCTTGGTGGATTTTTTAAACAGAAATGTGCAAGTAGCCGCTTTAGGTTCCTCCGAATCCGCCATTTTGCCCAGTTTGTAAATACCAAGCGTCCCAGCAGCGCCCCCCGGCGGCCCGGAGGAGGAACGCCGCTGGCTCCTCATTTATGACGAGGACTCAAAATGTTCGCTAAGGAAGAAACATTTTCTTTTTTGGTTTTCATGGAAAGAATACAAATATAGACACGACGCTGGCATTTTATATAATTCTTGGCAAATTTAGTATTTGTGAATACAAAATTTGCGAAATCACAAATGTAATTTTCATAATCTTCACCCTTTTTACATTTTTTTAATGAGGGAAGTTAAAGTATACTTATCCACTCTTTCCCAGAGTACAAAAAAAAATCATTGAGTAATTTGAATTGATCATAATGTCCACAATGTTTGCTCTCTGTTTTTTTGTCTTTTTTTAAACCAATGCCTGTATTGTAGAATCCTATACCCCTGGCATACTTTTATGTCATATTTATGTGTTTTGTTCCTTGTTTTTTATTTGTATCTGTAACAGAAAAACACTTCACCAACCAAGAGCTCAAAGAAATCTCTTTTATCATTTATCGTATTCATCGTCTCTGTTCCACCAAAGTCTTGTTACAGAGATGCAAAAAAATACATATTTGTACAAATCTTTCTGTCATATTAAAGAATAGGCAAATACAGTACATATTTTTTACTGGCTAAATGTCATATTCACATGTCTGTTTATCCAACTACAAGTGTTATACTCCCGTGTGATTTACTAGATATTGGTCCCCTTTCTGTTCACTCAAACATAAACAAAAACAAAAACAAAAACAAGCTTTAGTCCTTCTGGGATACAGCTTCCATAATTTTGTTGACTTTAATTCAATATGCCCTTCAGTCTTGTGCAGTATGAGCAATCTGCCTGATTTTCAAAGTCCGTGAAGGCATCACAGCTTCTGGGTTTACATCAAGTCTCCGTAATGCACATGCTACAACCGGACGTACGAGAAAATGAACGTCATTTAAAAAGAAGAAATTAATCCAAAATGGGTGACCATTGCATTATTTTGAAGGTGTCATCCGGAAGTGCCCTGGCTCGTCATGTCTGCTTGACGCCTGTCTTCCCTGTGCTTTTGCTCCCGCGGCCGCTGCAGCATCCGCGGCTCCCCGCAGAGGACACCGGCGCTGGCAGGACGCAGGGCCCGCGGAGGCAGAGGTCCTGGCCCGGGCACGGATCCGGAAGAGGCCCCGGGGCCGCCGCTGGATGGAGTCGGGCCGCATCGGACAGCAATGGCTATGGGTCTGACGTCCAAGAAGGCGTCTGCTCGGAGCGTCGCTGTGGAGCGAAAGAACCTGATCACGGTCTGCAGGTACTCCCGTCACGAGCCCCCGCCTCGGTACCTGACTCTGCATGCTGCCCGGTTAGGGATGCGCATCCCTCCACCGTCAGGCGGTTTCCCCAGAAACGGCCATCTCACGGTCGATTACCAAGGTGAAACAATAAACCGTGTAAAATAATGCAAAAAAAAAATATATCGATACGTTTCATGAAAGGCAAGACACAGAGAAGAGACAGGTGCGTTTCCACCTTCATATACCACCTTTGCACTCTTTTTAGGATAATGGGTTAAAATAGTATGATCTGTCATCCTAGGGAATGTCTAACTATATATCTATATCTATATATCTATCTATATATCTTTTTTTTAATGTCTCGTCTCCCATAACGATAAGGCAGCTCCAGAGGATGATAGTGTCACCACAGTGGGCCAATGAGCTCCACATCCAGCCTGATTAGGACAAGGCCGTTGGGAGGACAGGAAGGACTCCTCCCCACATCCCTGGGCATCCATTCTGCTCCATGCGGCCCATAAAGCAAAAGAGATGGGCTGTGAAATGCAGCCTCGGCTTGGCTATAAAAACCCTATTGTCCTCCACGGTGCTCACAGGGGTCAGGACTGCAAACGCCGGACCTGAGGGGCCACTTTGCTCCCTCACTGAGAGGGTCCAGCTTTACAGAACATTTAGTGGCCAAATGATTCAGAATCCCTTCAGAACCAGCGTTCAGTGATGTCATGTTTGATATTTATTGTCTGTTTGGCTGGTTGGAGTGATTGGTGAGCAGTTTTATTCACTTTTCGAAGGCCTAGGTAAGATCCTCCCTGACCTGACCAGAGCTGTGTAGCTTTAAATGTAACTGATTTAATATGAGTGTCATCTAAATAGAAGAACAGAGACTTTTATGGATTGGGAGCAAAATTAATATCTACAGCCTTGAAGGAAATCTACAGTATGTAGATGTAAAAATGAGGAAATTACAATAAATAAACTCAAATAAATAAATAACCAAAAAGCCAGGCTCTGGTAGACACACAGTAAAGCCTTTTTATTCCAGTTCCTCTCTGTCGGAGGCTCTGTTTGCATTCTAGTGACACGTACAGAGGCAAAAACACACGACACAAAGCAGAGCATGCCGCAAAGAAAGAAAGAAAAGTTCTCACAGTGGACACAGAGACAGATTAGCGGGGACACAAATACGCGGTCGTTTTCAGCCTTTTTTTTTTTCCTGAACATTGAAGACACATTTTTTTATCATCTTAATAACGAACCAAACCCACAGGACAGAAATAAAAATCAAAACAGCTTTCCATCAGTAATGCTCACTACACGGATTCTTTTCCTGTTTGTAATGGCGTTGGTTAGCTTTACGTAAAGGAGACGTTCCTCCAGGCGTGTGTGTCTCTGTCCAGTCCCGCGGTTTGTGTCCTCCAGATGTGCGTCCGGTCTCGGGGGATGCAGCTGTGCTGGTTCGGCAGCAGCCCTGTGGCTGGACACTACCTGGCTTAGACAAAGATATATTCCCACAGACCGATCTCTGCCTGGCTGCTGTCGCTAAGTGATTTTAGTGCTTGGTTAGTACATCAGGCAAAGCCTATTGAACCCCAATACATGCATGTGTGTATGTATAAAGTCTGACCTTTTTTCCTTTTCCCACTGTTTGTTTAACATACAGTCAGCACACACACATATTAACATTTTCTATTCTTAACAGTTTTTTTTTATTGAAATAAAAGGACTGTTTCTGCCCAGTTTTGGGGGTCAAATAATTAACAAGATTTGGTTTCATCCATTATTGACGACAAAAACCTGGCATCACAGTCCTGTTTTAAGGTTTTCCACTTGGTTTGGCGGGACGCCAGCACCAGGCACAATGGCTTGACTAATCTGTGGATGGAGACACATGCACAGCAAAAGGCGCTCGTGTGTGAGGAAGGGAGATCTATTGAAACATTTGCACCATCTCAGGGAACGGTTTCTGCACAAGGTCCCACATCAGGGGTTTAAAGGCAAGACGTGAGGGGATCTTGTAATAAATCTGACTACGATTAAGTTTAAGGAGACGAGAAAAATCTAATAGATCACTTTGAAATGGGGCGCATAGATTTTTGTTGTGGCCTAAATGTGGGTGGTGTGAGGTCTTCGATCAAATATCAGCCGAGGCACAAAAATATATATTTCAGTATCTCAAACGTTTCGAAGGATCGTTGCTTTAATGGCCGCAGAGACACTTTGTGATGCTTAAAATGTCTACAGTGACAGCAGTGTCATCATGATCAACTGTATCCATGCGCTGTTGCCACTAGCAACAAGCCTTCTCTTAACATGACGGGCCTGAGGCTTTCCGGCAGCGTCCCGCTCAACTTAAGCCCAGTTTGACCAAACATCTGGGATGAGCACAGCCAAAGAGTTTTTGTTTTTTTCGCCCGTGTGCTTGTTTACAGGACACAGTTTGCAGGATTTTGGGGTAAAACGGAGCGTTTGGCTGCCTTAGTTTGCCGTCGGTGACTGCAGAAAGAGTGTTGCTGTGGACACGCGCTGAACCTGAGAACACATAGATAAGATGAGTGAGACAGGTCGAATTTGAAGTGGACTCCTCTCAGCCACTTCCTGTAAACAAAAGGAGCACGGGGAGGGGGAAAGTCTGGAGAGTGATATATCTCGGCCTCTCTGGGGCGTGGCTCCAGGGGAGAGGGCTGTTTCTGTGCTGCTGGAAACACAAAAGCACATTCACATTCTTGGGCATACTTTTGGAAGGGGGTGGCTCTTTGTTTCTCCCCAGTGATAGTAAAGCATGACACTTGCATCATTGTGCACACGTCAGTTTACTCCGTTTCAAATACTAGCACGATTCTATTAGATTTGCATGTGTGGAGCTATTTTTAATTTTGAGGGGCCGTCTTTTTCATTTAGCAATAAGTTACAGAAAGAAAATTACAGCAGAAGTTTCAGTCGCTTTTCAGACCAATCATCAGCTGATCACTAACCCTCTCACCTCTACAATCTGCATGCATGTCACCCATTTAAAAGCATTTCACCCCCCCCCCCGTCATGCTCAGAGTTCTGATTTACGCTCTCGGTGCTTCTCAGCCAAACACCCTCGCCGTCCATCTACCGCCCCGATCCGTCGCCACCTCCGCTGACCACGCCACACTTTGCTGGGACACTCGTTTACCGGGGGGGGGGGGGGGGGGGGGGGGGTGAGAGAGAGAGAGAGAGACACACCCTGCTGTAGTTACTGCTATTGGATTTGGCCCAAACTAGGATTCACATTTGGAGGTTTTAACGGAACTCGAGGCATTTTTCTTTCATCGTGACTGTTTGTTTTTGTTTTTTTTGCTAGTCCAGGGCAGCACGAGACGGACAGGTCAGTGCTGGTCAGTGAGGAGTTCGCCTGTGTCATCTGATCCTGCCGGTTAGGCCGAAACTGAAGAGAGAGACAGAAATGAGAGGACAGAGTGGGGAGAGAGGAGAACCTTTAGAGGAGGGAGGAGACGGGGCTGGGAGAGTGGACGCTACGCTCTCTGTGTCGGGGTCAGGTGTCACTGACGATAAAGGCGCTTTTGCTCATCCTGTGGCGCCGCGGCTCGAGTACAGTAGAGGGGTGAGAAAGAGAACAAGAGGGCATTTAAACAGAGCTGAGTGGGCTTGGCGGAGATCCAGGCAGAACGAGAGGGGGCACAAAAGAAGCTTGTCAGAAGGCTTTGCAGTTGTTTTTCAGTGTCAAATCGTACCAAGAGCATGTTGCTATGCCACTCCAGCCATTTGCATTCGGGGCATACCAGTGATTCCTCTTCAGATCAAAGGGCATCAGTTAATTTACAATCGTCTGTTCCAAACCTTCTTTTAAGATAACACTGCCAGTGCACTACTGGGTCACAAAGGCCCGCTGAGCACCATTTCTTCTGCAATGGATTTAAATGCACGCACACCAGCAAAGGAGTAACTTAGCCATTAATCAGTTTTTCCCATGAGCTTTTTAAGGGCTCAGCACCCTGTGTAATGAAATTCTCCGTCGGAAATATGCACACAGAGGGACCGGGCGGAGTTTTACTGGAAGCTTTCTTCACTGCTAATAGCACATTTCCCACCAGAAAGCCTTTGATCAGATTCTCAAATGCATGCCAATTTCTTAAGCTGCAAAAAACTATTTGTTTTTCGCATTTTCTGGTTTTATCTCGCTGTGAAATCCTGGGGTCATAGAGGGACTCCATCGCTCATTAAAATGCCTCTTGACCCACTTTCTCTGAGCAGAACACATTACCAGACAGAATTTAGATGGCACTGACCTGTTTCCTTGATAAATCCGGCGCGACCAAACAGAGTCAAAGCTCCAAAAGTAAATTTAATCCAGTTTGTGCCCTCAGACAGAAATGAGCCTGTGCAGATCCAGTCGTAGTGTTCAAATGTTCTCGGTGATGATGCTGCTTCCCTGTGACATTTCGCGCCGGTCCCCCCATCCCGTGATGCGGCTCGCCCTCATCTAAAGCGTCTTGCGTTTGGGGAAGATGGCTTTCCGAAAAGAGGTGCTGGTGGTCCCCCTGCTGAAGGAGGCACCGCCTAAGGAGATCTTGGTCTTCCCACTGGTGATGGTGGAGGAGCCCAGAGATGTGGTGCTCCTGCCCCGGCTGATGGAGGAGCTCCCCATGGCAAGCTTGCTCTTGCCCCTCTTGATGGTGGTGTTGCCCAGGGTTAAGGCCGTCTTCCCCTCGGTGAAGCTGGTGTTGCCCATTGAGGAGAGCCTCGTCTTCCTGACCCAGATTCAGCGGCGGGATTCGGGACTCACTCGACGCAAAGCATCGCACACTCATGCAGCACACCCTGCTCCGCAAGCCCTCGAGGTGAATAGTAACATCTGCCGGGTCCCTGAGCGGAGCAGAATGCTAGGCATGGATAGCGCGACCCCCGTGCCACATAATGCCTCCGTTGAGCTGGTCTACGTGGGCTTTGGAAGGCCACATACCACCCATGCGTCCTGTGAATGGACAGAGGCAGCCGTAGGTGGCCGCAGCCTATCTGGGGGGACGGGGACAGTGGAGCGATTGTCCCATCGCCACGACGACACTGGACGGTTGAAGGAGACATTGTTGCAAAGAGGACAGTCTGCGGTGACATCACTTTCTTCTGAGCCATTGTTCCCCATCGCCCCTGATTGTAAGACATTCCCTCTGTGTACAGCTGCATGCACCATATGTAAAAAGAGCTGCACAGTGTCCGTTTTTACAGATGGAAGGCTGAATAAGTCCACGCTCCCCACTTCAAGGCTTTGATTGCACCACTTGTGTTAAAATCCTCGATCCACGTTAAATACGGGCGAGGTTAATTCATCATCCACCTCAATACCTGACTAATTCTTCAAATGTCCTTCTAGTTGATGATACGAGCTCCAATAATGTCTCATATAAGTTGAGAGCTACATACAAAAAAACTCAATCAAAGCAGTGTTTAGACATGTTACCTTTATGAGCAATGTTACATCAGTCAGCTTTTACAGTCTTATTGAAAACAGGGATTTCTGTCGGACGTTATGGAAATGCAGGAACGCTTATCGGCACGCACAGAACTCCTACATTTGTACCAGCGATGTGGACGCGGCGACAGCTGCACGGCGCGGCATAACTGTGTTGGTGAAACCCACACAGGTTTTTTTCTGTCTCCACATACATCACACACTCGTGCACACACTTCCCCTCCCCGCTAAGGCAACACACCAGAAAGCCTCATCTCGTCCCAGTCTCATTTGCATAACACGCTCTCGGCACAGCTCACGTCTGCTCCCGCACCCATCAGCTCACTTTCAGCCCTTTGGAGCCCCCTCTTTTAAAAAACTTTGCTCAAAAGTTTCTGATATACATTGATCACAAATGTAGCAGCTCAGCTTTGATGCTACTAACCTTCTAAAACTGACCACATACACATATCCACCTTCTGTTTAAGTGTGTGCTGGGCTCAAGAGTGAAAATTCCAGTAGATGTTGCTGTGCTTTTCTTTGCCCCTGAGGAGGGTGGTTTTGACCACGGACACGGACTTGGTCCCGTGAGTGAAGGTCAGGGTGATGAGGGAGCTGGTGGTTTCCCCTCGGGTCACTGAGGTTTTACCCACTGCCACGCTGGTGGTGCCCAAAGTTACAGTGGTTCTGCTCCAGGAGATTGAATATTTACCCCAGGAGACGACGTACTTAGTCCTCAGGATCGAAGCCCTGCCTTTGGTGAAGGAAGTCTTGCTTGATGAAAATGTAGTTTTCCACTCATTGTTAGAGTCTTTTTTGGGCTGCTGGGCTGCTTTGGGTGGCTTAGCCCTGGCTTCGGGGGTCCTCTCCATCTAGGTGTTCCTGCGCTTGCCCGTCAGAGCTTTTCGGAAAGAGGTGGTTGTGGTTCCCCGGCTGAAGCTCGCCCGTCCCAGAGCCACGGTCGTCTTTTGCCGTTGGATGGTCGAGTCTCCCATGGAGGTGGTGGTCACTCCCCTGAAGATGGAGGAGTTGCCTAAGGAGACGGTAGTCTTTCCCCTGGCTATGGAGGTGCTTCCCACTGCCACGGCAGTCTTGCCCTCTGTGATGCTAGTGTTGCCCATCGGAGCGGAGGCAGTCAGCCCGTGCCTGTGCCTGGATGCCAGCTCCTAGCATACGTGCTGCACAGCGGTCCCTCTGCCGCGCAGAAGGGCGAGCGTGTGAGGTCAAAAGCCAAACCAAAGCCTCCGCCGCCCCTCTAAATAGATCAGGCCACAATGTAAAGATGAGGGGGAGGGAGTTATTTGATCATTCTTTGATGCTATTCGATCCCTCAGAGAGACAAGACCCAAAAGGACCTGGAAGCTCTGCACGCACAAAGACCCAAAAGACAGGGGGTTAATTGTGTTCTTTTCATGATAACACTGCCAAAGCGTTGAAGGGGTGCTTTGTGTGGCATACAAGACAATTGGGGTGACCTCAGTATGATAAGATGGCGTGGTTCCCAAAAAAAGAAAAAAGCCCTCCTCCCCTGCTGTTGTTTGGATACAGTAGTACGTTTGTCTGCTTCGGTACAGTACAGCGCACAGCTGCATGGGATGTCCTGCACAAAACCAGCAGAAAGCAACACGTGAGCTCACAACTTTTTGCCCGAGGCTGTGTTGGGATTTTCTAATTCCCGTTCGGTTTTTGTGCTCCCCTTTCAGATTCTCGGTGAAGACCCTCCTGGAAAAGTACACGGCGGAGCCGATCGACGACTCGTCCGAAGAGTTTCTTAACTTTGCTGCTATTTTAGAGCACATCCTGAGCCACCGCTTCAAAGGTAACACCGCAGGTAACATTCAACACAGCCGGTGGTGTTCACGATCAGCCAACATGACTGTGTCTGTTAAACAGTGGACGCACAACTGCCTCACATCTCAAACTGTCCACACTGTTTTCCCATCGAGGGCGCACGGGTTAAGTCTTTAGAACAGGGGTCTTCAACATTTTCCAGGCCAAGGACTCCCAAACTGATGGCAAGATGGAGCATATATATTGTCTGAAATTGTGTTATATCAAACTGGTCCTATAGTGCCATGTGTAAATGTACCTTGTTATTAGGCATTCAATACTAAGATACACAGGTTAATATATTCCTGTTTTTATTTCAAACTTCTGTTTCTGGTTCCTGGTTGGTGGGACAGGTGTTGTGAATGAAACGGTGCCCAGCTTGAAAGAGCTCCTGTGTGTGGCTGAATGTGAACGTTGATGACTGAAAGACATCTTCTGCCTCTATTTATCTGTTTACTACAGTCTGATGAATTCATGTTAATGTGGATTTAAAGACATTTCAATTAGTGGAAAAAATTGCAGGGGGGGAATATATAAAAAAAAAGTCAAATCAACCAAAACTTTCTGTTCCCCCTGTTCAAGACCTCCGCTCTTCACCAGCCTTTTAACCAAGCGTTCAATACCCAAATGACCATCAGTCTGTTGCCGTAGGAACGCCTGCTGCGCCGTTTGTAACAGGTTGCGTTGCTCTCGGCGGGGGGCCATTGCTCACCGGTGCTCTTAATGTTGGAGCAGGTTCGGGCAGCTGGTTCAGCTCAGATGGACAGCGCAGCTTCTGGGAGTACATCCGGCTGGCCTGCAGCAAGGTGCAGAACAACTGCATCGCCAGCATCGAAAACATCGAGAACATCAGCGCCTCACGAGCCAAGGCAAGACCGTCCCTGCGTGTGTGTGTGTGTGTGTGTTTGTTTTCAAGATATATCAGGACAATTTTGTGAATACACACCTTCAATATCAGGACGCGTAGAAATATGAGGACACTTTTCATGTCCTCATTTTTCTGAGCATACCAAAGTGTTCTAGAAGCCCCAAAATACCTCTAAACCAAATATCTCTATTGTCCTAAGAACCTTTGGAAAGCCACCTAAACATTTGTCCTATTTCTGTCATGTGTCCTTGTATATAAGGAAAACACGGATGTGTGTGTGTGTGTGTGTGTGTGTGGCCCTCTGATCCCGCTGACTCCTCCTGTCCACCTCCAGGGCCGGGCGTGGATTCGAGTGGCGCTGATGGAGAAACGCCTGTCTGAGTACGTGTCCACGGCTCTGCGGGACACCAGAACCACCAGGTCAGGGGTCAAAGTGCAGAATGTACTATAGTGAGACATGTCATTTTGATTCTAGCCTTAAGATCATTAAAAAAAACAGTTTGACCAGCTTCGGGTTCGTCTCCGTTCTCCATTTTAACTTTTCCCGTGACAGGAGGTTCTACGAGGAGGGAGCCATCATGCTAAGGGAGGAGGCCACAGTGCTGACAGGAATGCTGATCGGACTGAGCGCCATCGACTTCAGGTGAGGGCGTCCTGCCGACGCTCTTATCAAAAATAAAGGCACACACACACCAGCTCAGGCCTTTTAAAAAGTGATGGCTCTCAGTGTGAAATAATCCATAATAATGTGCAAACCTAGAGGGTTGATGAGCTCAATGATAAAGTCCCCACTGTGCAGCTTTTGCTTGAAGGGAGAGACTCTGGATGGGAAATCTCCGGCTGTGATAGACTACACCCCCTACCTAAAGTTCACTCAGAGGTGAGACCCGCCCAGTCCATAGTCGCTTATTGAACATTCCCGTTCCTAAAGGTTTTTCCCGGATTTTCTGTGGTGCAGCTACGACTACCTTAGCGACGAGGAGGACCGGCGCAGCGTGGACAGCAGCAACAGCGAGGAGAGCGTCCCCGAGCATCCCTACATCCCCCTGGTGACCGACGAGGAGAGCTGGAGCAACAAGTGTCGCAAGATGGAGCAGAGGTTTAAGATCGTCTACGCCCAAAAGGTGGCTCGGGTCGGTCCCCCCCGCGTGACGTGAGTTCCCGTCAGAGATCCTCACCTTCTGACCACTGTTGTCCAGGGCTATCTGGAGGAGCTGGTGCGCCTGCGGGAGTCGCAGCTCAAGAACGTGGAGACGGAGAACAAGCGTCTGAGAGCAAAGGTGGAGGAGCTGACCGTGCAGGGCCAGCAGGAGAAGAAGGAGCTGGAGGCCATCGTGCTGGAGCTGCAGGCTCAACTGTGAGGAAGCACACTCTGGGATAAATTCCCCCGTTTTCTTTTCTCTCCATAGTACGATACAGCGTGCATTTAGTTATAATTTAAGACGCTTTTCTTTAAAAAGATTTTCAGCTGAAATGGCTTTTATTGCTAACGGAGAAAATAAATAAAACTGAATAATCACATTTTTTTCTGCTCTGAACACAGCTCTACCCTCATGCCATGTGATTCCACCAATCTGGCTAAAGATCTCTCCATCCCACTGGTCAACCAGTGGTCTGCCATCACTAACAACCAGGGCGATGTCAAGTTATTCCGCAGGTGAACTGAAATGTGCAGCGCAGCGGCATGTTCCTGGTTCAAATCCTATTCAAACACACAGTTGTTCCTGACATAGTAAAGTAAAACGACCGCTGTAGTTGGGTTTTTTTTTTTTTGCCCTAAGGTGATATTTGTGTTGTACAGGAGGAGTTTCCACAGTCTCGAGCAGCTTTCTGCTGAAGTCAGCCTGAACTCGGACTCCCAGAAGACTGAGGGGAGACAGAATGGAGACGCTGCCTGGACCTCAGCAGGTGAAACTGCCTTCCATCACTCTAAACTGCTTCATGAAACCTTCAGTTTACAAAGATAGTTCAGAAAAGGGACTTTATTTTCCTTTAGTTTTAATTTTGTTGTTATAACAATGTTATTACATGACATAAAAGCCTCCCGGTGGCAGCCATAGCTATAGCTATACTCACACAAAGACGGGCTTCATGTCTGTGTGTGGTGCGTCATGTGGGCAGACAAAGCTATACACAATCAGAACGTGGAATTCGGTAGGGATTTTCTGTGCTTTGCATCTGCAGGAAAAGACAACACTCCCTCCATGTTGGGCCTGTGCGGCTCCCTGGCCTCTTTGCCCAGCTCCAAGTCCCTGGCGAGCCTAAAGTCCAGCGAGTGTCTGGTGAACATCAGCACCGAGCCCAGCCCCGCGCTCTCCCCCAGCTAGGAGACCTCCAGACCTGCACAGACAGAATCCGACCCCCAGCCCCGTCCGCCTGGTGATGCTGCCTTGATCGTATCCAAGCACCCGACCAAAACCCCGCTCCCACCCATCTTCGTGAGATCCCGGCAGGAAAGTCATGGAAACGCACCTGGATTTTTGTACAGGACGCTGAAATGCTCGAGAAGCTGAAAAAGACCCCATCTCCTCTCGTCCTTAGCTCATCTCATCCACCCGACTCTTTGCTTTTACTCGACATCCGACACTTTGTATTATCCGAAAGCCCACAGACCTTTCCCAAAGCATCCGCATTGATAAATGTTTCTTCTTATTTCAATATCATATGTGTTAGTGCACCTTTGGCCTCTTTTACTCTGCTTTTTGACAAAGTTGAACCAGAACTGTACTCGCAGCTCAGACAGATGTGACAGATGTGATGATCATTTAAAGGGTACACGGACGGAATCCGAGCACGGATGTTGATGTTGATGTTCTATGAGTGTGACTGAAAGGTCATGGACTCTGTCACCTGGGAAATGGCCGTTCAGACACCTCAGACAGTGACGGTTTGTTTAAATCTGTGCAGCTTTGCTGATTCTGAAGCTATCACGTCCAGTGTGTTATTGGGTTTCACTGAGCCAGCGCCACTGTACAATATGCTCTTCATAGAGTTGTATTTGTTTGTTTTGTGTTGCAATAAAAACTGCCTTTTTCCATTACCTGCGCTGTTTAGTGCATTTTGTTCATGTTCGTCTCTTGACTCACAAAAATGCATAGAATTTGAAAGAATTTTTTGGGGGAAATAGGCAGATAGTGGAGACATTTGGCACATTATTGCTTTATTCTACTCCCATCTAGTGGTGTAATGGAGCATATCATGTCCTGTGAGGAGTGTTGTCTCACTTGTGCCCCAAAACATCCTCAGAGCTACATTATTGAGATCCTAACTCTGTACTACCATGGACTGGAAGGACTACAGTTTACTACTACAGTTTCAAATGATGGGATGCTCAAACCTTGCAACCTCGGATAATAAATGCAACTGTAACAAAAAGGCTCGTGGATTCTGAGCTTAATGTTTCCTGCTACTGAGCAGAAAGTGTCAAACAGAGATCTGACTTGCTTCTCTTTTTTTTCTAGGCCACACTTTTTTTTTCTGACAGCACCGGATCCCTCCTTCACATCAAGAGCAACGTTCAGTGTGAGAAAGTTGTATTTGGACCACAAAAAAGGCCCGTTAATCAAAGAGCTTATCAAACATCAAAACACCTGATAAAAATTTTTAAAAAAGCTTTGATGGCGCCTTTTTCCATGATGCTGTAACTGCTTTGCTAGAATCAGAATAACAGTCCACAGTTAGGAAGAAAGTCTCACGAAAACTCTGAGTGAGCTTTCGGTGTCCCTGTTGTGTTGTCTGATGTCTCACGAGATACAAGTAGCTCTAGATACATGTATGGAGTTTGATGAAAACAGTTTTGTCTTGTTCTAATGTGTTCAGTAAACTGGAAATAATCAAAAAGCTTCGTTTAAAGACTCTAGAGTTAAAATCCGTGTAAACACATATGGTGAACAGTGTGTTATAAGATATGAACTGAAAATTTAAAAATAATATAAAGCTCATGCACTTGCATGTCCTGTTCACTTTTTGTTCTTTTCTTTTTCTTTATCAAGCCAAAAAGATAATGGATGGAGAAAGCTAAATTCACTCCTGACTTGTGCCAATAAACTCTAACGACCACAAAAATGTTGGGAAAATGTTTCCCTAGTATAATGTATGTGTTACTTTTCACCGGGAGTCACTCTGATGCTCAGGGAGGGGGGGCAGGAGGTGGAACTGGCCCTTCCTGAGCCCCTACACTCATCCTGAACCACACTTTGAGGCACCACGCATGGACGCACGTAGCCAGGCATAAACTCTGTGAATTGATCCAGGGTCTGGGTTTTAAAAGAAGGGGGGGGGATAGCTGGCCCATGCCATGCAAGGTTGAAAAAAAAAAAATCTCAACAAAGAGGGTGGGAACTTAAAGTTTTTTTTTCTTTTTTTTTTTTGCAGAGGAGGTTTTCCTTCTGGGAGACCGATGGATTTTTCGACCAATAGGCGCTCGACGATATTCTGCGACAGCCAACCAGATCGTCCCTGTCCCGGAGCTGAAGGCTACACGAGAAAGTTGTCCAGGTTGAGCTGTTGTGTTGTCACTTTGCATTGAAGCTGGCCGAGGGGGGACGCACGCACTCTGTGACTGTCCTTTTTTTTCTCCAAGATGACGGATGGCACACCGCTTACGGTGATGCGTTAAAGTGCAAAGTTCACTCCACTCGTGCGCGTCTTTTTTTTTCCCCACTCGAAAGTACGCGAGGAGGCGAGAGAAAAATGATGGTGTTCACCACAAAAGAAAACTCAAGCGGTTTGCACATCAGGAGGCCTGATCGCACGCTCGGATCTTCGCGGTGGGTGCAGTGAATGTGCTCTGGAGGCGAAGCAGAAGCTGCGTGTGTGTGTGTGTGTGTGTGTGCGTGTGTGAGTGTGGGTGGGGGGGGGGGGATGTCGGGCAGGAGCGGAGGAGCCCCCCGGGGCTGCAGCAACCCCAGCCTGCAGCCCCTCAGAGCCACGGTCCCCTTCCAGCTCCAGAGGAGCTGCGCACTGCTCTGCAGGGAGCTCAAAGCAGGTAAATACACACTCAGGAGGAGGAGGAGGAGGTTCAGTCTGCACCTCCATGTGGTTCCAGGCTGAAAAAGTTTTGTTGTTTGTCACACCACCAAGATCTTCTGTTCTGGTTGTTAAAAAACCGGTATTTTCTTTCACTATGAGCCAAATAGAGCCGAATCGTATGTATGAATTTCACCTCTGACAGAGCATTTATTCTCATACATGCTTGGGAGTTGGTCAAACAAAACCTAGAGGGTCATTTTTGTTTTGAGAGTCTTGTGTTTCCTTTTATTGCTTTTCGGAGTTATCTTTCTGGTTGTGCCTCTCCTCCGGTTTGACCGGCTGTCCAGCATCTTTTCTTATTCGCTTTGTGGTGTCAAAAAGTCTCCCGTGAGAAAGTGAGCTCAGCAGAGACGGCTGTCTGAGGCCCTGAAACGTAACCCTCTCCCCGGGACGTTGTGCGGGCGCTCAGCTGCTGCCCTGCTCCCTGACCTGTGGGATTTCTGCAGCGGGGCCGGACGCTCGCACAGTAGCACCTCTGGAGGCCTCTTTAGTTTTTGGCGGAGGGCTTGTTCATTTTTCTTTGTAACCGTGGACGTCTCACATCTGCATGTTATTTGGACGCCCTGATGATGGCATAGCGAGGCTGGGCCGGGTCAGAGGCCTGACCGCCACCTGCCAGAAGGACAAAGAGCTGCGAATCGGTCATCAAATCCGCTCAACTGACGTGTTTGTTTCTGTTCTCTAAAGCTGACCGGACGGCGGCGCGGCCACCGAAGCCCACCATCCGCCGGACCCTGTCCCTGGACACCATCGTGGGGCCCTACCTGCAGGGACAGTGGCCCAAAGAGGCCGAGGGCGCGGCGGTGAGCTGCGTCAACGACAAGGCCACGCAGGTGAGACCCCGGAAGGCTTCGGTCAGCCTTGTTTCTGGACCCGGACGAACTCTCTGTGCGATTTTCGGGTAAACCGCTTGCGCGAATTTCGCTTAAAACCTGTCGCTCGGAAGCAGAAACGGGCCGGGTTTGGATCTAGCTCTGCCTCTCCTGTGTGTGTGGAGCGTTTTCTACAGAGGACTAGATCTGTGAGGTCGACCCTGCAGGTGTCTGGTGGTTCCAGTTTGACGCGGCGGGTGGAAAGCAGCCAACTGGAAACAGTCGTTTTTTGTTCTTCTTTAAACTCTGCCGTTTTACCCTCTTCC